AGTGATCTCCAGGTTATTAATAAGATCATTCGCCCCATGGGGGCGCTCCAATGCGGTTTACCTAATCCTAATTTGATACCAAAAGACTATGACCTTATGGTTATAGATCTAAAAGATGCATTTTTCTCTATTCCACTACACCCAGAGGACAAACACTTATTTGCCTTTACTGTGCCTGAAATGAATAACTCCAAGCCCACGGCCAGATATCAATAGACTGTCTTGCCTCAAGGGATGTTAAACAGTCCTACAATGTGTCAATATGTTGTCAATCAGGTTTTAAGACCATATCGGGAAAAGTTTCCTCATTTTAAAATTTACCATTATATGGATGATATTTTAGTGGCAGCTCCAGGGCCCTCAGGTACAGTATCAGCAACCTTGCCTGTTCTAACCTCCATTTTTCAAACAAATGGGTTTTTTATTTCACCTGAAAAAATTCAGCTTAAACACCCCTTTCTGTACTTGGGCCACAAGCTTTTGGCCTCACACGCTGAGCCTCAGCTGTCTAAGTTGTGTCTTCCATCATGCCCAACCTTAGTCCAACTTCAACAATATTTAGGATCAATTAATTGGGCCTGTCCCTATATGGGACTAACCACCTCTCAATTGGCTCCATTGTTCTCTGCTCTTACGCAGGGAAAAAATCCAGGAGATAAGATCGTGTTAACTCAACAACTACTTAAAACTTGTGACATCATTCAGCATGCATTGTCAAAAGTATGGGTCGATCGTGTTCAGCCCGATATGCCTTTTTCTATGCTAATTTTTAACACTGTTGACCTTCCTACGGCAGCTTTGGCTCAGATCGTGTCTAATAAAAAAATGATGATTGTAGAATGGATCCACTTAGCTCACACCCCCGAAGAACACCATTTCACAGAAACATACGCTCTTTGCTCAGCTTATAACAAAATCTCGCTTTAGGGCAAAGGCTTTAGGGGGTGTTGAACCGTCCTTTTTATATATCCCTTGTTCGCTAACGGCTTGGGAAAGTTTGTTGGCCAATTATGAATCTTTGCAGCAAGCACTTGCTGATTGGCCAGGAGAAGTGTCTTGTCATCCACCATCAGATCCTCGCATTTTTTTAATAAAAACAGTCCCATTTAAATGGCAATCTCCTTGTGCTTCTTTCCCTTTAAAAGAAGCAATAACGGTGTTTGCAGATGGCAGCAAGACTCATGGAGCCTGTGTTTGGAAAGAGGAGGGTAAGTGGCATACAAAAATCACCCCCCCCACAGACGTCAGCTCAGCGCTCTGAGCTAGTGGCAGCCACAATGGCATTTTTTCATTTTAAAGATCAACCCTTTAATTTGATCCTGGACAGTTTATATGTTACCCAAATTGTCAAAACCATTTTTGACTCATATTTGGCACCAAATGTCTCAATGGATCTGTTAACATTATTTTTGGACTTGCAACATCTCATAAACGATCGGAAGCACCCATTTTTTGTTGCCCATATTCGTAGCCATCAGCCTTTTCCAGGCCTACTCCAAGAAGGCAATGATGTGGCCGATGCTGCCGCCTCACAAACACCTCTTAATATGCCACTCACCTTTTCAACCCCCTGGGAAAGTCACTCATATTTCCATCAGAATAAGAAAGCATTAATCAAACAATTCAATCTTTCAGCTGCTGAAGCTGCTGCCATCGTTCAGCAATGTCCAACCTGTAGCAAGCAAGCACACTCAATACCACTTGGAGTAAATCCTCGTGGCTTGGAGAGCTGTCAAATTTGGCAAATGGATGTTACTCAATATCCTCCCTTTGCCCCGTGGAAACATCTTCATGTTTCTATTGATACATATTCTGGCTTCATTATGGCTTCCCCCCAGAGGGGTGAGGCCACTAAACATGTTATCAATCACTGTATTCGGTCATTTGCACTGTTAGGACGCCCCAAAGAACTTAAGTCAGACAACGGACCTGCTTATATTAGCTCTGCTTTTGCAGAATTCTGTACAAAATGGTCCATTGTTCATAAATTTGGCATTCCATATAATAGCCAAGGTCAAGCCTTGGTCGAACGAGCAAATCAAACATTAAAAACAGCTCTCAATCGATATTTAAATGAAAAGGGGAAAATCACCCCTGGCCTCCCAGCAGTGCAAAACATCCTTAACTTGTGCCTTTATACACTGAACTTTTTAAATCTGACGGGCGATCCACCATCAACAGCTGCCTCTCGTCATTTTTCAACAGTCCCTCCCCCTACTTCAAGACCTCCAGTTTACTATCGACGGCTTCCAGACCCCACGTGGAAAGGTCCGGCAGAGCTTATTACCTGGGGGAGAGGCTACGCTGCGGTAGATGATCATGGCAAAATCATTTGGACTCCAGCTCGCTGTGTTCGCCCTTATTTGGTTCAATCTCCACCATCCTAACCAGACATCAGACGACCATGGACCCTGGGCTCACAACTCTTTTATGAAAAATGTGCAGAATATTTCTCGCCTTTTGAACAAGACTGAGTGTTGGATGTGCATGCATATTCCAACCCTGGAGGAGGGGGGACTTTTCATGCATGGGGTGCCTTTTAATACAACTGGTTGGAAACAATTTTCCTGGTCTAGAGGAACCCTTTCCAATGCTATGGTGAATTATACGGTATACACAATAGGAAGCAGAATCCAGGAAAAAGCAGCATTTTGTTGGGAATATAAGAACACTGCTAAAAACTGTTTTAGTAGGCAGATACTCATATTGTGACATCACATTTCAACTTTCAAACAACATGACTAGACCACATCTCTTTAAGAATATTCCTCTTTTTGAATCCCTTGATGGTTTTTCTGATTATATGTGTACCTATCAAATAACTGGATGCTCGCTATCAACAGGATGTCACCCCGGCAACACAGACACGATGTCCACACTCTTCCTTTGCAGTATTGTAAGAGCCATGGTTCGCCAAACTGTGCAAAGCTCCAACATGACTACAAATATATTAAGTAACGTATGGATGCTTTGTGGCCGGCGGGCATATCAACGTATACCTCCACGGTGGTCCGGCCGTTGTACATTGGGCTTTCTTGCTCCCTCAGTTTTTGTGTCAGATCAGCCACCTTCAGGCCGTTTGCGCAATAGAAGAGATCTAGAAAATGGCCTGGGAGGACCCGGCAGTACAGGAACGCAAGTTGCACGATTTTTATATTTCCATCTATGGGGGTAGCCATGAATTACAGAGACATCTATGCATTAAATAACTGGACTAGGCACATGTTCAACGCTACCATTCAGACTACCAAATTGTTAAACAAGGAAGTGGCAGAAATATGAGAGATTGTTCTGCAAAACCGTTATGCTTTAGACATTATCCTTGCCTTGAAAGGAGGAGTATGTGCCTTAATCCATTCTCATTGTTGTGTTTATATCTCTGATTACAAAGCCAATATCACAGGTACCATTGAGCATATGGAAGACATGGTTCGTCATGATCCGTTACAATCCGACGGATCTGGCGCAATAAACATTTGGGATGCCCTATGGTCTTGGCTACCTGACGGAACCTGGCTGCGATCATTGGTTTCTGGTATTATAACTATTGTGGTTATTTTAGTTTTGATATGTTGTTGTATTCAATGTTTGCCTTCTTTGTTTATGATGTTTAAAAAATTTTCCTCAGGAACTGTCACCCATCAACACGTCAATTTAGTAACTACACCTATCACTGCAGTTCAGCAACCCCTGCTAACCAAACCAGCCTTCACCTTGCCAAGCGACACTGAGGATGACTTCGTATAAAGCGCTCCCTCCTTATTTTGAAATAAAACAAAAGAGGAGGAGATGTTGGAGTTATCTGGATTATCTGGCCTGTTAGGCTGAGTCATCAGCTGCAGGAGGCCAAGGTATAAGGAAGTAGGAAGTAAAAAATCCAAGAAGTGCCGTGCAGTGCAAGAGAAGTTGTTTTGGTGTTTTGTTGGTGCCGGGTGTAACAGCTGTATAGGAGCGTGTGCAAAACAAAGCTAGCACGTGTAATATGCTAATATGCTGTGTCATAACAAATGTGGTTGGTGTAAGGTGGTCACCAGGTGCATATAAACCCGCCTTCTGGTAACACAATAAAAGGGATGCTTCGGCTTTGTTCGGGGCTCCCATCCCGAGGAAACCACGTGTTCGTGTCTGTTCTTCTACACCCATGGGAGACCCGCTGGGCGCGTGAAAACCCACAGAAAACATGCCTTGTTTTGACCATGAATTCTCCATTATAGGCAGTATCAATTTACAGCCACTCATTTAACAACCATTCAAATTTACAATGACACTGAAAAAAAGCGATGAGCAGTTCTTACACAACCATCGTACATCCCCCCCCCCCCGGTCAAGGGATCAGAATTTAGGTGCTTGGCAAATGGCATGTATTTACAATAGTTGCAGTGTACCAGGGTCGTGTGAGTGCTATTTGCAACCTTCCAAGCCAGCTTCTGACAAAGTCCATTGGGGAAGCCTAACAACCAGAAGTCACTCAACCACTGCATTTTCTTAATGACAGTGGCAAAAAAAAAATTGTTAAAATCAGGCATGACTCCTTATCAGCTGCTTTGCTTAACAGAAAATATTCTGACCCCAGTTGTGATCATAACTCAAGGACTGCCTGTATTTGGCACTTCAAGGCTAATTTTTAATAAGGAATTTAGGACTTGCATGAGAGTTTGGTGTAGGTGTCCTTTTCTCTGCTGAAACTACATGATTTCAGGAAAACCATCTCTTTTGTGCCCTAATCATCAAATTAGAAAAGGAAGGGGGAAGATGGATAATCCCAGATTCACACATATTGCATACGAAACAATTGTTGGCACAAGTGCAAGATGAAACAAATTCAAGTTTTCTGTAGGGTTACAAGCTTTTCCAAACCCACTGATCGTTCTCCAATGAACATCTGTAAGGCCAATTGAGGAATTGAAAGGCCATGCAAACTGAACTGTGGTTTAAACCATAAATCTCCCCTAAAGCTGTCACTTCCTATAGCCCAAGAATATTCATGAAGACCAAAAACATTTTTTTCAGAAAGAGTTTATTCGACTACATGACAAGAGGTAATTCTTAAAAAGATTATAAATACAGGCACTTCAGTATGTAGGCCAAGATAACCCTAGTTAATTAAAATGTGGCATCATCTGACAGAGAGCTGACATCACTTTGTTATATTTATAAATGGTAGTGAGGAAAATCAACTAGAGATGGCAGTTCTTCTTTGGAGATAGGAAAATTTTAGCTACCACTTTCTGACTTGTGAAGTTCAACAGGTAGATGTGGCTCTTTGCAGCATTGTCTGAAAACAACTAAAGTTGTTCTATGGCTACTTTGTGAGCTTCAAGCCCTTTCAAGAAGGTCACCAGCATCTGCAGCTGGAGTGACCAATTCATGGCTGTAGGGTGAATCTACTGTTTTTCAGTCTGATACAATGTCGTAAAGCACAACTGGCTTTTATTTTAACACCATTTGATAGTAAAATTTCTCATAAGCCATTCTCTTCTAAATACCATAAGCATGGAACCATTTTGGATTAAGGACGAGATGGAAACTACTACAAGTTTTCTCAGCTTTACAGTGGAATGTTTTCTTACTACCTTCTCGAGCAATAATAGACATATTTAACTGATAGATAGATGTTGCTAACCATTTCTCCAGAAATAACGAAAAATAATTTTGCTCATAACTTGCTTATAACCAGAGGGAAATGAAGTTTTTGGACATGCAGAAACAGGTGCTGAATAATCCAGGAAAAAAAACCAGGTAAATTGGTGGAGGACAAGTGACTTGATAGCAAAGTTCAGAATTCAGAATGGAGAGAACCACCAGGAAAAAAAATTAGGAGAAAACACTGATTTGGCAGTTTTAAGCATCAGTGTCTTCCTCTAGAAAAAGCACCCATTGTTTTCTTTCATTTGAGGTGCAAAATGGCCTTCATTGAAACTGAAAGGGACACTTTGAAAATCTGATCAGTGTTAAGCAGACTTCAAATTGTTCCTTAAGTCGAGGATTATCTATATATCTTCATTGTATTTACAAGATTGCAATGCTTAGTTCTATCATTTCCTTCAAATACATTCTCTATCCAGAAAATCATCATGTTCTATCCTCTCTTGAATATAATTTTCTGACCTCTATTGGATTTAAATTATTTTAGTCTTTTCCACTCTAGAGCAGACATGTGAAATTCGCAATGTCATGTGACGTCGCGCAATGTATCGGGACGGTTTTCCCATTGCCGGCAATGGGGTGGGCACGGCCTCCGCATGAGGCGTCCCGCCCATGGGCCAGCAGTTTAACACCCCTGCTCTAGAGGAACTAAATTCTGAATCGAGATTCAAGTGACAAGTATTTTAAAAAGGTTCATTCAAATTACTTGCTTTTAATCAGAGGAAAGGGAAATAAATCACGTTTTGCCTGTTAACCTATCTTCTAAAAGTAATTAGATATTCTGGGTAAGCCTGAGCATCGTGAAAGATAACAAACATTGATGGTCGATTCACGTTGTCAGTTACACTGTCGTATATGTCAAACCCGCCATTATTTTTGGATGGAGGTATAATCTGTCCGGGTCTTCCAATACAATAATCTCCAGTCAGAACACGGGCAACGTACATATATTTTCTGCCATTTGGGTCTGGCGGGGAGTAAATTTCCTGAGCAGAATAATTTGAGATGACGGCAAAATAGGTCCCATTACCAATTGATGCAGCTGAAACCAAGAAAAAAAAAAGGTATAAAACATAAAAGATATTGAAAAAATAAACAATGGAAAACACCAGTATTTGTATTTCAGCTTTAAGTGATGATTATCTAGCCAATTATATTTCTTAAAAAAGTCACCTATTGTGTTGTTCATTTAGAGACACCAAATTGATGGAAAGGAATCTGAAACCTCTGATTTTAGGAAAAGCAAACAGTACATTGTAAGCAGGGAGTTGCAAAATTGAGTTGTCACCACTACCACTTTTTGTGAAAAATAAGAATTTGATGGCCTTTTTCATTCTCCTCAAAACCTTTTGCATCCTCAATCTATCCACTGAGCAGAAAGAGATTCTGAATATTCAGCAGCCACAATCCTATTGACTCAAGAGAATAGAAAAGGAATATTATTTTTCCCTCTGAGCTGACAACCTGATGGACCCAAGATTCCCGAGAGAAAATAAAACTCTGTGTATGAACTCTTCTTGCCGCATTGCCCGGTGTGATAATGCAACTGCTTGTGTGAGTCCCTCTCTTTGTGTGTTGAGTCTGCACAGCTCCCAGAAAGGGGCCACTCAAACCAACCCAGTGTGCCTAAGAGTTTGCAGATGTTTGTAGAGTTTTTCTCTCATGAGAGTTTTATGAAATATCTCTTTTATGATTGTTTCAGCTACTTTGATTCTAAATGTCATTTTATAATAAGTTTTTGTTGTCTTTTAAAGAGGGTTATGACAGCAGAAATCTCTTCTCTTAGGATTTAAGCTTTACTTTTCTTTTCACAGTGTATTCCTTTCAGCAAGTCTTTTTTTCTGTAGGATTTTTTTTTTAAATCAGATTCTTCAGTAAACCTTGCAAGCTGCCCTTACGGAAGGGAGGGAGGCAAGGGGAGGGGAAAAGATGCTGTTGGGCTGTTTTTTAAAGATCTTTATACAGCTCTGAAACACAGTGCTTTATGTCATATTCCCTTACATCTGCTTAGAAGGATCTTACCATTCTTTCCAGCATAACTGCGGTTAAAGCCAGTCTGGTAAATTGGCACCACTGTGGAAAAGGGAGTCCCATGGAAAAGGATCTTCTCATTGTTTCCATGCCCATTTTGTGTATCTATTTGCTTTTTCTTGACTTGATAGGCTTGCCAGAGATAAGGATTCTGTACCCTTTCAATCTATAAAGATTGCAAATGTAAAACGTTATTATTCATTTACCAGTATCATTCCCTGCCATACAATATCATACAATACAATATTCATCTCCCGTGAGTTTTATCATTCTCCCTTGATGACTGTGCTAAGATTAGAAATAAACAATCTGAGAAGAAAGGTCGCAATGGAGAATTGGCAAGGATAGTCTCTTACATGTTCATTTCTCGCCAAAAAGATCTTGCTGTCCACTGCATTGTCTTTATTCAACAAACGTGGGACTGTGTTTATTTTTATTTATTAAATTTATATAACTGCCCATGTCATTGCTGTACTGTTGAATTTTTAAAAAAACCTTGAACAAAAACAGCAACATAACTATACAAGTCATTAAAAATACCCAGAAGCTGTATGCCTAATATCCTCAGAAGTTCACTACAGGCAAAATAAATGCAATTTCTTTTGTGGCTATTCGGGAATATGGAAAGGCCAGTGACATCATTGCTATCATATCTGGGTAAAACTTCAGAAAATGTTGCTCACAAACATCAAGATTCAGTGAATAATATTCCCTTTGGAATGCTTTTCCTATTGCTAAATTCAAAAAGGGTCAGATGTATGCAAAAGCAATCATTGTAGATCTAGGTTTATTATGGGTACCACTTGGAAGTATGGAAATGGAATTACCCTATTACCGGCGTATAAGATGACTTCTGGAAGCGCTAAACTCGGCGCCAAAGACGGGGGTCGTCTTATACGCCGAGTCATCTTATACGCCGGAAATACTGGTAGTTTCCAGCATATAAGACGACGTTCTAGGAATGCGGCTCGGCGATAAAGACGGGGGTCATCTTATACGCCGGGTCGCCTAATACGCCGGCATATATGGTACTGAGACAGCAGCAAGTTTTATTTGTCAGTATTGGGCTGCTTTGTGGTCAGAAGACATTTGTTGGTGGAGAAAGTAAGTGTCAGCAAGGACTGTTAAGCGTTGTGACCTAGTTCACAGGTAGATGTAGCAGACCAAGAACTGTGGGGGACATGGAGAGCATTCAACAGTCTAATGCAGGGGTGTCAAACTTGATTTCATTGAGAGCAGCATCAGGGTTGTGGTTGAGCTTGAGGGGGTGGGGGGCATAGTGGGGTTGGGGATGGCCAGGGTGAGCATGGCCAGTTCAACGTCACTCATGCCAGAGGGCGCTTGTGGTGGCCTGGGCTGGGCTGGGAGGGATCCATTGTCTCCAGCCGAGGAAAGCGAGACCAGGGTGAGCACTACACCCTTGTCCACCAGAGGAGTCTTGCTGTCCCTCTTAGGCCATGCAGAGGACCCCCAGTGATGCAGGCTGCCCGGAGCCCTGGGCAGTGGAGGGCAAGCACCCAGTCCAGCTTTTCCCAAAGGGGCGCCCGGCTGCGCTTACTTCCTCCTAAGGAAGCTCGCTCGCTGATTGGCTCGCTCTCCTTGGCCAAGTTGCTCATGGTGTGTGTGCGAGGGCAAAATGTATGAGTCAGAGGGAGGCCCCTCTCTCTCTTCCTGTGAGGAGATCCGGCTTTGTAACCAAAGCATCCTCAGTGATAGGATCGGAGACCCCCAGGAGAAATCAGGAAGAAGGGACAAGGGAATGCTAAAAGGGCAGCAGAGGTGGTCGTGGCCAAGTGCTAAGGCAGGACTTCCCTCAGACCCTTCCTCCCTCTCATTATAATCTTCCTTCCTTCCTTCTTTCCTTCCTTCCTCCCTCCCTTCCTTCTCCTTCTCATCTTTTTCCTTCCTCTGCACTCGGGAAGGGGTGATGGGAGGGAGAAAGATTGCCAGCGCTGCTGGTGTTCATGCTGCCACTGGCTGTCACTATCCCACCTGGGCGGGACAAGTCCCGGTGAAAGGGAAGCCTCATGGCTGTGAGGCTAGGTCAGTGAGCGGGCCATGGAGGTGCTGGTGGGATGGGGGTAGTGGCGCTGATCTACAACCTGGTTGTGTCTATCAAACCAGAATACGCTCAGCCTTAGATCCACAGGGCAGCCCTGGAACTAGCGAGGAGCTGCACCGCTGCTTCTGCCCCGCATAAGAGACGACCAGCGTTGGCGTCCTGGGTGAAGTCAGCCTGTGGGGCAAGACAGCCAGCAGGGACGCTGGACCCCACCTACTCACCACCTCTTGTGCGTGTGCCCAAGGGATGGGGTGGGGGCACCCGTCGCTGGTTTCAGGGCTGCCCCATAGATCTAAGGCTGAGCACTTTCTGGCTTTGATGGCTGGCACCAGGTTGTAGATCAGTGCCCAATTGGCCTGGGCCGGGCCGGGCCGAGGTGCTGCTGGCCAGTCCTTTGCTGTTTTCAGAGCAGGTCCCTGGGCCAGACAGAACCACATGGCAGGCCAGATCCAGCCTGGGGGCCTTGTGTTTGACATGTCTGGTCCAATGAAATGCAGACTGCAATGATTAAGGACCCCTGGTGGCACAATGGTTAAAGTGCAGTATTGCAGGCAAACTCTGCTCACAGCCTGGAGTTCGATCCTATGGAGCTCAAGGTTGACTCAGCCTTCTATACTTCTGAAGTCAGTAAAATGAGGACCCAGATTGTTTGGGGCAATATGCTGACATTGTAACCTGCTCAAGAGTGCTGTAAAGCACTATGGAGTGGTATATAATCTGTTATTGCTAATGTTACTACCTGACCTCCAGATTAAAGGTTTTATTTTTTAGATTGTAAAATTGTGAAAGAATATGAACACTCTTCAACTATTTTAGTTCTTTTCTCTTTCCTCTCTTTTACACTCCAGCGATACAGATACAGGATGTATTTGAATATTCTCACTTTCAGGATGTTACATATTATCCTACTTAATTCTTTTCCCACGTGAAGGTATTATCAACTCTTGAGCCAATCTTGTAGCCAATCATTGATGCTCAATACCACTCAAGAATTCAAAACAGAAGCCCACTGGTGTTCTACAAGATATAAAGTTGTGGAAGGCAAATGGCCCTTTTCAGCTGGGTGACTTTGGGCCAGTCATTCTTTCTCAGCCAAAACCCACCTCACAGCTAGCAGTCAAACACTATGATCCCAATTCCCACATCGACACCAAACACCACCAGTTCGATTGGAAATCGAATCATCGGCCATGCTACCAGTCGCCATGCTCGTGCGTTCATCGAAGCCTGCCACTCCACAAATAATTCCATCAACAGACATATTAATCTACAACCAGTCTATGAACCCTTCAGAATTCAAATCAATCGCACAGCCCTCAAACAACCCACGCAAGCCCCTCTCCCCCCCTCAGTTTACCTTCCAATAACCCTGACCTGATGTAATCTCCCCATCACAAGACTCATCACCAGCCTCTCACTGATGACTCACCACTGACCCACTGATAATTCACACCAACACCCCTGACCTGAAGTATTCTCCCCATCACAAGACTCTCTCTGGTGACTCATCACAAGACCCTCACTTGACACACCCACACCTGAAGCCCTTATAAACAGGATGTCAACGCTGCGACAATTAAGAAATTGCAGCCATTTTACCTTTTACTTTACTTGTGCTTTTTCTGTTGCTTGGGATTTTCAGAGGTAGAAGAGGGGAAGGAAGGAATGCTTGAGCTTTTTAAGTTAGCCTAAACAACTGCAACTGGGTGAGCTTCAAGGTCAGTTCTAGATAAAGTTTTGGCCGGCTGTAAAGTGGGGAGGATTTTAGATTAATTGGCAAATGTGGTTTATGACAGCCTTTCTGGGGTGGGAATTGCAATTTGTTACTTTGTATCAGGGGGAGGGAACTTTAGTCTTGGGTTCAACTATGTTAAGTGCTGATGCTTTGTTTCCTGAATAAAATGCTCTTTAAAGAAGAAATCTGTACCTTGAAGTTCTTTTAATTGGTTTCTTGAAATGGAAGAGTACTGATACAGACATCCCCTAAATTCCGCTGAAGATGTTACCTAGCCTGGTAATGAAATGTTCAGAAATCAACCCATAAGCTTGGAGAATGAACCTTCATCTTCACCACCTCACAAGGTGGTGGTTGTGGGGAAAATAGGAGAAGAAAGGTGTGTTGGGTTTATTTGCTTCCTTAAGCTCAGATCAAATGTTACCTTTTCAATTGGGAATGTAGGACAGCCAATTCGGAATATCTTTTCAATGTCCTTATATTCTCCTGCTGTGGGCTGGAGTGGAACTAGTTTGACATGATTTCCTTTCATATCTTCCCAATGTTCAGGAAGATGTTCTAATAGTTTGCCTGAAAAATAAACACTTTGTTAAAATAGCGACATAACCCACCAGAAAATAGCACTATGCTTAAGTTTGAAATCAATGGAATTTGCAATTATCTCCCCTTGTGCTAAACATTACATTTATTGCTAAAATCTTCACCATGGTTTGGCAACCCTGCACAGGATAACTTTCTTTCATCATCACAACTGTCCCATCAGCACTCACAAAACACGTTTCCCCAAAAACGAGACTCGGTCTTTTTTTTTGCCTCCAAAAGAGGTCTTATTTTCGGGGCAGGGGGTGTCTTTTCCACTCACCTGCAGCACTGATAGCCCCGCCCAGCCAGCCCACACCCTGATTGCAAAATGCAGGCCGGGGAACGACACAGAAGAAGTGGGCCAAGAGGAGAGGCAGGCAGGCTGCAATGGTAAGTGGGGTATGTGGTGCGTAGGAAAGCTCCATCCACCACCCTCACCCTAACTGGATTTTTAGGCGTGCCCCTTGCCCCAAAACTAGGCCTTATTTTCGGGGTAGGCCTTACATTAGGCCCACCCCCAAAAATCAAACTAGGGCTTATCTTCAGGATAGATCTTACATTTGGGGAAACACGGGAAGTAGCATGAGTCTTAAGAGCCATGGTGGCGCAGAGGTTAGAATTCAGTACTGCAGGCTAAATCACTGCTCACTCCACAAATTCGATTCTGTAAAACTCAAGGCTGACTCAATTAAAATAATTTAGATTTTTGCAAACATTGCAGATTTTTTTCAGAAACTGGCTATCATAGTGGACATGTTCAATTTCAAAAGACATACTCAACAACCCTCTACTCAGCCACTGCTTCCTGTCCCCATTTTTTTATACTACAAATATATGCCTAAAGTGTTTACAATGAAACAGAAATACATTCTCACAAATAAAGATGATTCTAGAGTCTGGAAGATATATCACCTTCCCACTGATTCTTATTAAAGAAAAAAATTAAAAACCTTCAAATTCAGATAGAGAAGGAAGCCTGATATGGGCCAAGAACGATGTCTCCAGACACAGTGGAAGTCACAAACATTGTATCAACTTATTCACTGATTCCTTCACTTTGGGCAAAGGAATACTGTAATGCCAGTTCCTACCAAATAGTGAAAACAAGCCTAAAATTCTGGCTGGAAAATGAACACATGGAATACCTGCTCTACACATGAACAAGCCTTGCACATCAAGTATGGAATTGACAGTCGTATTTTGATGGCAATCATACAAATGGTCTGTTCACTTTAATTTAAAATAAATTCTATGTGATACACCCACATTCATCTGTCTTGTACCCTTGTCCTACCACACTGGCACCCTTTTTAAAACATGGGGAGATTTTTGACAGGTGACCAAAGCAGTAATCTAGCCACTAATCCAACCTCAGTTATTTAAGATGTTCATTACCTTCATCCTTTCCAACACGTTTAATTTTCATACTTTTTCCTTGGTTATCTACAACACACATCTTGTTCAGGTCGGCTGTGTACTTTTGTCCCCGAATTTGGACCTGAATTTGTCCCTTTTTGCTCATTTTAGCATCTTCTAAATCAAGGTTACTTAATGTATCAAAAGGTAGAAAGACATTTCCGTTTGCACAATACTGCCACTCAACCAAAACTTTAACAAGTTCTGCCTTGGATTTCTTTTCCTGGTCAGCTTTAAGTGTTTTTAATAGCTTCTGAATTTCTGTGAAAGCAGTGAGGACATCCCGGGGGATTCCAGATACCAAAATAAAAGGAGGAGACTCCGTCTTGTTCAGATGAATGGCAATATTCAATCTTTTCTGGAGGTCATTCAGTCTCTTGATTTCGGCATCAGCAAACGTGTCTATCAACTCATCAGCAATGTGATTTTCTGTCTGTTCCTTGAAAATCAATGTCCTTAGCCAGGCTTCAGCCTCTTCCACGTTTTTCTTGTTTTCGCCACATATCTCAAAAGATGACGTCTCAATCTTCTTCTCCAACACTATAAAACTTTTCTTTTTAGCAGGTGACTTCCGACCAGTTACAAGTGCTATAAGCAAAAGGGAAATTCTGTTAAGTGCACACTCAGTGGGGAAAAAATTGGAAAAGAACATTCACAGTAAATGAACTTTAAACTTGCCTTTAATCTTAGAAAACATTGATTCGGAAGTGGGCAATGCCCGACCTTCTTTATTTTTCAAAATGGTAGAAAAGGATTTTTGCATATGTGGCTGAAAAACAACAACTTTAACAAGTTTCAAGTATCGAGGCAACTGTTTTCCTGCAAAGTCAGCAACTGCACTGATGATATCATCAGCTGCTTCGTCAGGACTCCCTCTTCTTTGACCTGTATCAGATACAACAGAGAAAACTCAACAAAATATACTTAGTATTTATTACAATGAGGGACTCAAAGCAAGGATGGGCCAGCCGTGCCTTTTCAGATATCGGACTACAATTCTCATCATCCTTAACTGCTGGTCATTCAAGCTATGATTCAAGAATATGCAAGAATCTTACATTTGGAAGGCCACTGGTACTTTACGTGAGTTGCTAACATTTGCTATATAGCATTACCCTCATATATTCCGACAAATCAAGATGTGCATTTTTAAAACAGCCAATCAGTCAAGCAGAATATTGCCTACTTCCCTTATAGAATGGGTATGTACTATGAATTTAATTTACTTCTTGCCTTTATTTCATCACTGGTGTCAAGCTTAGCCTTTAGAGCACGGGTCCCCAAACTTGGCATAAGACTTGTGGACTTCCAACTTCCAGAATTCTTCAGCCACCATTTCCTGATGAGGGATGCTCGCCTAAAGAACCAGCTATTTTCACACTTCGCCCTTGGAGAGGTTTATATGGTTCGGTCACTGGTAGTACCCTCAAAAAAAGGCCCCTCCATAGATCTACATGAGTGGGCAGATCTTTTGTAGTCAGGACCTCAGTTTTAATAAGTTTTCAGTATGAGAGATCTAGGAAATTGATACATTGCACCATCATGAGTGTTTCGATTCAAAATAAGTGGGGGCAATGGAGGTCTACTTGGGGAAAATGTTGAAATCTGCATTGCAATCCCCAATCCACCCTTTTTATATGTGCACTGATACTGCACAAACATATATATATGCAAGAGGTGGAGAACACGTTGCAACATTCTTGCACAATTTTTTTGTTATTCTAATAGAATCTCCAGATTCAACAGACACATCTGGTCTGCAAGCTGCATGCAAAATCTGTGGGACTTTTTTTCTTCCCTGTGGACTTCTCTGTTTGGGCTTTTGTTTAGCATGCTAGTTTTAGTCCCTATTGTTTCTTAAATGTGAAGTGAATTATAGTATAGAATTAGTACAGCTGAATTACTGTGCTGCCCACGTAAATAATGAACCTGATTTTCAACAACTTCTCAGATAAGGCTGTATTATGCAGCATGATCCATAACAATCTGTAATGAGGTGAAATGTTGACAATACATTTCATGATGCTATGACATATCTAATGCAAGCCATCCCTTTGTATCATGATGTATATATACATCATCATTTTCTCCTCTGTTCCCTCTGTTTGCCTATGATGTGCTGAGTTCAAAAGATCACAAGAAAAGGAGTAATAGACCATGGTTATTAACTTTAGATCTAAGATAAAAGCCTGAAAGCAGGAGGAAGACAACAACAAAGGCAAGTTAAATCTCATCCAAGCCAAGCTTGAACTCCCAAGGATTTCATGGACACCTTCATGAAGTTTTCTTAAGAGCAATACATGCATTTTTCTAGAACAGGGGTGTCCAACTGCTGGCCTGTGGGCCAGCTGCATCATATGGAAGCCATGTCCACCCCATTGCTGGCAATGGAAAAAAAAGTCACGATACGTCGTGACACATCACATGACGTGGCGAGTTTGACACTCCTGTTCTAGGATGTTATTTCAACTTCTAAGTATAGCCTACAGTTCTGTTATTCCCTAAGAGCCTCTGGTTGAAGTCCTAAACACACCAAGGGGGCTGCTGTCTGCAAATGAATGGAAGTCATGAAGGAGAAATTAAGAAGTCAACTGTAACAAAACAGAAGGTCAGAGATGGATCCTACTTCATTTTGAGGATGGGAATATAGGGGAATTTCATCTCCTTTGTCATATTCAAACACAGCAGAACACTGGAACTTTTCCATACATGGCAAATTCACTTCAACAGTTCACATTTTCTATCCATGAGCTAATTTAGGAGACTGTCACTAGGATTTAGGACATAGGCTCCTCCTTAATGAAAGCTTTATTCTGGAAAAGCACAAATGATTATCTGGGAGGGGGAGGGGGGAATACAAACCTGTTCCAATTACAGGGAAGGCTACAGAGGCATACTGTTTTGCTTCACATTCCTGAAGAACTTTGGAGACCAGAGTTTTGATGCTGGAGCAAGGAGCCAGGTGGATAATTTTTTTACAGCTTAGTTTGCCATTCTGTGTAGTTACAAATCCACTGTGAGGCTGAGAGGCTGGAAAAATGAAAATAACTTCTCCATGAACTATCCTTGACATACAGCGTACTACATTCAGGTAGAGGTATCTATATATACATTTCTTAACAGAGAACACCAGTTATAAACTCTATTTGACAACTGCTTGCCCTTTGTTGCCTACTGCAAAGTCATTTTTGGCACATTGCCGGAAACACTAGGTGTTCTTTTTAAAGTCAAATTGTAGAAATACAGCCTTCTTTGGCACATGCAAAGAAAATAAGGAAAACTCTTTTATGTTTTCCTCTCTTTTTCTCACTTATGGTCAAAGACTATAATACATCTGATTGTTTCCAAACCTGCTCCTCTATCTTCATAAATATTCTGGTACTCTGGTGGGAAGTTACCCTTAGAAGCTGGAAATGGTGCTATCAGGATACTTATTCTGACATCAACATCTCCTGTTCCTTGTCATCTAATTCCAAGGAGCCACATGATCCTTTTAAACAGTACCTATGTCCAATATTCTGATCACCAGACTTTGGTGATCAGATAATTTCCAAATGTGGTGCATGTCAGGTTAACTAAGGAGACGTGGCAGGTATAACAACATTACTTAAATCTGCATCTCTCTGTTCAGTTATATCAGACATGTCAAACTCAAGGCCCATGGGCCAGATCCGGACCGTGATGTGTTTAGATCTGGCCCGCAAGCAGACTAGTAGGAGGAGGTGATTGAATATGTAGCGAGGGGGTGAGCTGAAGCAGGGGCAGCAACAGAGAGGCCTGGGGGAAGAGTCAGCTGAAGCTGTGGTGTTGCTGGGGCTCTGCTGAGACCCTGGGACCAGCGTGCGGGGCTCCAGCTGATTGGGGCTTCCGATGACCTCGGGGTGGCCAGCAGCCACATATAGTCTTTAGGGGAAGAGTCAGTTGGAGCTGCAGGGCTGCTGGGGCTTGGCAGGGACCCCAAAATCAGCACACGCAGCTCCAGCTGATGAGCACTGCATGAAAAGGCCAGCCAGGCAGTGAGTGAACACATGTGGGAGGAGAGGATATTAAAGGAGGGGTTTGGGGGGAAGGAGGAGGAGTGAGGGGGGAGAGAGTTATTGGAAAGAGAGATGTCAGTGGGGCAAGCCTGAGGGAGAGAAAGCGATAGGATAGGATAGGATAGGATAGGATAGGATAGGATAGGATAGGATAGGCTTCTGTCGGGCAAGCCTGAGGAAGAGAAGGGGATAAGATATGAGAGGCTTCTGTGGGGCAAGCCTAAGGGAGACAAGGGACAGCAACTGCCCTTTGAGGGCAACCATAATGCTGATGTGGCCCTCAATGAAATTGAGTTTTGACACCCCTGAGTTAGATGATCACAAATCTCCAAATGGCGTTTTTCCAGGCAGGCTTCTCTCTAATAACCAAACACAGCCTCTTTCCCCAGCCCAAACATGTTGGGATTACAATTCCCAATACTCTAAAAGGAACTAAATGGGAAAAAAGGTTTCCAAATTTAGTTTTTAACTAAACCCCACCTGCTGCAACCCATATACTACTGAAAAATAAATGTGTACATTTGTGTCTGGCTTCCTAATTGGATCCAGATTGGATCTTTTTCATCAGCACGTTGCCTCCTGCTGATTCATAGATCTTTCTTTACAACAACAAGAACAACTAACTTGCAGAGTAGTACTGACAAATGTATTCAGAACTATCATTAAATAATATAGGAAATACCAAGCAAACTACATTTGGCAATTGAATTCTGCCAAATCCTCTATTACCTAACCCAATGGGACTTCTTGTTGCACCTTACCAAGTTTTACACATTCTGCTTCAATTTCAGGTCCTGCAGCTTCCAAAATTGCTTTGGAGACACCTGTAAAGATATGAAAAAGGGGAGGAATATGTATGAAAGTAAACAACGAATATCTCTGGTTACAAGAAAATAGTTTAAATTCCTCAGTTATTTCAATGAATCTTCATTTTTCACTGTCACTCATTCATACACATGCAAACAGACTTTTGCATATCCAGATAGCTTTTTGTCTCACCAAGAATGAGCACTCAGCTTATTAGGATGTTCAGAAGATAGTCATTTGAAATTCAATACCTAATTTGGATGTGAAGTTTTCATTGGTCAAATTCACAATGACATCTGTGTTTTCCTTTATAATATCTCCTATCATTGACTGGAAGGTAATGGATCCAATCTGCATTTCATTATTCCCTAAAGCTGAAGTAGAAAGGGATCCAAAGAAACCTGTGATTAAAAAAGAAGCACTATGATTGAGTTATAGCACTGATGAATAGAATAGAATAGAATAGAATAGAATAGAATAGAATAGAATAGAATAGAATAGAATAGAATTCTTTATTGGCCAAGTGTAGTTGGACACACAAGGAATTTGTCTCTGGTGAGTAAGCTTTCAGTGTACATACAAGTAATATTGATAAATCATGATCATAACAACATAAAAATACATTCATCATAAATCATAAAATACAACACTTCATTATAAATCATAAGATGCAACACTTAGTGCTAGTCATAGGATATTAGCTAAGCAACAATAATTCATACTAGGATACTAAATAAAACAATATAAATTGTAAGATACAAGCAACAAAATTACAATCATAAGAAAATAAGGATAGGTAATAGGATAGGTGAGAATAATAGTAATACAGCTTTACTAAATAGTTTGACGGTGCTGGAGGAATTAGTTGTTTAGCAGAGTGATGGCATGGAGGAAAACTGTCCTTGTGTCTAGTTGTTTTGGCATGCAATGCCATATAGTGTCATCCTAAGGGAACAAGTTAAAATAGTTTATGTTCCATCTATATACAGATTCTCAAACAAGACCCATCACTGTTGCATCATCTGCAAACTTCAGTACTTTAACAGAGGGATCTTTTGAGATGGAGTCATTGGTAAATAGAGAGAAGAGAGCACACAGCGGTAGGGGCCCCTGTGCTAATTGTACAGATATCTGTTGTGATTTTTGCCTAGCTTCACTTGCTGTTTCCTGTCTATTATAAAGTGTTGGAATATTCATGAACAGGAAGAGTCATGTGGTAACTCAGTCAGCCAATGTGAAGAAAGTGCTACTGAGTCTGTGCAAAAGAGTATTGAGTTAGGAGCTGGATTTCCAGTCTCATGTTTGTCTCTGGTCTGTCTCTGTAAGAAATCTTCATTAAGCTATGTTGCTGTAAAGAATGGTATTGTAAATATTTTTATATAAATATAAAGTTATTTGAATCAGCTAAATGCAGTCAACTGTGAGAGCTTCTGATTTATTTTTCACCAATTAGAGAAATTAAAATTCTCTAACATAAAGCTTATGATCCACTTAGAGGTCTGGTCAGGCACAGCTGGCTGATTTAGTTTAGTGAGAAGAGTTATCTGGAATTCTGTGCTGAATGCCAAGCTGAAGTCTACAAAAAGGCCCCTTGCATAGGTCTTTGGAGATTCAAGATGTTATAGGATGTAGTACAAAGCCATATTAACAGCACCATCTGCTGAATCTGTTTGCTCAGTAGGCAAATTGCAAGGGGTCTAACGGTGGATCCGTGATGGTTTTCAGGTGGGCCAGCACTAACTTTTCAAAGGTTTTCATAACTATGGATGTCAGAGCAACCGGTCTGTAGTCATTCCGTTCTTTGATGGAGGGTTTTGTTGGCACTGGGATGATAGTAGAGCATTTGAAGCAAGAGGGAACATAGCACATCTCTAGTGATTTATTAAAGATGCGGGTGAAGATGGAAGCCAACTGGTCAGCACAAGCTTTCAAGCAAGAAGGAGTTATCTTGTCTGGGCCTGGTGCTTTTCCAGGCTTTTGTCTGGGAAATAGACCTTGTACATCGTTTTCCCAAGGGGATGGAGTCAGTTGTAGGAGGTTTGGCTGTTGCTGGTGTATCTGAGATGGGGATGGTGGAGATAGGTGACAGTGGTTTCCTCTCAAACCTATAGTAAAACACATTCAGGTCATCTGCCAGTTGTCAATTTCCTTCAGCGTGGAGAGGATGCTTGCTGTAACCTGTGATATTTTTTGAGTTTTCCACATATTTGCTGGTTTATTTGTTGAGAACTGATTCCTTAGCTTTTCTGAGTAGCTTCTTTTTGCTGCTCTGATCTCCCTTGTTAATACATTTCTGGCCTGATTGAACAGTATTCTATCTTTCCTGTAGGCTTCTTCTTTGGCATGATGTAGCTGCTTGAGTTTAGCCGTGAACCAAGACTTCTTGTTACTGTATATTTGCAAGTTTCTGGTTGGCACACATGGATCTTCTCAAAAACTAACATATGATGTTACAGTATCTGTGAGTTCATCCAAGTCGGCAGGTATCTTCAAAAATTTTCCAGTCAGTGCAGTCAAAGCAAGTCTGTAGCTTTAGCTTTGCCTTCTCTGTCCAAGACTTCACTGATTTAATTATTGGTTTTATGGTTTTAAGCCTTTGTCTATAAACAGGTACAAGGTGAATCATACAATGATCAAAGTGTCCCACAGCTGCTCGTGGTAAAGACCGATAGGCATTTTTTAGTGTTGTGTAGCAGTGGCCTAAAGTATTCTTGCCATCTAGCAAGACAGTTAATGTGCTCAAAGTATTTTGGTAGCTCTTGGCTTAAGTTAGCACTGTTGAAATCTCCTAACATAATGAGGAGTGAATCAGGATATTTTTCTTCAGCCCACATAATCTGGTCAGCAAGAGTTTGCAATGCTTTATTTGTGCAAGCTTGTGGCGAAATGTACACTGCAAATAGGACAAATGAGGAAAACTCTCGTGGAGAATAAAATGGTTTGCGATTGATTTTGTTTCACTTTTCCTTAGTCTATTCAAAATCCCCTCTCGCTCTTCTCCTTTTCTTTCCATTGCTCCATGAAAGTTCCTTCTTCCTGTATTAGAATCTCTTCTTCGTTTGTAAAGGGGGGGGGGAGAAGTCACAGAAAGCTGCCCATTAAAAAAACATTTCCTGATGCTTAACAATTGGTCTCTTGAATATGAAATTCGAAGTGAATCACAGCAAATAATAGAAAATAACAAAACTATCAGAGAGCATTTCACCAAGGCTGACATTGGCACCGCCATCTTCATGATATCCATGGACTGAGCACTATCCCCCCATTCCTTGTAAAATATAAATACCTATTTCAAGAGCTAGTAAAAAAAAATCATTTTTTTTTTCTCTCAGCCTAACTCACCTCACAGGACTGTTGTTGTTGAGAAAAGAGGAGGAGTTTGCCTCCTTGAGAAATTTGTAAAAATAATAAAGGCAGGATACAAATAAATAAATAAATCATACTAAGCTATGATTCAGAAACAACAATGGCTGTATTTGTACAGTGCATTAACTACCCAAACCAACCAAATCATGCTATGGCTTCGCACATGAGGTCATGGCCATTCTGAAAGAAAGTATAAAACAGAAGATCTCCAGCCTTTCCGGCTTTGCAGACTGGCGGAGGGAGAGGGAATGACTATATGTGAGGGATGGGCGCATGAGCGCATGCGCTTACCTGCCACTTCCATGGCCCGGTTCCAAACGGGCCAAGGCCCAGTAGTGGGCCATGGGCCGGAGGTTGAGGACCCCTGGTATAAAACATATTCTGAAAATGTAGTCCCTCCATTCTTCTAGTAGCTATTACTGATATTATTTAAAGGAAGGCTTGTTCACATATAACTCATGTTACATCCCAGTTGGAACTAATATAGTTCTGGAACTCATAATAAGAAAAAGGTGGAGAAAGAAGAAAAGTCCGTCCAACTGAGCCCACGCATTACCTGCCATTTCTTCACTGCTCGGTGGCGCAGCCTGGAGAATACCATCAATCCCAGATCGAAAAACCTCTGTAAATGCCTAGGGGGGAAAGTTATTCACATGTTTCCAAAACTCTGCAAAAAGGGAACAATAACACCATGGAACCATTCTTACAAAAACTGAATAATGTCACTGGGGGCAACAGACTCACAAATATGGGGGTCATGAGGGACAATGTCATTGGACGCCCCTTGATAGAATGAGTGTTTCTACTAAAAATAGGTGCATCCAACAGCTTCAATAAAATACAACAGCTTCCTGAATAGGGGGAAGCCAGCAAGCTGTTAACTCTATATTTTTACTACAATTTACTAACATTATGGCAAAATTGCTTCACCCACCCTGCCACCACCCCGCCAAAACCATGGGGCTGTGGGTAACTGCTTGATTTGACTGTCCTGAAAGATAGGACAGTCATCTATCATCTTTGAGCAGCACAGATGATTGAATGGAAAAATAAAAATACAGCCAAATAGGATCAGAGTGATATGTCCACAATTCCATAGAATGCTTAAACATCGTTAATGGGATAAGCCACATTTGACTGGATTTGAACATACTATGTCACAACCCCTAACAAAACAAAACATTAAGTTTGGTAAGAGAGCCAGTTTGGTGTAATGGCTATAAACCAGGAGACCATCAGTTCAACTCTCATCTTAGTCATGAAAAACCAACCTGGTTATTTTGGGCCAGTCTCTCTCTCTCTCTCAGCCCAACCAACCTTACAGGGTTGTTGCCGTAGGGAAAATAGTACTAGGAAGGTTTATTGGGTATTTGCTGCCTTATTTGTAAAAATAATAAAGGTGGATAAAAACAAACGAGCGAATGAATAAATTTAGCCAAAATCAAGCAAATCACATTGTAGTTTCGAAAGATATGTGGACTACCTTTGAATGTATCTGGGGAAGCAGATGCCCATCCAGCAATCCAACTTTGCTGCTGCTGTTTTTTTAATTATTAGCAGGACATTTACAATTATTTTCCCAAGGTAAAGTTTGAGATTTCGTAAAAACAAACGGCAATTTCTTATTTGGAAGAAAAGTAACATTACCTTTATATTGTCTTTATCTTTTGGATGTAGGAGAATGTGAACTTTCTGAAGGGACTTGAAATTCTTCTTTCTACTAAACGTAAGTATTTCCTTAAACATACATTTAGCCACCTCAGAATTTGGAAAATTAAAACCTCCAGTCCCAATGGCTGGGAATGAGATAGACTTTAATGATAACATTTCAGTCCTCTCCAGACATTTCCTCATAATATTTTGAAGTTTCTGTAAAATATAAAGCAATATTTCACGATCATGCTTTAAAAGGCCCAATATTAAGACAAGTCTTAATTTAGGAACCAGAATAGACAAGAGATGTGCACAGATCAACTTCATTCACACATAAAGACAGGGATATGAAAAACATGAAGAGCTACATCCAACTTCAACTCAGCATATTCAATTGCATCAAAACTATGACTCTGGTGTTGAAGAATGGTTTACAAAGAAACACCTCTTTTTTTTTTTTTTTTTAGTAAGAGGACATAATGTATGTATTCTGATATCAGCCCATCAGCGGATAAGCCAACCCTCAAAAATTTTAACCAAAGCACAATGGAAAATATCCTGCTAATGGATAAGCTGTTCCAATTTATCATGGTATTTTAGTTAAAAATTCAGGGGTCAGCTTATATACAGATGGGTTTATTCACAAGTATATACGGGTAATTTAAAAACTATGATGATATATCCTTGTAGATAAACCATCTGCAGATAAACTCATATTAGCACCCAAAATTCTTAGCTTATCTTCAAGTATATAAAGTAAACGGAAATAAGATGGACAATTTAACATGCATGCTTTGTAACTTTAGTACAAACTGACACACAAAGACTGATATTAAAACCAAAACCAATAACAGAGCTATTGAGAATGCCCAGGAAAGTATTGGCAAAGCTCAAGAAACTGCCTTGAATATTGCCAAAGAGCATAAAAGGAAGTATCGGCTTCCACTATTCTTTAACTTGAATTGTTAATTTCATTTAGAGACACAAGATTATAAACAATGGTCATCAACAATCCTTCTTGTTGACTCATGAACATTATATTCCAAGACAATTACAGCAAACAAGGAAGCAAAATGAACCAGTACCTTGATTGCATTCCCTTTTCCTGCATCCCATTGTGGAACTATAATGTGGAACAAAACACAGCCAAGATTATGCCCGTGGGTTGGAATTACACAGTTGTCTAGGGCTCCTTGATTTTGGACCACTTGATCAAACTCATCTTGAAGCTCAACTCCAGCTTTCTGCAGCACAGCTTTTGAAAGTGGGCCTACGCCAAGCTTTAGATCCTCACCAATAGTGCTTACGATAACATCTGTCTGGAATCAAAGCCACGTTCAAATTACTTCCAAGAAGATTTTATGTATTACAAGATTAACTGACTAGGAGTTAAGTATGTGTATCACAGAGTATTCTTTGACCCATGATGCTGTTATTAAGGTAACATAGGGAGAAAACAGACCTTAAACAAATGAGACATCTTTGATCCACTGGAGACTCCAGCAGGGAATGGAAACAGTATGGGGAAAAGATTGCTAATTTCTTGCAACTCCATCGCCAATGACTCATATCATAATGAATTAGTTCCCAATTTGGCATGGATTATTAATTCAAAAGGTTGGACGAATGGCAGAGAAATCATTAGTGCTTCCTTCCATTATCAAAGTTTAAGCATGCCTTTTCCATTAACACCCAACGATGCTTTTTCATGAGACAACTGGACTTTTTTGTTTTTGAAGACAAGAAAGTCACATTTTAGACAGAGGGGACCGCTATTTTGAAACAGGGGTCAAAGAGGCCATCTGTATCAAAATTGAACAGTCCTCTCTCAACAGAGAGGGAGGGATCCAACATCATATATCTTCAGTCTACAACACAGTCCTTTCAACAGTTCCAAGAAGGCCCCACACCCATTTGCACCACTCAGGTGACCATGATGAGAAAGATAAACTTCCAGGTGACATCAAGAATGCAAATGACCAGCTGTTTGCCAGTATAAATCCTCTCATTCCCCACCATCCAGTCAGAGCTGAAAAAGCTTCTTGGATGAGAAGCGAAATGTCTTCAAAGAAAAACAAAAAAATCCAGTTGCCTCATGAAAAAGCATCTTTGGGACATGTATGACCTGGATGACATAGAATCGCTATAGAAAATCATAGTGAAAATGTATCTACTTTTCCCCTTTGATTGCCTTTTTGCTAAACAGTAAGATACCATACATTAATATCTTATTATTTTTACTTTTTCCTCCCATAAACATTCCTTAATGAAAAAGGGATAGAATCTACTAATTGCAATAATCAGAAAACACTCTAGAATTACAAAGATGATGACCCATTCAGATTCAAGCATTATACTGAAATAACATTAACACTGCTTTGTAATAGGGCTCCAATGACATTCTACAAATTATAACTCCTATTCTTGCTACTTAGCATCTCAACAAATATTGTAGAGAATTTGTAACAGGAATAGCAGTTCCTGTTACAAGAATAGAAGAATTTCCATTAACAGAACCCACGAAATAGAGCATGGAAATTCAGTTCATATCCTTTGCCCGGATGTGAAAAGTAGAATTTTCTACTATTCATGCAGCACATCCCTGGTTCAGAGTCTTCTCTCCAAAGGCAAGAGCTTTTAAAGTTGTCAAAACTAAAAGACTATTCCAATCTTCTCCAAGATGTGCAATTAATTCTAATCTAACACAACAAATCCATCTGGGCATTGGAGAAGACGATATTCAGATGCAATTTTGTTTTAAGATTTCTCCTTCAATGTATCAAAATATCAGCATTTTAGAAGCATAATATAAATGGCTCTAAATGAATAAAAATATGTTTTAGCTGTATTGAAGATAATTTAAGTTCCTCTGCTAATATAAATACTTACCGTAGCATCTTCGATGCCTTTTTCTTCTAGGATAAGTTTCAGACCTTCATGAGAAGTCACTACAAGATCGTCTTTACTCTCCATAAGTTGACTGTTTGATCGAGAAGACAGTGATGTGGGCTGGGGTGGTCCACTTTTAAACACTTCGCGTAAAGCATCAGAAAAAGCCTGAACTGTTTTGGGGGTCATATCTACCAGGCAAATCTGTTTCAGGCTGCTGTTCTCAGAAAATTCTTCTAAGGTTTCCTTAATGGCTGTTAAAATGGAATGAGTGCACTCTTTTATTGGGAATCCAAAAATCCCAGAGCTTATGGCAGGGATAGCTATGGAGCGATGACTGAATTTTTCTGCCAGTTTTAAGCTTTCCCTTACAGCTTTCTTTAATAGTTGTATACAGTTTTCTTTGTCGCCACTGGTCCATCTTGGCCCAACAGCATGAATCACCTGTTTACACGGCAAGTTCCAAGCTCCTGTGATTACTGCACAGCCAGGCTTCAGCTCTCCATGTTTCTGTATGAGACCATCACATTCATCTTGCAACTGTGGGCCAGCCGCTTTTAGCAAAGCATTGGCAAGGCCACCAATGTGCTTCAGTGCTTCATTTGATGCGTTGACCACAACATCAGCTTGATAACGGGTCAGATCTCCCATACAGACCTGTATCACCACACCATTTTTTAAGTCTATCTTGGTTTGAAGGTGTTGTGGAGTTTCCACAGAACCTCCGTTTTTCTCATCTTCTCTTTGCAATCTGATCAAACAGCTGAATTCTGTTTTCACTTGGTTAACATAGTAACGTTCTTGGTTTTTGAAAAAGTCTTTCACTCCAGGTTTATCAAACACTACATTCACAGAGTGCAGTGAAGACAGCATTTGTTGTACCATCACTGCTGCCTCTGTCACTTCTACTTTGGGTCCACTCAAGACAATGTTCTTCTGTTTTGGCATGAGTCCAAAATTAATTATCAGGCCTTTCTGGTTCAAATCACACCAAACCTTCTGTTTTTCCTCCTCTATAAACTGCACCATAGCCACTGACCTGGCAGGAATTACTGTTTGTGTGAGGGTGTTTCTTTCAACAAAATCAGAAAGTTGTTGGTAGACATCTGCTACAACTTTTGTATAACCAGCCACAATAATTTTAGCATCTCCATCCAAATCAATCCAGTCCTCAATTATTACACTTTCTTCAACAGAATTATTTAGCTTCTGAAGATGCTTAATTAGTTCTTTCCATTGCTTTCTATGGATGAGTTCCTGGTCCTTCAATGTAATGCATTCATGATTCAAACATTTCTTTATTTGTTCCTCTGCTTTTAAGAGGCCTTCAGGAGAATATCCTACCAAAGCTATAGAATCATGTGTAAGTTCATAGACGGCATTAATTTTATTTTCCGTAAACAGGCTCCATGACAATTTAACAGGGTCTGCCCTTTGTAGGAATTGAAAAATAGAAGGATGAATATTGACATTTTTCTCCACTATCCTGAACATCTTCTCTAGTAAGTCACTTTTCATTTTGTAAACCTCTGTAAGTATCCCATTCAGTTGCAACTGCTTTGCTGAAGCATCATAACTCCATTTCAGCCCAGTGTTTTCCTCACTGATATTCTCTTGTAGCAAGATATGCTGCAAAAGTTTATACTTTACAGGGGAAATTGACAACGTTTGCTGTAATGTTTGCCTGGCTATTTCAGCATCCTTGGTCAAATGTTCTATATATTCCCTCAACTCTTTCTCCACACTACCCACAGTGAATGCAAAACCAGCTAGAGTAACACAATTTTTGGAGTCGTCCGGCACAGCCAATACATTTTTTAACAAATTGCTTTCAAGGATCTCCCATGCTTCTGGAATGATTTTGCATTTAACTGTCTTGAACTTTGACAGGATGCATGCAAACTCCTCAGAAACTTTATCTTTCCAAGACCTAGCCAGTTCTTTTATGGACTTTCCTTGCTTAGCTACGATAGCTGAGGGAGACAGTACGAGTTCTGGTTGCTCACAAGTTGCCTGGGGCCATATTACTTCACAGAAACAATTGGCCATTTCTTTCTCTATTTCTTGGATTAATTTATACTTTCCTTGTAGAAATTGCCATATATAAGGATCTAAAGGGACACTGATTGATTCCGGCATCTTGATTTGTGGCTTCTCCTTTCCATACAAAACTGTATTCAATGAACTGTAGAATGGATAAACCAGGACTGACTGGCCATTTAATGAGTGCTGCTTTTTCAATGCTGTCAGGGCAGCTATAAACAAACAAACAAAAACAGAATATACTGAGAATTTGAATCAGAAGTTGCAATAGAAATAGATACAATTCAGATACCATGCAGTGAACATGTACAGTACTTAAAAAACAAACATAATTTTCAAATTTCTTGGAACACAGCTTCTAAAAACCAATTAAGAATTTTTCAGCATTTTTTTTAAATCCATTATTATTCATGTGCTCAATGCTGATATGCTGTATTTGTCATAATAAACTACATCTTTCTACCAACATTTGTAAGTTTAAATATTTCTCCATACATTTTCTCTTTATTCACAATCATCTACTTGTCCTAGTTTTTAGCCATTTATGCATCGCTTGCAATCATTCATTCCATTTTCCTATCAAACACAACTATGTGATATATCTTTCATGGATTAATTAAGTCACAAGTATTCCTTATATTTCATTCACATCATACATATTTGCTTCATTCTCTGATCAAAACTGAACCATTAATTAAATGTATTATGGCTGCCTACTCTGGGCAATTCACAAAATTCGAATATAGAATTAAAAAAGTTTAAACATAAAATAAAACTGGACAGTCCAGACTACCAATTAACCATCACAATAAAATATGATGGACCTCCTACTAACCTAGGTCTGTGAATATTTATGCTTATTTCCGTCATGTATCATTCACACTCACTTTACTTTCATCACATAATACTCTTATATCTTTGAGCTAACAACTTTCAACTCCATCTCTGCAATAAATGTTCCATAATTCAAGCACATTTCTTTATGCTGCAAACCACATCCAGGGAGTAAAGCAATAAATGCACATTGTCTGTCTCACAAGCTCCAATCTTTGTCCTGTGATGTAATAATCAGTTTGGGGCTGCTGCTGCTGCTGTGTCCTCTCTGCTAGTTCTGCCATTTGAAATTCTATTGATGTGCACACATCAAGCCCAATGCTGTTATGTGCCCAAACTTCACTCATCAGTTTTTGACTTCTAGCCAAGCAGTAGCAAACTCCTTTTGTGTAAAAATAGAACAATTACCTTGGGAGTCATCAAATTTAACCAGAGCTGAATCTTCTGTAGGTAACCTCTGAATATCGGACACTTGCCCTCCTCCTTTTTTTGGACTTTCAAAGTAAAGAGTTAGGAATTCGCTGGATGTTGCAGCTGGAATATTCTCAACTTTGATTACATTAGTCAATTCGAGGGGTCTGGCTGTAAGTCTGTACTGCTGGAATCTGCGGTTCTTAGAACATTGCTTAAGAAAATTTGCAGCTGCTAAAAACAGAAATCAGAAGTTCTTAAATATGTGCTTTCCATTTCTGTGCACACATGTGAAAACCGACAAGAGTTTAAAGATTCAGTTATAGGTAGCTTTCAACTAACAAACACAATTGAGCCCAAAATTTATGTTGCTAAGTGAGACAGTTGTGAAGTGAATTTTGCCCCATTTCAATCTTTCTTGCCACAATTATTAAGAGAATCATTGCAGTTGTTAGTAACATGGTTGTTAAACGAATCAGGCTTCCCCATTGATGTTGCTTGTCAGAAGGTTGCAAAAGGTGATAGATCACCTGACCTTGGGACATTTCAGCCGTCATAAATATGAGTCAATAGCCGAGCATCTGAATTTTGATCATGTGACCAAAGGATATTGCAATGGTTGTGTGAAAACCAGTCAGCAGTGTGCTGCAGCTGCCAAAAAGGCCAACACAGCGCTAGGCTGCATTAACAGAGGGACAGAATCAAGATCACGTGAAGTGTTAATACCATTTTATAATGCCTTGGTAAGTCCACACTTGGAATACTGTATCCAGTTTTGGTCACCTCGATGTAAAAAAGATGTTGAGACTGTAGAAAGAGTACAAAGAAGAGCAACAATGATGATCAGGGGACTGGAGGCTAAAGCATATAAGGAACGGTTGCTGGAATTGGGTATGTCTAGTTTAATGAAGAGAAGGATGAGGGGGGACATGATACTAGTGTTCCAATATCTCAGGGGCTGCCACAAAGAAGAGGGAGTCAAGCTATTTTCCAAAGAGTCTGAAGACAGGACAAGAAGCAATGAATGAAAACTAATCAAGGAGAGAAGCAACCTAGAATTAAGGAGAAACTTCCTGACAGTTAAAACAATTAACCAGTGGAACAACCTGCCTCCAGAAGCGGTGAATGCTCCAACACTGCAAGTTTTTAAGAAGAGACCGGACAGCCTTTGTCTGAAATGGTATAGAGTTTCCTGCCTAAGCAGGGGGTTGGACTAGATGACCTCCAAGGTCCCTTCCAACTTTATTCTATTATTATTATTTTTATTATTATGTCACTTTTGTAGTGGTTATAACTTCAAATGTCACTAAGTGAACTGTTGTAAGTCAAGTACTATCTGTACGATGTTGCAACAGATCAATGTTCTCTGTATGTTTTATAAACCCTGGCCAATCCCCAAAAGTAGTTAAGCAAATACTGGGTTGTTATTTGGATAGGATACTTCCAGGGAATACCTTGGGTTGATAGTTAAACTGAGAATGGAAAGACATCCTATAAAACAGAAAAAGCAAACCACTTCCATACAGTTGTCAAGAATAGTGCATGGAGGTATCCATGTAGTCATCATTTTGTAGGTGGCCCCCATTCTCCCAGCATTGACAATATCTGGGAAGACATGTCACTTTCACCCAGGAATTGTGTAGATTAAAAGCAACCTGCATGTTTAGAGTCAGAGCTTTTGTATGGAACTGAATGCTCTTTTGAGAAAAAGGGTGGAGAGGTTAATCAAATAAATTAGCAGATAGTATAGGTACTCCTCAGCTTAGAACCATTATAAAGCCTTCCCATTATGGTAGTAAGTCATGACTGACCCAATTTTACAATCCTTTTTGTTATGGTCATTAAGAGAATCATCCTGATTGTCAAGTGATTGCTGCAGTTGTTAAACAAATGCTGCAGGCATTAAGCAAACCCATTGTTCACTATGAAGCATTTTTGCAGAAAATCAAAAGTAAAAGTTGATTTTCAGCAAAAATGTCATAAATTGCGATCACGTAACCATGGGATACTGCAATGGAGGCCACTTGTCCAAAATACAATCATGTGACTACAGCGGGCCCTTAGCTGGCAGAATTTTGATCCCAGGTCATAGACCAAGGACTCCCAGTACAGTGGAACTGGAAAACAGTAGTGATGAATAGTTATCTCCCTAATTATGCATTTCTTTTAAAAGAGGGAGGAAGAGCATCTGGCATTAATTCTTCTCCTTTAGAATTAGAATGGTGAATCAGCTAGTAGGTAGTTTTCTGGCATAAAAAGGTCGTTCCTATTTTCTTATCTACCTATGACAGTGTTTCTCAACCTTGACCATTTTAAGGCATGTGGACTTCAACTCCCAGAATTCCACAACCAGCAATGCAAGTTACCGTTAACACTTTCCTTTAGCCATCACTCACATGGCTTAGCAATGTAAAAAGAATCAAGAACATAGGGAAAAAAATGGTTAGTAGTGGTGGAAGTTAAAGACAAAAAAAATTAAGGGACAGATCTGAGAAAAAATTATAAGGGCTATGGTGCTCCTGTTAAACAGGAGCACTAAGTCTGGTCCAGCACAGACAAAGAGGCAGAGTCCAACTCTCTCTGAGTCACGTGTTTATTCAGTTCTGGACAAAGGTCAGTCCTCCTATAAGGCTGGAAAGACCCTGAACAACTTCTTCAGCATGCTTTTAGAGTAGAATAGACTAGAGCTGGAAGGGACCTTGGAGGTCTTCTAGTCCAGCTCAAGCAGGAGAACCTATACCATCTCAGACAGGTGGTTGTCTAGTCTCTTCTTAAACATTTCCAGTGATGGAGCGCCCACGATTTCTGGAGGCAAGCTGTTCCACTGGTTGACTGTCCTCACTGTCAGGAAGTTTCTCCTTAATTCCAGGTTGCTTCTCTCTTCGATCAATTTCCAACCATTGTTTCTCGTCCTTCCCTCTGGTGCTCTGTTGAACAACATGATCCGCTCATTCTTGTGGCAGTCCCTCAGATACTGGAACACTGTTATCATGTCTGCCCTATTTCTTCTTTTTAGACTAGCCAAACTCAAGTCCCTCAGCCATTCTTTGTATGGTTTAGTCTCCAGACCTTGGATCATCTTAGTTTCTCTTCTCTGAATTTTTTCCAAACTCTCAACATCTTTTTTGTAATATGGTGACCAAAACTGGCTGCAGTATTTCAGGTGTGGTCTTATTAGGGTTTTATAAAGTGGAACTAATACTTGATTCTATGCCTCTGTTTATACAACCTAGGATTGTATTAGCATTTTTGGTTGCTGCTGCACACTGCTGGCTTATAGTTATTGTCCACTAGGACTCCAAGCTCCCTCTCACAGTTACTGTTTTTAAGCCAGGTCTCACCCAATTTATACTTTTTACTTTTGTGCTTGGATCCATAAGCAGGAAACACAGCTGATTAACAGCAGATAAAGAAAGTATTAAAATATCCATGCCCATTTTTAGCAAGTTTTATTTAAGACCTTTTGTGGTTTCCCTATCATCCTTTCCCACACTCAGGATACATGTCCTTTATTTCAGCCATTTCAATATAGGAATCAGAATCCTGATCAACAACTCTCATAGATTTGTGGGGTACAAGTTCTTGTGACCTCCCAAATGACTATAGGTGACAGGGACTGAAGTCCAACGTATCAGAAACATACTCGACTAGGAAATGGTATCGTACACCATAAGATTCTCCAAATATTAAACATCTGAGCAATGAGCTTAGAGATCTTACCAGTGCTTTGCTGAAAGGTTATCACTGCAGCCTTCTTCTCATTTATCTGTTCAATATGGAAGGTACTATCTCCCGAAAGAGCATTGATGTTATCTACCAGTTGCGTTAATGTGTCCGGGTGGATATTTTCTTCAACATTTTCAAGGACTACTTGTGAAGATGTTTGAGGATAGTCAAGAATATCCTTCTCAGAATGTGGAGCTTCCTCAGCTGGCCCACTTCTTAGGGTATCATTCTGTGTCTGGCAGTCTTGCACTTCTAATTTTTTAAAAAAGAGGAATAAATAAAAAGATTCAGCTGCGCAGGATTGGCTTATATTTTTAAATTACTTAAATATACTAGGGAGCAGTTTGGAACAGTGGCTAAGTGGCTGGCCCAGAAACCAGCAAAGACTGTGACTTCTAGTTCTCCCTTAGGCGTGAAAGCTGACTCGGTGATTTTGGGCCAATCCCTTTTTCTCAGCCCAGCCCACCACAGATGATTGCTGTGGGGGCAAAAGAATTAGGCATGTTTGCTGTCCTGAACTATGTCTAAAAAGGCAGCATGAAAAAATTAATATCACACTACTTTAAAATTATATTCACTTTACTGAAGTTACATTTATTTTTATTTTTAAATGCCAGGGTATTCTTTTTCAAACATCCCAGCTTAATTATCATAATTCAGTATTGACATAGGAGATTTTAACTCAATTCTACCCATACTTACTGGCAACTAAAAAGCTGTATCTACAGCAGTCCACAGTGATTCATCAAACTAAATGTTGAATTTATTGAATCTCCTGTAAAGCAACTCAAGCCAGTGGCTGCACACACATTTTGAAGTAGAAAAATTCTAAAGGTTGGGAAAGGACCTTCCTTTTCTCTTACATCTTTCACCATCGCTGGGAAATTATATATGCTAATATTCTGAATGGGCCATTTTTCTCTATAGTCACTTTATGCATACTGCATTCTAGTAGTATGAACTATGAATCTGTCGCACTTTTCTTGCTTTCTTCTTTATGCCAACAAGCTCCAAACAACAAAACTCAGAAAAATTAGAACCTCTGAGTTACTGTTTTCTATACTTTTCAAAGTCTAGAACACTGTAAATCATCTGCCCTGGTAGATTATCTGCTCCTTATACAAATATGGAACTGGCATGTAAAAACCAAGGACCTGTTTCATCAGCAACTGCTTCCATCTCCAAAATTTCCCTTGGTACCAAAGTAAAATTGTCTCAATGTTTAAAACTTTGATTTACCCTTCTCTTTTGCTTGGCCTTCTTCTTTCAGAGCCTAGAAATAAAAAGAGGAGGGGAACATTAGCATGAGAATGTACTGCCTGGAACTTCTGTTGATCTCTCTTCAAAGGTATGAAATCTATGAGGTTAATGTTACCTTCCCAGGAATTATTTCCTCCTTAGCTGCATTATCTTTCTCTGGGTCTGTTGCTTCATACAGGGAGACTTCCAGCTTTACTGTTCCTCTTCCTGTCACATCAAACTCATGGATCTTCTGGGAGAGAACTCTTTGCCTCACTGTGTCACAAAAATACATTACATGAATCATTATGTAGCAGGAGTAGGGTGAGCTGAAGAGGCAGTTCGGGGAGATGCCTGGGGGAAAAGTCAGTGAGGGGGCAGAGAAGAGTGGAGGCTCTGCTGAGGCCCAGGATGTGGGGGATAAGCCTGGGAAAGAGGATGATAGGGAGGAATGGAAAAGGCTTCTATAGGGGAAGCCTGAGGGCGAGAAGGGGATAGAAGAGGAGAGGCTTCTGTGGGGCAAGCCTGGGGGGGGGGGGAGAGAGAGAGGGAGAGAGAACACAAACTGACCAGCCACCTGAATACTTTCCCTGCACTTGACCTGTCTGCTGAGAGACTGACCCCCACCTCATCATCTGTTCCAGCCAAGCAGAAGTGCCTAAGTGAGGTACCATTGTGGACGGTAGCCATACAAAGAGGGCCAGGAGAACCCAGACTCCAGCGCCCTTTGGGGGTAGCGCTACAATTAGAATATTTATACTTACAAAAACAGAGAGGCAGCAAATGGAACCTTTGTGCTATCACGCTTAACATTGGCTAGTTCAGCAATCCTTTCTCTCCCTAGCTTTCCTACATCAATAAAACTAAGAGGTACATTTTTAATCTAGGGCTAGCATTTTGTTTAATAAATATTAGGCTTGATGAGGATGGTACTTCCAGATCTGGACTTAAAAAAAAACCTGTTCAATGCCAAAGGGTAGTAATCTTTAGATCTCGTGATCAGCATTCCAAAATGTGGGGATCTGAAGATAAAAGTTTTCAAACTGCTTTGGAGAGATTGGGGAGTAGAAGAGTGGAAAGGCCCGTGAGGAAGGCAAATAAGCGACTTTTTCCACTAAAAGCTTAATTTCCGTTACAACTTTTGCAGCAATCCGATACGTAATAGGAAGAACCGTGTTTAACGCAGCAAAACCGACACTGCGATCCTGAAAACCAGAATTCCAGCCTCCCCTTCTTACTCACGTCGTACTTAAAACCGTCGCTCCTACAGCGAACAAGAAAAAAGGGGGGGGAGTGAAAATTCCCAAGCAACCCCAACGGGAGAGAATAAGACGCCTCCTTTACCTTCCTCCTGGGCAAAGCAAACCAAGATCTGCCCCCCTTGCTTCTGGATCTCGCATTCTCCACCTCCCGATTTTTTCCGGCTTTGAAAGTAGCGGAGGATTTTATTTCTCAAAATTTTGGGGGGATCGGGGCTCCCCCAGGTTCCCTGCACCAGCACAGGAAAGGGGCACATCCTTGCTCTCTCTGCCATCTTTCGGGATAGCGGAAAAACTCTTCTAATCAGCCTGACCGTGTAGCATTTTCACTTTCGTTTCCCGCTACAGGCGATTCCCTGAGTTTCTTTATTTATCACGTGGTCTTCGTCAAACGGAAGTGACAAGAATCGCCTTTTGTGGATCGTGTTTCTTTCGAGCGCTGTCCTCGCCCGTTTTCGCTTTTTCTTCCAAAACAGGTTTTGCAAGTCTGTGAGAATTTTCCTGTCTTTGACATTTGGGTGGTTTGAAAAAAGCTTTTTTTAAAAAAAAAAATTGCGCAGGCGCATAGATTCAAAGAAAACTGCTACGTTTTATCTTTAATTTCTATCTCCCTTGCTTGTTTCGAATCCTCCGCCTTCTCTTTATTTCCTCCTTGTTAATGCTTAGCTCAGAAAATGCTCCATTGCATTCTTCCGTGTTTTGTTTTCCACTCAATCCTGAAATGAAGCAGCAGAAAAAATGCGGGTCAGATGCTGGCTGTGGAATTCTGGGAGTTGAAGTCCACATGCCTTAAAATTGTCAAGGTTGAGAAACACTGACTTAACACAATCAAGTAACACAATCAGTGCTAGTGAGTATGGTGTGCATTATGTTTTTTTTTTTAAAAAAAAAATACAGTTCCTCCTTTTTCTGATTAGAAATAAAAAGTGGCAAAAAAAAAAACCCAACAGTTACTAGGGTCAACTGGTGCATTCCCGGGACTATTATCCCCTCCGAAGGAAGGAAGGCAGGCAGGCCTCAGGTTTCTTCCTATGGTCAGGTCTTTTGAAGATTTGAGGTTTCCATGTATAGACCCTTCCCCAAAGTCCCCATCGGCTGACTTCTGAAGTGCTTGAAAGTTTAAAACTTGGCTCTCGTGCCCGATCTTTCCCAAGCAGGAGAGCCTGCTTACTCACGCATCAAATATTTTTCAATGGGTGGAAGAGACCTCCATCAGTGTTGGACGGGTCCACTGATTCACCCAAAGGAAAGTTATCTTCAGGTTTTCCATGTATATGGCTGCTTTTGATCAAAGGCTTAGGGCAGGGGTAGACAACCTTGGTGCTTTTATGACTCGTGGACTTCAACTCCCAGAACTCTTGAGCCACCTATACTGGCTCAGGAATTCTGGGAGTTGAAGTCCACGAGTCATAAAAGAGCCAAGGTTGCCTACCCCTGGCTTAGGGTCTTAACAATTCTCCCTCTGGAGTCTGTAGTGGTCTGTGAGCTTGGCTGTTTGCTTTCAGATGTTTCATTACTTAACACAGTGTTTCTCAACCTTGACAATTTTAAGGCATGTGGACTTCAACTCCCACAATTCCACAGCCAGCAATGCTGGCTGTGGAATTCTGGGAGTTGAAGTCCACATGCCTTAAAATTGTCAAGGTTGAGAAACACTGACTTAACACAATCAAGTAACACAATCAGTGCTAGTGAGTATGGTGTGCATTATGTTTTTTTTTAAAAAAAATACAGTTCCTCCTTTTTCTGATTAGAAATAAAAAGTGGCAAAAAAAAAAACCCAAGTCATCTCTCAAAACTCACAAATTGGTGAACATTGGGAGGAAACACTGGCAGTCAGCCATTGCAGTGGCCAGAGATATCCCTTAGATTCATGGCATAATAAGCAAAGTACTTTGTGTGGAACATTTTTTTAAGTCCATTGTTTCACTAGGCTACTGGTTATAAATATTTTTTTTAAAAGGTTCAGTAATCAGACAAGGATGAGGGGAAGTTTAGTGGTTCAGTCATTCCCTCTGATCAACTCTTCTGTATGCATCAGGAGCACATGTGAGAAGTGGCAATTCAAAGATGTGCTCTTCCAATAGAGAAAGAACCCACTTTAGTGGTACCCAAAACCTGCCTCACAAAACCCAATGTGGGTTGGGCTTTACACAGGCATGTTTGCCTCCATGGATGCGGGCCTCCTAGAAATGACTGTACAGGGCAGCAACTGGTGATCAAAAGGGGGCGTCAGCAGCTCCATAGACCCCAGATGTTGTCTGAATGGAAGGAAATGCAGCAGAGAAACTGCACTGCTGAACATGTGCTGGGATAAGTGGAAAAGTGCTACTTTTGCAAAAGAGCAGAGAAGCCTGCTTGCAGGTTCACTCCATGCTGGCAGAGTTGAGAACTCAGGATGATGTATCCATTCAGTGCAGCTGACGAAGGATTGCTTGTCCTCAAGTCCCATTCATTTTACATTTCTGATCTTCCCATCCTTTTCACACGGAATTCAGAGAGATATCCATGGCCCTACACCAAAAGAGCCCACCCACACAACTTGTCTTTTTTGGAGGTAATGGATTTAGAATTTCTTAAACCAAAAAAGCCGTTTACTTTATCTGGCAAGCAAATGCTCTAATATGAAGAAAGTGTGTGACCAGGAATCCAAGCCCATTTTCTTCATCTGCCCTGACCATCATTTCCAGAATGGCCTCACCAATGCTTCCAGGATGCTCATTAGTCATAGCCGACTTTAGGGGACAATGCTTATCTCCGTTTCAAGGGCCATTGAATCAGAACTATCTGAAGACATTTTCATGGTTGTGCGGCCAGCATATCACGGAGCGCTGTTACCTTCCCAGTGGTATTTATTTATCTACCTGCATTTGCATGCTTTTGAACTGCTAGGTTGGCAGGAGCTAGACTGAGGATAGGAGCTCACCGTCATGCCATGCTCGGGTCTTGAACTTGGGCTGCCGGCTTTCCAGCTGATAAACCCAGCGTCTTAACTACTGAGCCATCATACTCTAGTCCAGACATGTCAAACACAAGGCCTGGATGTGGCCCCCGAAGCCATCCTGGAAACAGTGAGGGAACAGCCCCCGCTGCCTTGGCCCTGGCCCAGGCCAGCCGGGAGCCAAGGTACAATTTTGTGGTGGCCATCAATGCATTCAGTCTTAGCTCCACAAGGCCATCTAGAAACAGTGAGGGACCAGCCCCTGCTGTGTCGGCCCCACCCCCTGGGTGCATGCTGGGGAGGTATCACCCTTTGTGAGGAATGAAGAAATGGACTATGCCTTGGTGCTTGCCCCGGTCCCACCCTTCTGCCAGAGACCCTCAGATCTGTCCCACTCCTGCCCAGGCCCCCACAGGCACCCTTGACATGAACGATGTAGAGCTGGCCATGCCCACCCAGTAGGTCACACCCACTCCATCCACGCCCACCCAGTAGACTGCACCCACCCGGCCCCCCTGAGGGCAACCGCAATGCTGATGTGGCCCTCAATGAAACTGAGTTTGACATCCCTGCTCTAGTCTATGCCATGCTAGTCTATGCCATGCTAATTGAGCAGGTAAAAGGTAAATATGCCTTTGACTCAAACTCACTTCTCAGATCTGTACCCAAGTTCTCTTGGTGTTTCAGAAGTCATTTGCCATTGCTTTTTCCCAGAATGGTTTTTCAACTTTCCCCTCTAGCCACAGCTCTGGAATCACCAGGTGGTTTCTTTTCCCAACTACTAAGGCCAAGTCTTTTTCACTTTCAAGACTGACTCAGTGCTGCCTACCAGGATTTGAAAAAGTTCCAGGTGAACAATAGTAAAGCTTTTATGTGGAAACATCCCATGGACATGACACTATCACCAGATCTCTAATTCTCAAGTTAGTGCAAAAGTGCAAAAAACTGTCCCCCTGCCCCCCTCCCAGGGTACTATTGGGTTTTTTCTTCCAGATTTGCTGCTTGTTAGTTTAATCCCTTGAATGCATTCAAACGATGGGGTCCATTACTATAAGCTTGGGTTTAGATATTGGATTTTGCCCTACAATACTGAATAATAGTCTTGGCAAGGAAAAAGTATTTCTGAAGGCATTTGGTTTAATTTTCTTAGATTTACATCCTGTCTTTTCTCCAAGTGTCTGAGGAGGCTCACATAAGTATCTCCATGAATTTTATCTTCACAACAGCATTGCGAGGTAGGCAGAGCTGAATGACAATAGCAGGGTGAACCTGAATGTGAAGTTTCCGATCAAATTCAGCAACTTCATCATTGCCACCTTACTGGCCCACTTGTCTGTGATCCATTTACAGGCTTTTTTTTTTTTTGGCCAACTTAAAAGATCCTGCATCATGCATTTGCTGTTTGTAATGTTATCTTAGAGATCTAAACATGATTTATGCCATATACAAGTTACTGACCTTAAGATTTGCACGATACTGTTCTTGATTATTCATTAGCATGCTGGTATTGTTAACCTTCCTAACTTCTTACATCTATTTTGTTGGAGTTTATCAATAACACTTGGAATATCCGGACGAAACTGGAACTTCCAAACTTTCATTTTTAACATGACAGGAAGAACGTTTCATATCTTTTGAATGGCGCATTATTTTATTCATTCAGATATACATGTTTTTCTTACAAAGGCATATGAATATATAATCCAATTGTTTTTATTTTTTGCATTATTAGTTCAATTAATCAAGTTATGGAAGTAGAGATTACTTAAATGTAATGAGATACTCTGGATATGCTTGGATGTCGTTGAAAATTACAAAAAGGGAGGGGGTGGTCAGGTGATCGGTTACACTGTCATACAGATCAGTTGGATCAGTCCCGCTTTTTTGATACGGGACGACTAATCCTTTTGACCCAACACAATATTCTCCCACAAGCACTCTGGCAAGGTACATGTATTTTGTCCCAGATGCATCTGGTTGCGAATAGGTATTGTGGGCAGAATAAGAGGCATTCACAGCAAAGTAAGTTCCATTTCCGAAACAGGCAGCTGTAGAGGAAGAAAACGTATAAAAAGTCAGCAACAATCAGCGTGTATCTCTTCACTCTTTAAGGTACTCTGCCCAATAACACATTGGTCATACCAAACACAACACTTAATTTAAAAAAAAAAAACTTTCCAGGTATGGGTAGCCCTCAGGTTATGACGGCAATTGAGATTAGGATTGCTGTGATAGTAAAGAATGACATCACATGACCGCATCAATTAGTGACAGAAGAGGCAGGAGTCTCAGAAAAGGAAAGGAAGGAGGGTACACAGTTTGTGAGGGGGAGCAGGGGACTGTGGACAAGTTAGCAAGGGCCACTGCCTTATGGGCAAGGTGCGGCAGGTATGTGCTACAAAATGGGGGATATTCCAGTATTTGAGAGGTTGCCACCAAGAGGAAGTGGTATATAAGTCTCATAAATAAATAAATAAACAAACAAACTTATTTTCCAAAGCACCAGACGGCGGGACAAGAAGCAATGGATAGAAACTAATCAAAGAGAGAAGCAACCTGGAATTAAGGAGAAACTTCCTAACAATGAGGACAATTAACCAGTGGAATAGCTTGCCATCAGAAATTGTGGATGCTTCATCACTGGAGGTCTTTAAGAAAAGACTGGACGCTTGTCTGAAATGGTATAGGGTCTCCTGCTTGAGCAGGGGGTTGGACTAGAAGACCTCCAAGGTCCCTTCCAACTCTATTCTGATTGGTTGTAGTATGTTCCTTAGGAGAAAAGGCAATGGGAACAACTTAAGTGGGGTAACTTGCAACCTTCCCTGCTAGGTTCCCCATTGACTTTGCTCGTGGGAAGCCAGCAGAGAAGGTTGGAAATGGTGATCATGTGACACAGTTTGCTGCATCCTCATAATCACAATCTGGGCACCCAAGTGACTAGACTAGGCTCATGTGACATCGGGACACTGCAATGGATAGAACTTTGAGGACTGGTCAGTGCCACCATAACTCTGAATGATTGCTGAACAAATGGTCATAAGCCAAGATTATCTGCAATAGATGGACTCCATCGTATTATCTTGAGCATTACCACTGTAAGGGCGCAGTGGTTAGAATGCAGTATTGCAGACTAATTCTGCTGATTGCCGACAGCCAGCAATTCTGCAGTTCAAGTCTCGACCGGTTGACTCACCCTTCCATCCTTCCGAGTCGGTAAAATGAGGACCCAGATTGTTGGGGGCAAGATGCTGACTCTGTAAACTGCTCAGAGAGGGCTGTAAAGCACTGTGAAGCGGTATATAAGTCTAAGTGGTATTGCTATGTGCTATTACCCTCCATTTGGCTCCTTCCTTTAAACTTTTTCTGAGCACCTGACTTTTCCACTATGAATAGATATTTGTACGGATAATCCTTGACTTACAACCATTCGTTTCGTCACCATTCAAAGTTACAACTGCAGTGAAAAAAGTAACTTATGTAACTTATGACCAGTTTCCACACACATGATCGCTGCAGCTTCCCCATGGTCACATGATCAAAATTTAGCTGCTTGGCAACTGGCATGTATTTATGACAGTTGCATTTGTCCTGGGGAATTGTGTGATCACCATTTGTAATCTTCCCAGCCAGCTTGAGAAGCAAAGTCAATTAGGGAAGCCAGATTTGTTTAACAACTGCATGATTCACTTAACAACCAAGAGATTCATTTAACAACTGTGGCAAAAGAGGTTGTAAAATGGGGCACAACTCACTTAACAATTGTTTTGCTTAACAATGAAAATTCTGGAATGAATTGTGGTTGTTAGGTCAAGGACTACCTGTAATTATGAAATTAGGAGTTCTGGGCTCAGATACAAAGACGTTTTTCTGCATGTGGAAAGCACCTCCTGCTCCTTCCACCTGCCTGGTTTACATCTGGCATCATTCTGGAGATCATCAACTTCTCAAGAGTCACATGATAATTCCTTTCCATGGGAATTCCTCTCTTCTATCTGTGGTGTCCAAACATCTAACTGACTCACTACTGACCAAGTCACTAGGTTATATACTGGACTTCTGCCAGAATGTAAAGAGAACATCTTTTTTCTTCCAAATTTCTTCAAGGATTGCAAAGGTTTTAGTAGAAAATTTCTTTGTTCCGCCCACATCACCCCTGGAGGTATACAAATTATGTTGTGATGTAATGTGGTTTGATTAGCTTTGGGTTAGCATGTTGTGCTACTCTGCTGCAGTGGTCTATAAATCATGGTTACAGCTTAGTACCCAACCCCAGTCTACTGAAGCTGAGTAAACCTGTTAAACCAAACAAGGCTCAAGACAAATAGTGAAACAGCTAATATCATGTTTCCCTGAAAGTAAGGCCTACCCCAAAAGTAAGCCCTAGCTTGATTTTGCGGGTGGGCCAAATATAAGCTCTATCCCCCAAAATAAGCCCTAGTTTTGGGGTGAGGCACACACTTAAAAATCAAGCAAGGCGGGGGTAGGGGTGTGGATCTGCCCCACGTGCCCCGCACCCTCTCCTCGCCGGTCCACTTCTTGAAAGGGCTGAGTGCAAAATGCAGGCCAAAATGCAGCTGCAGAATGCAGCTGCTCCTTCGGCCCCAGAAGAAGTGGACCTGCTGGGTAGGGCTGTCGGTGAGTAAGACATCCCCCCAAAATAAGACCTGGTGCCTCTTTTGGAGGCAAAAAAAATAAAATAAAATAAGGCCCAGTCTTATTTTCAGGGAAACATAGTACCAAGAATCAGCCTTAAAGCGCAATTTACCATGCAATCCAGCATAACTCCTGTTAAAGCCAGTGCTGTTAATGAGGGTTAATGATGTACTGGCTGTTCCATGAAAAAGAAGCATCTCATTATTTACTTTGCCATTCTTAGCATCCATCTCCTGCTTTTTTATTTGGTATGCCTGCCAATAGAAGGGATTTTGTATCCTCTCAATCTGCAAATGAAAAGAGAGCAGAAGTTAGTAATAAGCTATGTTCTTTAAAAAAAAGAATAAAGGAAGAACCAATTTGGATCTTTGGAGAACAGTAATTGAAGCAGAGGTACTATTCTTCACTAAAATAAATTAAACAAGAAATTGAAACCCACCAGTATGGGGCATTGGCTGCAGCATCTCCCATTCCTCTAGTCCTATCTTGGCCACTATCATTCCTGCATGACATGTGGTGTCAGATATGTCCAAGTCAGTGAGCCTGACTAACACAAATTCTTAAGGCAGCCCCTTCTAGATCATTCAGAAGCACTCTACTACCAAATATCAGAAAGACTCTCACAGAGGAGACAGGCTGATTTTTCTCAGATTCTGAAAGGAAGCTGATTTCAATGAAGCATTCAAATTACTTCCTAGTATCAATCTGTTTGCCAGAGAAAGGTGTGCTTCAATGATGGAGCTTCTTTTGCAGAAGCAATATAAACCAAGGGTGGATGTCTACCTAATAGGAATGCTAACTACGTTTAGTAATTCCTTTGACCAAGAAAATAGAAAATATATTTTCTGAGATCTTTTCTCGATCTGTGCAACAACATGGATTTGAAGAGCATAAGACATCTGGAATGCATGTGGATACACCATGCACCCATTTTGGTCTTTGAATCCAATTCTCTACACAGCCTTATTCTCCTCTAGTACAGGTAGTCCTTGACTTACAACCAAAATTGAGCCCAACATTTCTGTTGCTAAGTGAGACACTTGTTAAGTGAGTTTTGCCCCATTTTACGACCTTTCTTGCCACAGTTGTTAAGTGAGTCACTGCTGTTGTTCAGTTAGTAACGAGGCTGTTAAATGAATCTGCTTTCTCCATTGACTTTGCCTGTCAGAAAGTCGCAAAAGGCAATCGCATGACCCCGGTACATGGCAACCGTCACAAATATGAGTCAGTTGCCAAGTGTCTGAATTTTAATCACAAGATCGTGGGGATGCTGCAACGGTCGCAAGTGTGAAAAATGGCCCTAAGTCACTTTTTCCAGTGCTTTTGTAACTTTGAGCAGTTACTAAGTGAACTGTTGTAAGTCTAGGACTACCTGTAATTATCTTAGACTACCCTACTCTAAGATCACAGTGTAATAAAAGGATTAAACTTCTGATAATCGGTCAATTTAATAGACAATATATTTATTCCCCTCAGAGAGTAATATGGAGTATCTATATTACTGTAGAAGGGACAGTAGAAATTCAAGTTCATCCAAGCATTTAATCTTTTAATGTTAGTGTTTAATGAATGAATGGCATCAAGTTTTTGGGGTGGGGGGGAGGAGAAATAAGGCTTTACTTGTCATCCAAAGCAGCAGAACAGAATATCTGGGGTATTTATTTATTTATTTTACCTTTTGAATGGTATATCCCTTGCTTGTTTGGTTAAACATATCCTGGACTTTTTTATATTCCTTCATTTCTGATTTTAGCTCCACCACTTTAACACGCATCGTTTCCTCCATGGCATCCCACTCTTCAGGAATTGCAGTTGCTGGATTATCTTTGTAAAGGAATAGGAGACAATTTGATGAGCGTTTACAAATAGCCATGTTCCAGTTCCAGTTCTTTTTAAGTACAGAAATTAGGCCAAACAACCTTTGCATCTCTTTATCATTTGGATTGACGTGCCATCCAATTTTAGGCAGCGGGGGACAGAAAACAGGAGCAAATTATCTTGAGTCTTCACAAAAAGGGATAGGCAACCTTGGCTCTTTTATGACTCGTGGACTTCAACTCCCAGAATTCCTGAGCCAGCCATGCTGAGGGGAAGGGAGAGGTTTCCAAGCTGAGCCATGCTGGCTCAGAAATTCTGGGAGTTGAAGTCCATGAGTCATAAAAGAGCCAAGGTTGCCTACCCCTGGCCTAACTCAACAATGATGCTGCGAATGACTGAGTGCCCTCTGCCTAGTAGTGCCAACCTTACTGTACAACCAAGTCTCTCAAACACAGCACAGGAAAGCTCAAGCCAGCTGATCCTTATGAAGTTCCAAGAGCTACGTCTGGTTACATATATCAATCTCATCTGACAAAACATTACAACATAACCTATTTGTCATTTGCCTGTTCACAGATGGGGACCAATGGATCAAGTAAAAATACTATTATCTGCATTATACCTGCATTAAAATATAGCAAAGGGTAGCTATTTCAAACTGAAGCAAAACAAGCAAAGGGGACAGTGATCTTTAAAGGATGTCTACTGAAAGCCACATCATCGTATGGGGAAAAGACCTCATTTGAGGAAGAAGAACCATTACTTTCCTGTACTTAAAACTCAAAATGTAGGTTGTCCTTGACTTAACGACCACAACTGAGCCCCTAATTTCTGTTGCTAAGTGAGGGAATTGTTAAGTGAGTTTTGCTCTATTTTTTGCCACAGTTAAGGGAATCACTGCAGTTATTAAGTGAATTATGTGGGTTGTTAAGCAAATGGGCTTCCCCCATTGACTTTGCTTATGAGAAGCTAACTGGGAAGGTTAGAAATGGTGATCACATGACACCAGGACAATGCAAGTACCATAAATATATTCCAGTTGCCAAGTGGCCAAATTTTGATCACATGACCGTGGGGATGCTGCAACGGTCGTAATTTTGAAAAGCAGCCATGAGTCACTTTTTCAGTGCCATTGTAATTTTGGTCACTGAACAAATGGTTGTAAGTCAAGGACTACCTGTACACCTCTTCCACTTCAGATACAAAGACCTGCACATCTTTACTCTCTAGTTTGTTAGTGTTTTTTTTTTTTTTTTTTGCTACACAGTGATTTCCTCACTTTATTTGATTTGGGATTTTTGTGAGATTGTCGCTATTGTTTAATTGCTGTATTGATATTGATGATTTCATTGCCAGAAAAGGTAGAATTAACTAGAAACAAGCTAGTTATAAATAAGCTTTTTGATCTGTAGATGTGTTAAAACATTTCCAATTAAGGAATTAGCCTAGAACAGTGGTGGCGAACCTATGGCACGGGTGCCAGAGGCGGCACTTGGAGCCCTCTTTGTGGGCACATGTGCCATTGCCCCAGCCTTACCTCCCCCTGTGACCCCTCCTCTCCAGCAGCCCCCCTGAAGGAGAATCGCCCTCGAGCATGGCCCACACAGAGCAGGGCAGCCAAGGACATGGCAGCCAGGCAGCATAGACAAGACTCTGGCCTCACACCCCATCATGCAGTTGATGCTGCAGGACGCGGGCAGAGGGTGTGGCTGCCATAGCGCTGCTGGGCTGCCTGGGCGATCTGCGGTGGGCCCTGGAAGCAGTGAGTGGTCCTGTGGGTGGGCGGGGGATGGGGGGCATAGTGGGGGCGGAGCAGGGAGGTGGGGTGGGGCCAGTTTTTGGGCACTCGGTCTCTAAAAGGTTCGTCATCATTGGCCTAGAACAAATGCTAGATTGTAATCTGCATTTTCTTCACTCAAAATCACCCAGCTTTATATCAAGCAATAGTAGGCATACCTCAAATACCTGCATCTATTATGCCAAAATAAGCTATGCGAGTGAGCAAATTTTATTTTAAAACATGCAGGACTTTACATGGCCGTTTTTATGTAGGTATTGTTATACCATTCTTTGTCCCTTTATTTTGTCTTGAAACTATCAGCCTTCCCTAAGTTGCGTTGGTCTTCAATATCCATCAACATGCAGCATGGAGGAAGAATCCCAAACACAGCCAGGATGGCAACCTTAGATTAAAGGAGGCTGCAGAATGAACCACTGTAAGAATAGCTATATTAGACATGTGGGTGACGCCAAGCTTTTGTATTTTTAGGCGATAAGGTTTGGATTTTTATCTACCACATTACATGTTTCCATCTCCAAAACGGTGAAACAAAAGTGTTGACTCTCAGCAGTGGTGCTCCAGCGCCATTACAAGATATTCACCTGGAGCCTTTGACCGCTTCTGCAGTACACTGAGAGAACTTTGAAACTTTGGGCTGTTAGCAGGCATCCAATTTGGTCTAGTGGAGAGAGGCTAGATTCAAGGGCTATGTAAATTAGGGGACATGCAATAGGAGGGCGAAAGAGAGAGAGACAGAGAAAGGAAGGAAGGAAGGAAGGAAGGAAGGAAGGAAGGAAGGAAGGAAGGAAGGAAGGAAGGAAGGAAGGAAGGAAGGAAGGAAGGAAGGAAAGGAAGGAAGGAAGGAAGGAAAGGAAAGGAAGGGTTTCCTAGATGAGAAGTGAAATGTTTTTAAGAAACCAAGAAAGTTCAGGTGCTTTTTGTACAACCCTGACCTAGATGAATGAGAATCTCCACAGACAGAGAAGGGAAGGGAAGGGAAGGGAAGAGAAGAAGGAAACAGAATGAAGTTATAAATGTTGGCCAAGGTATAGAACGCACCTTCTACTTTTGCAACACGCCGAAGGGTAATGCACGTTCCCTGGTCATCGACAGCCTGCATTTTACTGGGGTCCACTTTGTAACGCTTCTTGTTTATGGTCAGCTCATACTGCCTCTGATGTTGTGCTGCGGCTTCTAGTTGCATATTGGTCAGACTGTCAAAAGTTCTGTATTGTCCATTGTCTTCATACCGCCACAATACAAGGTTTGTGAGAAGATCTGCCTTGGATTTTTCTTCTCTATCTTCTCGTATCCTTCTGATCATTGTCTGTATTTCCATACTGGCCTGCAAGACATCTTTAGTTATCCCACAAATACAAAGCGAGGGAGGAGAAGCTTCACTGTCTAGTTTAAGGGCAATGTGCAACGTTTCCTGGAGGTCCTCCAGTTTTTTATATTCGCTTTCTCCAAAGTTAGAGATCCATTCATCCGAGATAGTGTATTCATTCTGGGACTCAAAAATCAGCTTCTTAATCCACGCTGCTGCATTTTCCACATTGTTATAGTGGTCACCACAAATCTGAAAAACGGCTGGCTCAACTGTTCTCTCAAAAACTAAGGCAGGTTTTAATTCCACAGCAGGTTTTTTGGTGGTAAAGAATTCTGTAACAAATCAACAAATTCAAGGATTCAGTGCTTCTAACTACTGTGTCTGCCAGCCAAATATTTAAGACACAAATGGAAGACATTTCCTTACCTGCTACTTTTGAGAAAAAGGATTTTTGTGTACGCGTACCACCACTGGGTTTACTAGCTGTAACTTCTGTTCTCTGCGTGCTTGCATAAAACACTTCTAGAAGATGTGACTGAAAAATGATTATTTTAATCTCTCTCACCCCGGGGGCAGATGTTGTACTTGCGTAGTCTACTATAGCATCAATCATGCTATCGGCTGCTATAACTGGATCGCGTTTTGCATATCCTGCAATGTTAATACAAAGTTTTAAAGCAACTCTTTATTTTACTGGTCAGTAATAAACTCCACCTTTCTTTGTGAAGGGATAATTCTTCTAATATCTTTAAAATGGGGCATTTCAGCTAAAAGTTCTCTACTGCTCTCTTTTTGGGGAGGGGGAACTATGTTTTACCCTCCAAATATTGGATTCTAATCCTTAAGTTTTAGGAATCATGGCTAACTGTTAGACGTTTGGGAGAATTGCAATCTAAAAATATCTGCTTAAGGAAACGAGATTCCTCCATGTGATCAGAAGTCTTGAAAAGGTATTGTTACTCTTCCTAGACAAGGTCTTGCCTTTACTTCAACAGACTCAACCCATTCCCTTGATATTGTTATTTTTTTACCATTTAGTCGTGTCCAATTTCAAAATCTAGTGCTCTCTATGCTACCCTGTCAAACACAGCTTCTTTTAATTGTTGGATGTTCAACTTTGTATCAGATTTGATGTTATCAAATCCTTTCCTTGCCCCCTTCTGCTTGTTCCACTAACCATTCCTAGCATCGCTGCCTTCTCCAGTGAATTTGCACGTATGGCCCGGCCAAAGTAAATCAGATGTATTCTGGTAATTTTAGCTTCTAAAGGTGTATCTGGTTTTATACAATTTAACACCTCTCTGTTAGTTACTCTGACTATCCATGACATACACTCACCTTGATATAACCACCAACTATTGGCCTGCAACTCAGTTTTAAGTCCCATTCAATTTTCAAAATAGACCAGGGGTTCTCAACCTTGGCAACTTTAAGACTTGTGGACTTCAACTCCCAGAATTCTGGGAGTTGAAGTCCACAAGTCTTAAAGTTGCCAAGGTTGAGAACCCCTGAAATAGACGGAGGCGCTCAAATTTAAATTAACCTTCAGCGGTCAAGAACCCATCTCACATATAAGCTTAATATCCTCAGTGATGCTACTGAGGATTATGATGGAACATGAAGTGATCCTACAACATTATTATTATTACTAGGACTTTCATTATGGCACTTTCTACTTATACAATTTTTCACAAAGTAATACAGACCTGTCCCAATTGCTGGAAACGCAACAGATGTAAATTGCCGCTGCTCACATTCCATGAGTGCTTGAGAGACTTGCTTTTTGATATCATTGCTGTTCACAAGATGGATTATATTTTTACAAGACAGGTTTCCTCCTTGGGTGCATATGAGGTTATTGTGTGGCTGGGAAGCTGAATGAAAACAAAAGTCAGCTAGGCAGCAAACAAGCCAGGAATCAATAGAAACGTTTCCATATTTGAGAGCAGATGGATATAGGAGTCAGTTTGGTTATGGCTGAAAACAAAAAGTAAACCTCAAAATTATGGGTTTATAGTTAGCAAGTATCATCAGCCAGACCAATATGACTAGTTCAACAAATGGCAATTCAAATCAAGTGTGGCTTAGTCCATAGGTGGAATCGGTTTATGCCTTCTTTGAAAGCTGCAATTTCATTTTATTTTATTTACTGCAGATACACATTTTTAAGTTAATACATTTCTAGGCAAATGCGATTGTTATGAAACATTGTTCACAATGTAAGAGTTAAAAATAATCCATAATGGTTTTTAGAACTATCCTAAAACTGATTAACAACCAATTAAACCATAAGCATCCTATTAAAACATTGTTCCTTACCCAGGTCAGCACATTCTTTCACCACCTCTGGACCAGCGCTTTCCATAATGGCTTTGGAAACACCTTTCAAACAAATAAGTCAGTTTGGGCAGGTGAAATAACATGCCTTTGTCACATTTAAAGCTTTCGGAGAATAGAACAATCCTTTCAATATATGAACCTCTTTTCACTGAACCTCTCACTCCATCCTTTTTCTCCAGGGCATAGACAACCTTTGTCAGTTCAGAGCCCACAAAGATCCCAGAAATTAATTTCATTAATAGGGTTGGGAAGAAAGAGCCCTGCTGATGATGATCATACAGAAAGAGGGAAAAGAGGCCTGAACCTATTTCAAAAGCCACAGGATTCGGAATGGGGGCTTTATGGTGAATTGCTCCTGAAGACCTCCTGTTGGCATAGAGGAGACCCTTCCTTTCACAGATAATACAGGAACATATCGATTCTTTGTCCATTGCTAATTACTTTGTGTCTTTCCCTATTCAAGAGTTTGCTCCTTTCTCTGTGCAGAGAGATAAGGAGGAATCTGGCCATCAGGAGTGGAAGATCACGCTTCAGAAAACAGGATATAAATTATCAGAATACAAGCTTCTCTATGAGAAGTCAGATCCTGAAAAAACAAGATTTCTTCACATGCTGCATAATTCACCCGTGGACGTTATTACCCTATGAGGCAATGATGGCTACTAATCCAGATAGCTGTTAACAGCTACATTTCAGGGGAACAGTTTTATACAGGCCAGAGGTGTCAAACTCGCAATGTCACGTGCCATGTCAAGACATATTGCGACTTTTCCATTGCCAGCAATGGGGTGGACGCGGTTTTGCCATGACGCATCCGGCCACCCCTGATATAGGCTATTAACCTTGCAACTCAACAACACCTCCACCATGTCTTCAAATATTGCTACAGTAACCACAGTGGGAGGGATTATATGTAAATATTGGGCTAAGATGAGCCTTGGCATAATTCAGCATGGTTGTTCTTACAAATGACTGAAGATAGTTCCACATCATTAAAGTACCTGCATTACTTGTTAGTTTCACTAGTAATGCAGCTGAAATAAAAAAAAAGCTGCCCCTTGGTTAACTACAATATCTGGGACCAGAATTTCCATCACTAAGCAATGGTGTTATAAAATGCGATATCACCTGACCGCATACTGGCATCCCTGTTATCATTGTTAAGTAAGGACCACAGGCATTGAGCAAGTCCCAGTCAGCTTCCAACAGGGAAGGATGAAGGTGTGCGGGAGGTACACATGGGTGTGGAGGGGCTGTTGTCAGAAAGGGGATAATGTAAGTCATGGGTCCCCAACCTGTGAGCCACAGCCCATTACTGGGCCACGACCTATTGGCCACCAGGCTTATGTGAGTGGCTGGCCAGTGTGCGCATGTGCGTGTGCATGCACAGCCCCACTCATGCAAGAGTTGCTGTGAGCATTGCCACAAGCATCACAGGTGTTCCGCAGCCCCATTTGCATGAGCATCGCCATGAGTGTCTCAGGCATCTGCAGGTCCATGCACCCAAGTGTCACCATGTCTTGGGCACTCACAGCCCCACTCATGTGAGCATAAAAGAATGGTTGTTGAACGAGTGGTCATTAAATGAGGACTACCTGTACAACCATAGTAAGTCCTCTGACATGTGATGAGTGACTCTTTTCAGCAGATTGTTACTTTTTAAAAATAATGTTACCCTCCTGTACCACACCTACCAAAACTGGACCACCCAGCACACATCTAACTACAGCAAACAAAAGGAAACAATCTAAACAACAAGTCAAACTTTAGGATAATTTTTTTTTGGGGGGGAGAGACACGTATAGTGTTGAAAACGTACCAGTTTGGAGATTAAATGTTTGATTGGTTATGTTTACGATGGCATCTGTCATCTGTTTAGTAATATCTCCCTGTTCCAGCTGCAACTCAAGTGAGCCAATTTGCGTTTTAAGATTTCCATATTTTAGAGTTGAACTTTGCTCAGAGAAAGCTATAAGAAGGTAAAAGGAGAGGTTGAGACAGACAAATCAATTTATTCTGCATTCTTGCCTCCCGAAGTCTACGGCTGCGTAATTTTATCCTATACTTAGTGATGGGATTTAGCCAGTTCGCACCAGTTTGGCAGATCCGGTAGCTAATGTTTTGTTGCCCAGGCCCAGGATAGACTTCCGGAAGCGGCATCCACACAGAGAACCGGTTGTTCACATATTTGAATCCCACCACTGCCTATACTTCCCTATAAATGTCTCTCTTTAGATGACAAAATCCCAGGTTTAAGTAAAATTTTAATTAATGCTTGTCCAATTTAGACATCACTTAATTTAGGGCAGGCATTTTTAACATTCGCTCTATCCTAAAAACTAACAGTAGGATCAGAACAATAATTAACCTGCCCTCCATTTGCTCTTGAAATTAAAGAAAGTTAACTTAATTTCACTATGGTTAGACATTTAATAATTTTCTTCTGTATATGAATAATATGTGGATAATCTCTGGCAGTCTCTGAGATAAAACCCCAGGCGTTCAACCCACATGTGGCTCAAGGCCTTAAATCATGGTCATGGGGGTTTGGCATAATATAAACCAGCAAGAATAGACCTTGGGTTTATGTGGCTTATGTGACCTCGCCTCCCTTTTGTCCTCTTTAGCTACTGTTGCTGAAGCCACAACTATTGGAAACACCTGCCTTCTCTTTTTAAACTCAAGCTACATCTACTAGCTGTGTCCAAAATAGGCCACTATCTCAGAAGTTAAACAAGCAGGTCATTAGAAGGGCAAGAATCTGAGAGGTCTCTGAAGATATGAGGAGGCAGATGCACAAACCTCCGAAAAGCTGTTTTGATTTAATGACTCATCCCATCTGCTTCGGGCCTACTGCAAACACCCATATACACACACACACATCATCTTTAAGAGGAAAGAGAAGCAACTGTGTTCTGCTCTGCTTTGCAGGCTAGCAGCCTGGAAAATGGAAAAAGTTTATGCTCCTCTGCAGCCCCTGTACCAAAACCTTTCCATGTGCTGCACATGCTTCTGTGGCATGAAAATGTCTGATCCCTCATATTCTCCAGAGTGCCCAGTGACACTGGAATACAGATAATCCTCGACTTACAATCATAATTGAGCCCACAACATCGGTCATAAGCTGTGATGGTCCAAAAGCGGGCCATCACGTGACTGCCCCCAATTTTATGATCTTTTTTGCAGCAGTCATTAAGCAGCCATGGTTGTTAAGCAAACTCATTATTTGCCATGGAGCGATTTTGCTAAGAAAGTGGAAGTAAATGCCAATTAAATGTGAGCCTGTGGCCAAGCACTCAGTATGTGGTCATATGACTATAGTGGGGCTCAAACCCAGGCTGTAAGTAGCTTTTCTGGAGTCACAGTAACTTCAAATGGTCATTAAGCAACCAGTCATAAGTTGAGTCAACCATGTAGGTAGGCCTAACTTTGGCAAAAGACAGGCAGGAGACATGTTTCAAGATGATGTAAGGATGTAAAACTGGATATCTCTTTTCTGCCATATAGGGAATCACACCTATAGCACGAACCTCTCTGTCAAGGCAAAGCTAACTCTTCTTGCACAGAACAGAAGACAATAAAATATTATTTCTTTCCTCAGACCTTATTAATCATTTTTGTTTTACTCCAGTTAAGCTTTAAAATGTTCTGGTACGCTATACTTATTCTTTCTCATTCTTCACAAAAGATTTCTATTTCTTAATTACACGTGCACTGATGATGTTACCTAGTTTGGTAATGAAATGTCTGCTTAAAAAAAAAAAAACAACCCACCAAGCTCAGAGAGCACCAAATATCCATAATTAAGTTTTACCTTGATTTTCCTGCTGAAAATTCTCAGATGAAGCTTTGGGCATTGAGGAGCTTGTTTGGCTTACACTCAATCTACTGTTTAATTCTTCCATGAATGCCTAACGAGAAAAGAGGAGAACACAATTAACAGACTACAAAGCAAGTATAGAGATAGAGCTTTACAACACTTGGGCAGAAATGAAATGGGTGGCTGTACATGTATACACTTGCAAAAAGCCAGGAACAGCTTTTGAAGCAGCTAGACAAACCATGAAGAAGATGCACTGTTTGCATTCCTGCAAAACCACTTACTCTCTTTGAATGCTTTGTACAGCTCTAGTACAATTAGATCTTTTTCGTGGAATTGTGACCAGATAGTTAGAAGAAACAGCACAGTTCTATTAAGAAGAAAAGAATAAGTAATATAGGGCAGGTTGCACAAAAGAGAGGAAACTTGAAGAGGAATTGCTTTCTATCCAAAACAGGACTTTATTGAAGCAGATTCTCCAAGGCCAACTTCTACTGTGTGGTCATGATGCTAAATGTACAAGACAGTTAAGCAACAGTAAAAACCTTTTAAAGTTTTTTGAGAAAGGCATGAGACAAGCTGAAAAACACAGAGATTGTTCTCAGCAGAATTAGGATCTTCCAGAACCAGGTTTAGGGTGCAAAACATTTCAAAGAAACTGCAGTGAAATAAAAATACCTGGACGGTGGTGGTATCACTGGCATGAAGCACAAAATGAACTTCTTTAAGGGACTTTGGATTTTCAGCTTGACTGAATTTGAAAACTTCATCAAAAAACAGTTTAGCCACATATTCTTTGGGATATCCAAGATTTCCAGTTCCAATAGCTGGGAAGGTGATGGAGCTCAGCGAGAGTTGTTCGGTGACTTTCAGACATTCCTCAATTATGCCCCCTAAGTTCTGGGGAATCACACACAAAAAAATTATCTTAGAATATTTTTAAATGATTGGTCTACAATTAAATATGCCTTGGCATTAATTAAACTAATTGTATGAATTTAAAAAATTGGAACACGGATATAGCTGCATTAATCAGGAAAAAGGGTGCACCAATGAGTGAAATTGCCAGCACATTGTGCTATCATGCTGGACTATCACAAACAGACGATACAGACAGCCAAAGCCACGGCTAGATCCAGGAAACGTTCTCTACAATTTTCTTAGTCACTTGACATTTCTTTCCTTCTTCTCATCACGTAGGTTAAAAAAGTTAAATTACGAAATCTGAGTAGTGAAAGATAGTATATAAAGAACTAAGAACAAAGGTCATGCAGTCTGTGCTTAAAAGCCTACTTGCTTAGAAAGCTCATTCACTGTTGTATACAGGTAGTCCTTGCTTACCAAATGTCCTGTTTAGAGACTGTTTGAAAATATGGTAGTGTGGAAAAAGTAACCTTATCACTATTCCTCATGCTTACAACTGTTGCAGTGTCCCCAGTCACATGACTGAGATTCAGGTGCTTCACAACTGATGAACATTTATAGCAATTAGCAATAGTACTTAGACGTATATACCGCTTCATAGTGATTTACAACCCTCTCTAAGTCAGGGGTCTCCAGCCTTCCCAGCTTTGTGAACTGGTGGGGGGGGGGGGAGTGGATGGTGCCGTGCAAGCGTGCAAGCAGCGGACACGTTGCTCACATACGCAGTTTCATTTGAAGTTGTGAGCATGCGTGCCCACAGGTCATGCAAATGGAGCTTCACACAAGTACCTGCCGCTTGTGCAAGTGGAGCTGCACATGCATGCATGCGTGCTCGCCCGCCACTTGCACAGCCCAGTTCCAAATGGCTGCAGCCCAGGGTTTGGGGACCCCTGCTCTAAGTGGTTTACAGAGTCAGCATCTTGCCCCCAACAATCTGGATCCTCATTTTACCGACCTTGAAAGGATGGAAGGCTGAGTCAACCTTGAGCTGGTCAAAATCGAACTCCTGGCAGTGAGCAGTGAATTAGCCTGCAATACCGCATTCTAATAACTGCATCCCTACAGCTGTTTCTGACTGTCACAGCATCCCATGGTGACATGACTGCCACTAAGGTAATTCACAGATGGCTTTCAAAAGAGCAGAATCAATGGAGAATCCAGCAGTAAAATCAAAAATTGCAATCACATGATGCCTGAGTTATTGACCATGGTTTAATGACCATAGTGGAACCAAGATATGTCCATCACAGTCATGTGATGTCTTGCATGTTGAACAGAGTTGCCAATCCCAACTGTGGTTGTTAAGCAAAGTCTACCTGTATTGTCCAGAATTGTTTGACTCAGGGTGATATATAAAATCTGCATGGATCTATGTATGTTTGGGTGTCTGTACACACACACATATGTACAGTATATATGCATGTATATACAGTACACATACAGTATAGTGATTATGTGTATGTGTACATATACAGGTAGTTCTCGACTTACGACCACAATTGAGCCTAAAATTTATGTTGCTAAGTGAAAAAATTGTTAAGTGAGTTTTGGCCCATTTTACAACCTTTCTTGCCTTAGCTGTTAAGTGAATCATTGCAGTTGTTAAGTTAGTAACACAGTTGTTAAGTGAATCTGGCTTCCCTATTGACTTTGCTTGTCAGAAAGTGATCACATGACCACAGGACACCGCAACCGTCATAAATATGAGCATATCGCAGGCTTCTGAATTTTGATCATGTGACCAAGAGGATCGTAAGTATCGTAAGTGTAAAAAACAATCGTAAGTCACTTTTTTCAGTGCCGTTGTAACTTTGAATGGTCAACTAAATGAACTGCTGTAAGTCGAGGACTACCTGTATACAAATACAATCTCATTGCAGCAGCACCACTGAACAGTTGTGCAAAAATGCATCAAAGGCTATCAAAATTTCTAGTGAAGATAAGTGATAAGTGCACCAAGTTACATGTCCAAGGTATCAAAAAGATCTTTACCTTGTTTTCTAGTTTCTTCTTTTGATTCCAAGCAGGTAAAACAGCGTGAAGAACGTGACGGCAGCTCAGAGCATAACCACTGGTTTTGAGCACACAGCCTTCCTTGATGTCTTTCCCTTGACCTTCTTGGGTTAATTCCACTTGGAGTTCTGCTCCTGCTTTGGCCAGAAGAGCCCTGGAAAGTGGTCCTTTGTCCAGCTGCAAGTCTCTGGCAACACTATTGACAATCACATCAGTCTAAAAAAAAAATGACACATTGGAATAGGTGATTAAAAGCTGAATGGACTCAAACCTGTACCAACCTGACAAAACACAGGCACATGCAAATATTATGTATAATTAAAAATATCTAATCTTAGACTTATACACTGCTTCACAGGGCTTTACAATCCTCTCTAAATGGTTTAGAGTCAGCATCTTGCCCCCCAACAATCTGGGTCCTCATTTTACCCACCTCAGAAGGATGGAAAGCTGAGTCAACCTTGAACCGGTCAGGATTGAACTGCAGAACTGCTGACACCTGGCAGTCTGCAGAAGTAACCTGCAGTACTGCACTCTAACCACTGCGCCACGGCAATATTTAACAGGGATCTCTGAACTTATCAATCAACAGGGAGAATATCTTCCAATGACATGAGTTCCTAGCTCCAACATACCCAACCATCTACCTACCTACCTATGTTTGCTGCATAATATTCAGCCATTCCCATTTTGCTTTCCAACCACAGATTCAAATATACAATCCTGTATTCCATTTTTCTAGCAGCTTACATCCAAAGATCTTTTTAGTACATAGGTGGAGATTGTTGGGATTAAAAGAACAAGTAAAGAGAATCACAAGTTGAGTCGTACAGCATTAGCTCTCAAAGAGGATACAAAGAAACCTCATGGACACGTAGAAGAACTTGCTGAGATTTTAACTGTCTCCTTCATCTGCACTACCATATCATTCTGAATACACAACAAGTGTTTGCACAGCAGTTTGTTAGAGTTCTTCTCCATCTTCCTTCATGCTTTCTCCTATTTCTGGAACACTGTCTGCTTAACTGCAAGCTAACTATTAATCCTGGCTTGCTGCATTTTAAAAACCCCATCTATACTTTGATTAAACCTTGCCACATTAACCACACATATCTTCTTAATTTTATATTAAAATAATCATCATCTACTTACTGTTGCCTCTTCAATTCCTTTCTTCTTAAGCAGTATTTTTAAGCCTTCAGCTGTCATCACCGTTTCAGGGTCTGCTCGGATTTTTGCAGTAGAATGCTTAGTTTTGGAAAATGGGTAGGTTGTAGCATGCTTAGTTTTGGAAAATGGGTAGGCTGTAGTATGCTTAGTTTTGGAAAATGGGTAAGTTGTAGAAAGTGAGGGCCCAAACACTTCATTCAGGGTTTCAGAGAAAGCTCGAATAGTATCATCTCTGATATCCATGAGGTAAATCTGTTTTAGGCAGCTGTTCTCAGAAAAATCTTCTAAGCTTTCTTTGATGGCGGTCACAATGGAGTGGGTAGACTCTTTTAATGGAAACCCAAAAATCCCAGAACTTATGGCAGGGATGGCTATGGAGCGATGCTGACAACGGGCTGCTAGCTTTAAACTTTCCCTCACTGATTTTTTTAACAGCTTTATGCATTTTTCTTTTTCAGCACTACACCACCTTGGTCCAACAGCATGAATCACCTGCTTACATGGCAGCTTCCCAGCATTTGTGATTGTTGCACAACCAGTCTTCAAAGGTCCATATTGCCTCACTTGGTCCTTACACTCCTTTTGTAGCTCTGGACCAGCTGCTTCCAGCAGCCTACTTGCTAGACCACCAATGTGCATCAATTCTTCATTGGATGCATTGACTATAACATCTGCCGAACACTGGGTCAAATCAGCTTTCTGAAGAATTACCACAATACCATTTCCTAGTTTCACTTCATAGCACGACTGCTGCTTCTCTCCATAGCCATTCCCATCTTCTCCAGTTTCTTCAACCTCTTCTTTGCTTTCCTGAATCCTGATCAAACAGTTAAACCTTTGTCTTGCACCATTAATGTACAATTCTTCTCGTTCTTTGAAGAATGACTCGGCCCCTGGTTTATCAATGATTATGCTAGTAGCATGGAGAGAAGACAGGATGTTATGAAAAAGCTCAACTCCCTTCAGAACTGCAACTCTGGGTCCTTCAAGGGAAATCACTCTGCGACTTCTCAGTGTACCAAAATTTATTTTTACACCTTGCCTATTTAAATTAATCCATTTTGGGCTCTTTTCCTGTTGTACATACATTACCACGGCAGCAGACTTACTTTTGATATTTCTCTGAATATATGTATGGTTGTCAACAAAATCAGAGAGCTTCTGATGGGCAGTGGCCACTTCTCTGAAATAACCTGCAATGACTATTTCACCTTCCTGTTCTTGAATTATGATGGTTTCACCTGAACAATTATATGCCTTGTACAACTGTTCTGTTAATTCCAGCCATTCATTCTTTTTTGTAACTGTGCAGTCCTCCAGTTCAATACTTTGGAAAGTCAGATCTTTCTTTAGTTCCTCCTCGGCTCTGTGAAGGTCCTGAAGAGTTCCTCCAAACAGTAGTACAGACTTTTCACTGAGTTCATAGTAGGCATTTATCTTTTGGTTCCAGAATAACAGCCGAGACAGAGACTCATTATCAACATGTTGTAGAAAAAGAAGAAGATTAGAATGAATATCAATGGGCTTCTGAATCATACTGGATATTCTTTCAAGGATGTCACTTTTTATTTTAAAAACTTCAGCAGGTAGGCCACGCAGAATTATATGTTCTTTGGAAGCATCGTAAGTTATCTTTAGCTCTGGATATGCTGAGCAAATATTCTCTTGTAGTTCACAATTGCATAAAATGGCATATTTGCAAGCAGTAATTGATATTGCTTCCTCTATCGTCAATCTCTCTCTTTCCATCTTTCTACAAGCATTTTCTATGAGCACCTTCATTTCCTCCTCTGCATCATTTACACTGCCTGCTGCCCCCACCAAAACCACTTCTCTCTTTGAGGCATCTGTTATGATCAAAATGTCATCTTTTACTAGACTGTTTCTTACGGCTTCCCACAATTCCGAATTCATTTCACGCTTGATCACTTTCTGCCGTGACAGGATCTGTGTAAGAACAGTTAAAGCATCTTCTTTCCAGATCTTAACCAAGGATCGTTTTCTCTTTGACAAGTCATGTGAAGGATGCACCATAATTTCGGGGTTTGCACAGAGCTCGGAAGGCCATCTGATCTCACAATAATGGCCTGCCATTTCGCGTGTTATTTCCTGAAGTAAACAATTCTGCTGTAGAAACCTCCAGTGGTAGGGGTCAACAGACACTGGGAAGGGATCTGGCATCTTAATTTGTAGTCTTTCTTTCCCATATACAGCAGCTCCCAAAGATTTATAGTATGGATAAACAGAAACAGGGACATTCATAAGACAATGCTTTCGCTGCAAGATGGTAGCTACAACTTTAAAAAAATAACAAGGAGGGAAACACAATTAGAAAAAAGACTTCACAGAATCTATCCTGCAACTTTTAATTAAATTTTAATTAAAATACATTTAGAGTCATTGTAAGGCACTGAGCAATTGTTAACAATAAGCTTTCTACAGTTCTAAAATCTCTATCCTCCTTCAGAAAGAGGACACTGGTAGGGGAGAAAGAATTAGAAGTATCACAGGTAAGTTACTGGCTAGATGGCAACTGCCCCAAAGACCTGGGAAAACTGGAATTGGGAAGTTAAAGTTGACAAGGGAAGCAGAAGCATCAGAGGGGTTTGATTTCTTTCCCATGTTTCTTTACCCAATTGGAGAATCTCATCCATACATTCTCTGTTTTTATATCTTCCAGTTTGCTTGCTTGTTTGGCTTGTCTGTTTACAAGTTAATGATTGTCACTTAGATCTAAGCTCCCTGCTATTTTATTTAACTACCTTGTTTCTGAAGTACTGACCTTGCTGTAGTTAGTAAAATAAACATTATTTATTCGTTGTTACTCCATTGTCAGGTGTACACCAGACAATTGGACTTGATAAGCCTAATTAAAATGGAAAACTGCAGCCATTTATTTGGAGCTTTTGTTCTGCTCCATTCAGATTCCAATTCATGGAGACACTTTTCCACGGAAGAATAGGTGGTAGTAATTTAGCTACCTGCCTCAGATGGAACTTTTTACATGGGGAGGGGAGGGAATTACTCATATACGGGCAGTCCTCAACTTACATTCGTTTAGTGACGGTTAGAAGTTGCAACAGCACTGAAAAAAGTGACTTATGACAATTTTCCACACTTACGACCATTGCAATATCCCCTTGGTCAGTAATAAAAATTCAGACGCCTGGAAACTGGCTCATATTTATGACGGTTGCAGTCTCCTGGGGTCATGTGATCACCTTTTGTGACCTTCTGACAAGCAGCCAGTGGCGAAGCCAGAGTCACTTAACACCCACGTTACTAACAACTATAGTGATTCACTTAACAACTGTGGTAAGAAAAGTTGTAAAATGGGGCCGAACTCACTTAGCAACTGTCTTGCTTCACAACATAAATTTGGGGCTCAATTGTGGTCGTAAGTCAACGGCTAGCTGTAGTCCAAAACTCAGCCAGAGAGTTGGAGGGTACAGATCAGGAATGGATCAGCTGGCTTCTATATATTGTAATCCAGAGGTCCCCAACCTTTTGGGCACCAGGGACTGGTTCCTTGGAGAGAGTTTTTTCTGTGGACCAGAGGGTGCGTGGTTTTGTGTGCTGCCTGCATCTCATGGATGGGGCTTTGCTTTTTTATGCGGACCAGCTGCTGGCATGCTGCTGCCCAGTACTGTCCACGGACCAGGGGTTGGGGACCCCTGTTGTAGTCTATTAGATAAAACGATTATGAATAAAGATCTGGGTTTGGCAAAAAAGAAAAAGAAAAGAAGTGGGAAATTTTCCCACACAAAAGAGTATGGTTCCAATTAGGACATTTGTTTCACTGCATGTCTCTCTTATTTCCTTGCTGCTTCTCTTGCTGCTGCTTCCTTCTCCTCTTACTCAACCACTAGAACTAGTCAAAGACAGCCAGGATCTCCCTTGCTTTTCCATTTTCACAACAATTGCTTGTAAAGCAACCACTATAAAACTTTGCAGCTGCCAAACCTCCCTGAAGTGGAAAGTATTGACCTTGGAAAAATGTGAAAAAAAAATTTCACATCACTGATTAAGAACAACCAAAAACAAAATCCACTTATGCTGGATTCAACAAAAGGCCTACCTAGTCTATTTTTTTTATTTCCACAAGGATCCATCAACAAAAGATAACATTATGTCTTCCTCCCAGTTGTTATCCAGTAAATGTCTTGAGAGACCAACTGTTTCTGAATCGGGAGGTGATATAGCAACAAAGATGATTAGGGGACTGGAGGCTAATACATACAAGGAACGGTTGCTGGAATTGGGTATGTCTAGTTTAACAAAGAGAAGGACGAGGGGAGACATGATAGCAGTCTTCCAGTATCTCAGGGGCTGCCACAAAGAAGAGGGAGTCAAGCTATTCTCCAAAGCATGTGAAGGCAGGACAAGAAGCAACGGGTGGAAACTAACCAGAGAGAAGCAACCTAGAACTAAGGAGAAACTTCCTGACAGTTAGAACAATTAACCAGTGGAATAACCTGCCTCCAGAAGCTGTGAATGCTCCAACACTGGAAGTTTTTAAGAAGAAACTTTGTCCGAAATGGTATAGGGTTTCCTGCTTGAGCAGGGGGTTGGACTAGATGACCTCCAAGATCCCTTCCAACTTTATCATTATTATATGTTCCATAAATGTGCCCAATACTTCTTTGTTTCATCACCCTACATTAAAACATATGCCAGGCCCAAGAATAACTGGATCCTATTTGTTTTTTGCATTCATTTAGTATTTGCACTGACCAAACAAAACTATATTTAGCGAAAGTTCAACCCCACACATTACCTTTGCTATCGTGAAATGTAATTATGGCAGAATTGTCTTCAGGAATGTAGCTGTTTTCCAGCACCAGACCGCCACCATGCTTTTTGCTTTCAAAATAGATAACAATATAGTCTTCAGGAATATCAGGGGGAATATTTTCAACCAAAATGCTTTTAGGCATTTCCAAAGATCGAGCTGAAATCTTTTGTTGCTGAACTCTGTGGTATTGGTTGAACGTTTTGATAAATGTGTCTGTTTCTGCAAACAAAATTGAAGCATAAGTAAAAAAAAAAAAAGTTAGATAATATCACTGATTACTTAATCTCCATTCATTCTATTTCTTCATGGTAAAGTTGCTGTTCTAGTCAGGCAAGTATGCTCAATACAGTCTACAGAAAGTCCTCAACTTAGGACTGATTGCTTAATGACAATTGAAAGTTACAACTGCCTCGCATACCCCCACAATCTTGATCAGTTGCAGTCTCCCTGCAATCACAAGACCATAATTAGAAATTACACCTTCCTGGATTCTAGGCCCTTGACACTACACTAAACCTTATTAAAATTATTTTAAGTACATAATGTATAAGACACATTTTTCAACACAGGAAGGAATTTTCAACTCCTCTGCACTTATTTTCCCCCAAAAGGCAGAGACCCTCTCTTTTTTGGTTGAGTTTTGATGCTGTGAAACTACGAAACTGCAAAAAGAGTCTTAATGGTCCTAACTGCCCTCTAGCCTGGGGCAGACCTACTCTGGTCTTCTAATATGAAAAAAATGTAATTCTACACTGTATCTTTAAATTCCCCACTGAAGATCTCTCTTCATTCACTTTTCCTGTAAGAGAACAGAACTGAATGACTCATAAACTAATGGCAGTATTTTGTAATCATTTCCTTTTTAAGGACTATGGCTTAATCCATTGTTCTTATTATATTTTGTTGTCTGCATTTAATACATTATATTGTGTAAATGCAGACTGATTCTTTTCAGTTTGATTCACATGCACGAATAATCAACTGACGTTTGCTTACATACATGTACAAGTGTTTCCCTAAATTAGTGACACCTAAGAAACCGCTTTGGCTGAGATCAAACCAATAATCCATTTATCTCACTGTTTCCTGCACTTATTGGTTACAGCAGAGGTCTCCAACCTTTTGAGCACTAAGGACCGGTTCCGTGGAGAGAGGGGGCGTGGAGGGGGCGTGGTTTCATGTACTGCCTGCATCTCGCGGATGCGGCTTTGCTTGTTTGCGTGGACCAGTTTCTAGCATGCTGCGACCGGGTGCCGGTCCACGGACTGGGGGTTGGGGACCCCTAGGTTACAGCATTTCACAATTTCTCTCTTAAACTTAACTGGAAATGCCAACCATTGAACTTTGGAATTCCACACTTGATAAAGTCTCACCATGCCACAAAGGCTACCAGATGGTGGCTGCAAAAATCCAGTCACTAATTTTCTGGATCTTTCTGTTGTCCTCTGGGACGGTCTGGATTTTGAGACAGCCCTTTGTAACCACCAACCACAACCTGAACTACAGAGTAAACATAGCCACTTCCAAAATCATATACCAGTGGTGGCGAACCTATGGCACGCGTGCCAGAGGCGGCACTCGGAGCCCTCTCTGTGGGTATGCACGCTGTCACCCCAGCCCTGCCTACCACTGCAGTCCCCTCCTCACCAGCAGCCCCCGGGCGCGGCCTGCACGGAGTAGCATAGCCAAGGACATAGCCAGGCAGCATGGACAAGACTTCGCCCTCATGCCCCATAGCGTACAGATGATGCTGCGGGGTGTGGGCGGAGGGCGTGGCTGCCATGGTGCTGCAGGGCTGCCTGGGCGATCTGCTGCAGCGGGCCATGGAGGTGGTGCGTGGCCCTGCAGATGGGAAGAGCAGGGGGCGGAGCAGGCAGGGAGGGAAGCGGAGCAGGAGGTGGTTTGGGGGCACTCAGTCTCTAAAAGGTTCGCCATCACTGTCACATACAGTGAGCACAACAGTTTAGATAAAATACATATATCTTCCAATGGACCCTCCAATCTTCCTCAGAGAATCAAATCTTTTTGTGATTTTTCCACAATATCTGATGGCTGTAACAATATTAACAGTGTAGTCAATCTTTGGCCGGAGGCGTCCAACTTTTTACATTTGTGAATAAAGCAAGAATGCTTATTCCAGATGTTTTATTAGAGAACCATCGTAGAAAATCAGAGTGTGCCATCATTTAATAATGCAGAGGAAACTCTCAAAGGACTGCATGGAAATCAACCTCTGCCTGCTCGTTTTTTCACTCCACCAATTCTAAGGAATACAATCTTAAAAATTGATGCCATCTGTACAGGCCAATGTGAATGCCTAGTTTCCTTCTGTGTTATCTTAAAACCCTTAGCTATGTGATAATTGATGGTTTTAATGTTTACATCTGTCATGTCTTCATTAAGCCCAAAAAACTCCTTCTTTTTGTCACATCTTGCTCAATGAAAAGCTCTAAAGAATTTGAAAGTGCTATATGGCTGTAACCAAGGCATAAAAAGCATGTTTATTAACTTATTCCTGATGCTTTCTTACCAATAGGCTTGATAAAAGTGATGACAGCCGCACTGCACTCAGGCACCATTTCCACATCAAAATCCTTATCTTCTTCTGAAAGGCCACTCACAGTCTCTACCAACAGAATGAGCATACACTCAATCATAGTCTCTGGCACATTTTCAAGAACGACTAGAGAAGATGATGTCTCAGATGGATCTGGCTTCAATTCCTGCTGGTATTTTTTGACATGAAGTACAATTTTACTTATTTGGTGATGATCTCTTTGCAAAACCTCTCGAGCATCTAGTTGAAGAGAAAGATATTTTTTTAAAAAAAACTAACATTCCACAAACTATAGAAAAACATCTAATCAAAGTCTTCCACTCCCCAAAACATGACATTTCTTCCCCTTTATCCAATGTTGCCTCCCTCGAAATTATAGCCTAATTAGATCTCAGTTCCAATGTCCAGTAAGATGTGGGTAACCAGAGGTTAGAGACTGCATACAACGTATAAATATATTGGCAAAAGCAAGTTCAGGTGGGAAACATGCAGAAGTCATGCACTCATTCTGCAGTGGATAGACAACAGCTAAAATGATGATGAGTGTGTGTGTGCGCGCGTGCAGTACACACAAATACATATACATGCAGTACATATGTATATACACCTTTCCTCAAATTTCATTGTATTGTCTTCATTGTTCATTTGGTGATTAAATTTTTAGGGGAAGTGTGTACATTAAGACTGCAGTACACTAAAGAGAAGGGTGAGGACAAAAATTTAGAAACCCCTGCTGTAGACGGCAATGTTTGCAGAATGCTAAAATGTAAATGGCCTCCACCTTGGAAGATGACCAAATCTTGTGAGAACTCAACATTCTCTTATGAATTTGTGTGAAACAGGGGAATTGAGATTTTGACTGTTTTTCCCTTTTATAAGGACCCACGCTTTGTTCAAGACCAGAAAATGCACTTCCCCAAATACTGTCCAACTTGTGACATGATTTTCATAGCCAGAACAAAAAAAGTAGAAATATCCCATCTTTTCAAAATAGATAAAAGTTGGTATAGAATTACCTGCTTCATTTTCAAAGGTGACGATGAATTGTTGTCCATCTTTAAGGCAGGACTTAATGGGCCCCCCGCCAGAATGTCTCTTATTCTCAAAGTATAGCTCCAAGATGTAGGTCTGAATTTCACTGCCTGCATCTGTTGTTACCACCACACTGAAGCCCTCCTGGATGGCCATTCTTCCTGCCTCCTTTTCTGCATAATCTGAAGCATCATATGAACTGTAGTTTACAAAAGACTGTTCACCTACAGTATATAAAATGTAAACAAAAGCATTATTTGAATTAGAAAGATATACTGACTAAACCAGCATTTCGCCAGCAAGTGAAATAATTAAAATAATATCACTTACCAAATTGATGGGATTCTTTAGCTACAACAGGCATCTAAAAGTAAGACAACAACCATTAGAAAGATGACATTGCTTGCTTTTTCAATTGATTTTAAGTAAGATCAGTTTCATAATCTATAGTTGAAAATTCATTTGAAAAAATTAACCTGTCAATCCATATTACGAGAAAAACTATTGCTAATTAACCCCCTCCCCCAAAGAGATGAAATTCAGCAGCTAACAACTGAATAACCACAAAATGAAAAAATGAGTAAGCAAAATTATTAGGGTTCCAAAAATAGAAACGTATACAATTCATTTTTAAACCTGTAAGATCTCCAGATCAGACCTCTACCTCAGAAACAAACTATCCTAGAACACTTCCCTGAACTTGCAAGCTAGAGGGACAATTCCTATTGGATATATAGGTCCCTCCTTTACAAAACCTACTCATTGGGCATTCTCACTCAAACTCTCCAAAGGCTCTTTTTAATAGGTGTTACATGCACTGCACGTATTTAAAAACAATAAGGTTTTGCATGCCGCCATTTTGTTGAAATGGCCTCATTTGTACTCAATGCAAAATTAAAAATACATTGTGCTCCATGTCACAGAGACTATCGTTGCGGACACCCCTGGCAATAAAATCCTAACTTAGAACTTCTTCTTCTTTCTTCTCTAGATCAATCTTTAGACCAGTGGTTCTCAACCTGTGGGTCGGGACCCCATTTGGGGTCGAACGACCATTTCACAGGGGGTCACCAAACAAGGCTGTCCACCATTTTTCCCCCTTTTCTTTGGCCACGCCCATGGCATCCAGTGATGTATAAGTGGTTGGGGGTCACCACAATATGGGGAACTGTATTATGGGGTCACGGCATTAGAAAGGTTGAGAACCACTGCTTTAGACTGTCCGAATGAAGCACCTTTTTGGCTTTGTCCTTGGCCAAAAGTAAGTCGTTATCAATACATGTTTCTGGTAAAAGCCAACAAACCAGCAGATGGGCTAGCTTTGCATCTCTCCACAGCATATTGTGATCCGCTAAGAGCCTCCACCTGAGCATATTGGTTTTATGCTTAAGAGCTCCAATCCTCAATTTATTCATGGTCATCCAAGTTGTATAAGGAAGGTTGGATCCTTCAGCCATATCCTCCTTTAATGTTCTTCCTTGCTCGATGGTTTCCTTCCTCCATCTTTTGATTCAATTTTGTTCTAGCATACCCCCAAGAATGTTTGTTCTTGCCATAAAGCTTTTCCTAGATCTCAGTTGGCAGATTTGGGGCATATGTCCATTCAGAGAATGTTGAGGATCATTCTTTTGCTTAGTTCTCTCAGTGTCTCCTGATCTTAGGTGGGGCAATGCCAGCGAGAGGATATATTTTCTTGACATCCTGTCACTAAACATACTGCTTCACTGATATCAATTGGTTTCACCTATGCAATGCACCCCATACTAGGACAGCATACTCTGCTGCAGAAATGGTGAAGGCCAAAGCTGATGGGCACAACACAGATGGCCGAGTTCCCCATGTATAGCTTATCAATTTCCTGACAATATTGTTCCTTGAGCTAACTTTATCCTATTTGCACTAAAGGTAGCAAATGGCTCAAGTATATACTTATAAAGGCTTGGCAATCATATTGCTACACTGAGACATACTGCAGCTTGTATGATTTTAATTCAGAAAGGGGTGTGTGCCCAAATATTTTTGTATGCAAACCAACATAAGATTTAGTGTAATTATTACATTTTTATCTTCTCCCTCTGTGTATGTATATGTCTGTCTGAAAGCAGGTAGCATCCCTAATACTCCTGCTTCCCATTTTTCCTCCAAATACCCTGTGAAATGGATTGGACTGAGACAGAGGGACTGGCCCAAAGTCACCCAGTTGGCTTTCATGCCTAAGGTGTGGGGGTGGGGGGTAGAACTCAATCTTTCCTGGTTTATATGCCAGGACCTAAACCACTACACCAAACTGGTTCTCTGTTACATGCCTAAGGCTACTATGGTTAGTTCCACAAACCATCCTTAATTGTATATATGAACTAGCACAGCCATAGTCTCCAAAACAAAGGTGTATGGAGGATACAAAGCACAGATTTTATCTATGTAATTGAACTATTCTAGTATAGTGCACATACTTACCTGGCTTGGATCTTGTTCTTCCAGTGGCACATTTTTATTAGGTGCTCCTTCTGCTGAAGGCAGAGAGACTGTTAACTTCAGTGTCTTCATTCCTGGCAGACTGAGTTCATGGCTCTTAATATTAAGAACACTCTGTCTCACTGAAATGTAGAAAAGGATAGCTATAATTTGACCTATTTAATCTTATATCAAAAAGAAACTATTGGATAAAGGTTGGAATCCAGAAACAGAAAGTAAGCTGGTTTAGTTTAGATTACAGTACAATCAGTTGGGAAATTCCAGTACAATCAGTTGGGAAATTCTTTGAGATTGAATACAGCTACTTTCTATTTCCAATATGTGGAAACAGATAAGACTACATTATAAGAGAACCTTTGTCTTTTAATTACATTTTCTAGCTACATTACAAGGAACAAAAGATATTTACAACTACATCAACTCACAAATAAATTGAAAATTCAGTAACACTTCAGGATTACAGTGAACAGAATATTCTAGTAATAATATGTTTTCAAGATATTGAGTCATTTAAACGGGCAATCCTATTTGAGATTATACTGTAGATGTGCTGGAATAGCAGTAAATATAAACTTTAGCAGACTAACAAAATACAACTCCTGGAATTCAGTTTCAATGTATTAGCAGCAAACAAATACAAGGAAAGAAAGGGCCAAAAGAACTATATAAACATCTTCAGCATTCAAAGGTTACTATATTTTTAGGATGATTTGATCAACTACATTTTTATACTTACATTTATTCCCCCCCCCTTTATTATTTTTACAATAACTCAAAGTGGCAAACATTGCCAACACATCTTCCTCCTCCTATTTTCCTCACAACGGCAACCCTGTGAAGTGAGTTGGGCGGAGAGTGAGTGACTGGCCCAAATTCCCCCAAGCTGGCTTTCATAGATAAAGCAGAATTTGAACTCACAGTCTCCCGCTTTCTGGCTGATACCTGAGCCCCTAGACCAAATGAAACACGCGTGTTTTTCTGACGACTGCAATATCCCCGATTAAAGGGGGGGGGAAGCATGTAACAAATCTTAAGGTAAAGGTAAAAACGAAGTGTGCTTGGCTACTTTTAGAATCTGGTTTGGTTTCGTCTACCTTATTGTCCGCTTCTCATTCTAGTCGGGAGCGGTGTGATTCCTTAGGCGTCTCTCGCCCAAGCCACTGTCCTTAGGGGCTGTATGAGTTTGTTGAGCTAACTTCCCGATATTTTTCCGAAAGGGCCTGTATCGCATCTCCTCTCCCCCGTGAAAAGCGAAACCCAACCCTACCACACCTACCATCTTCCTGAGCGAAATACACCGTTATCTGCTTTTCTCTGCCGGGATCCACGTGGATCTTGCATTCCCCTCCTCCCGATCTCTTCGGGCTTTGGAAGTAACAGAGGAGCTTGTTTTTCAGAGATTTGCTCAGGCTGCAATCCCAGTTCCCCTCGACCACAAGCGGAAAGCGGTAAACAACTTCGCCCTCGGCCATCTTCCTCCGGCTCCTAAATCGAGAACTCTTATGTTCTACTTTCGATTTCCCTTCTCCGCTTTGGCCACGCCTCGCGAGGCTTTAGGCACCGGCTTTCTCCACCGAGCGCCCTCTAGGCATGTTGAACTCTTGAACATCCATCCCTTCAAGTCCAGCCAATGCGACCGATGGGATTTGTATTCCAGAGCACGCGAGGGCCATTGGTTGGCTACTCAGTGGGAACTGAGTCCTGTTCAATTCGGTTGGGGGTGACTTCTAAGCATTCAGGACTGGGACTATAGATATGTTCTATCTCAACCCTGTAAAAGAGATACTGTAGTACAAGGTAGTCCTCGACTTACAACAATTCATTCAATGACCATTGAATAACCATTCAATGACATCATTGAAAAAAGTGGTTTTTTGATGGCTGCAGTGTCCTGGAATCATGTGATCACCTTTTGCGACCTTCTGACAAGCAGAGCCAATGGGAAAATTAGATTCACTTAACAACCGTGTTACTAACTTAACTGCAGCGATTCACTTAACCATGGCAAAAAAAGGTTGCAAAATAGGGCAAAATTCATTTAACAGCTGTCTGAGTAATAGAAATTTTGGGCTCAATTGCGGTCGTAAGTTGAGGACTATTTGTACTGTGATTAAATTTAGAACGAGCATCTGAACACGGACCAACGTTACCTCAGTTCTTCTGGTTTTTCAAATTAGTCAGTATTTCACTTACCTGTTCTGATATTTCACTCTATTTATTAAATTTATATGTTGAATTCTCCAACACCCACCCCTTCTTCAGCCAATGCCCAACTCACATATAGGTGACTCTGAGCAGCTTACAAAATTACAAAATGTAACACTATATGATTAAGGCAATCAAAACAGAATGTACTACTGTAATACACTTTAGACGGGACTGCTTTGAAGACCATTCAAAAGCTGGAATTGGTGCAGAATGCAGTGGCTTCCATGCTGCTGGATGACAGCTGCTACAGATATATAATATCAGTGTTGTGGGCCATTTATTCATTCCCAATAGGCTTATGAGTATAGTTCAACTCTTGGTTTTAGTTTTTAAAGCCCTGCCAACATCATTTGGCTCCAAGGTACAAGTAATCTTCATTTAATTACACTAATTAGTACTGGAAAGTCTATTGTAAATGAGAAACTACATAACTGCCCTGCACAGCAACAGTCTTCTGTGTGCATTTGCTACTGGATCTCTGCCTGTCCCATTCAGCGATGTTCAATCGAACAGGTCCGCAGATACCGCCAGCAATCTGATCGACAGCAGAAGTACACGTAACGTAGCTCTTAACCTTGCCCTTTCTTCGCGCACCCTAGAGGCCCTGCTCCTTCTATCTCCGCCCCTCTGTGCCGAGGTATGACCAATAGTATTAATTCTACCGTAATTCCGTGATTTCCCATTGGCTGTTAGGAGCTGCACGCTTTCGCTCCGGTTCCGACACCTTGGTGATACGGAACTCGGGAAGAAAGAGGCCAAGATGGCGGCCGCCTCGGCGGAACAGGAAGTTTTCCTTTTTTCCAACCCGTTCTCGGCTTTCCTTCTTTTGGCTGAGCTGCTTTTGCTGGCTCAAGCCCCCGCCTTTAACATCGCATCTCCCTTCTGTCACCATCACATCCCCAGTGCCAGGGAGGTGAGGATCCTAGCGGTAGAGGGAGGCAAAATAGTCCGAAGAAGGGAAAAGATGGGCTGAACTGCGGTGCTTAAGTCATACGTTCCATTTTTATATATATTTTTGCTTGCTCGTTTAAGTGTAGCAATGTTCAGAGCTGCTTCCATCGTATCTGTGACTTAGTTGACCGAATAACAGATTATTGAGTCAAATTGTGGGGGGGGGGGGAAGTCACTGATAGAAGTATAGCCACATTTCAAAACAGCGTTTCCGGGTTCGTGATACATGGGTTGCGAAAGAAAAGGCAGAAACAGTGTTTTTAACTGTTTATTCTAAATCAGTGCAGTCCTTGGTAAATTGCTTGTTGAAGTAATAATCCCAAGCCAGTTTACCTGAAAGTTAGCCCCTTTACATCTTTAGTACTTTTCATTGTTAGATTCGATTCACCAGTATGCTTTTTATTTGCCAGATTATGGTTCTGAACATTTTGCAGGCGTTTCAGAGAAAAATATTTTGAAAATACAAGATTGCCTTTTAGAAACTTGGCAAATAACTTCAAAATTGTAAATGTGAAAATCACTTGAAATTGGTTCGTAGATCTGTTTCAGAAACGTTGCCTATATACTTGTGGTGAATTATATAAAATAGAAATAATAGAAGATTCAGGATGCACAACCAAATAATAAAGCTTTTACATACAATTTATCAGATTAAATATGTTTCTATATTCCTCAAATGTTACTGAGGAATGAGACTCACTGAGGTTATTAGGAACTGAACACAAACCAGTTGTACTGTATCTATGCTTCAGTTCAGAGGTAAACATGATAGATTTTAAGATTTGTAAAAGTTTAGTTACAAAAGCAGTTTTATTAAATGAACCTATTCTCCAAACAGGTTATTTACAAAGTTTATCTTAAAGAAAATCGAGTTATGAAAAGAAACATTAATGAACAACTAAGAATTAAGACTGTATATGACAGAAGTGTTGAAGAGTAAGTATAATAACAACCTTCCAAAATTATTATTGTTAACAGGAATAGCTTTCAGTTTCCCTATCTGAACAAGTAACTAAAATAAATAGTAACCAGTAGAAAAGGGAAAGGGAATGGGACGCACCTGACTTTATAGGAAGTGAAGTAATTTGTAATTTGTGTAGTAACAATGCTTTAAGAAGATTAAAAAAAATGTCTACTAACTGCTGTCTCTATTCATAGATTGCTCCCTGAAAAAAAACAGCTTATAAAGGTAATTTACTTCTTGCATTCTGTTTTCTTATATGAAATTAATTAATCTAGGCTAAAGGTCTGTGTGATGTATACTTTCAAGGTTGCATTCTAATTTGCCTAACATCTATAATTGTTTTAGAAAATTAGGGCAGATATAATTCACCCATAATGCTAAGTCATAATGTAGTTTCTTTGTTTTTAGTTTAAAACAATGCATGGATTAGATCACTCTAATGAAGCATAGATATAATATTTCCTTAATCATGATTAACATGTCAGCAATAAGATACAGACTCTTATTTTCTCATTTCCTTTCTTTATACCTCATTTATGCAAATTCCATTTTATTTAAGTCCAGATTTAGCAAAATTCACTATATGTTAGGATTAATTTGTTTCTATCCCACAGCTGAATCTAACTTTAAAAAGAACTTTTAGGATTTCTTCTGAAGTTCCCTTCCCCACAAAAAAGTTTGTTTCTATAGATAATATAAATATAGTAACCTCTTGCCATCTGTAAGTTTATCATATGCAAGTGTCAGTATCTGTAGGGATTTTTCTGTCCATCAGTTTTTCCTGAACAACTCTCCAAAATTTGACTATTTGCAAAGTCATGAAACATCCGTCTGAGATGATACATAATGGATGCAAAGGTTTTTATCAGAGTTGTATGGCTGATTTCATTTTAACTCAGATGTTAGATGGAACCTAGCAGGTTAGTTTGAAAGCTTGAAGAAATGGTCTAATTTTTACAGCATAAAATTGACCAGAGATCAATGAAATATTCAAATCTTTTCTGCCAGATTAAAGAAGTGAATTCCCATATCATCAGGTTCAGTTACATATTTGCAGAATGCAACTAGTTTGGCTGATGAACAAAAGTAGGTAGGCAGCTATTCATTCTTCAGAACTTTTATTTCAACACTAGAATCTGTGCCTCAGCTGTCTACTTGTAGTAGATTCAGCATAAAAAAAAAACATCAGTAAAGTAATAATATTTTCAGAAGTACCAGTATTCTAAAGCATACAGTATGCTTTTCTGGATTATTGTTTTTTTATAATTCCTTCTTGTTTTCTGATTTTACTATTTTACTTTATTATAGGTGTGACATAGTATCTCTGAGGTCTTTTATCAAGTGGAATTGTTTCCCATTCCTAAGATCTTAAGTTTACCAACCACAAATTATCCAACTATGACAGTTTTCAAGAACGGAACTCTTGGGATTGGCAAGGGGTTACTGTAACTTTTTAAATAAAGCTAACTTTTTCTATTGAGTTTATGGCTGTGAAAATATGATTAGAAAGTCATTACGGTTTTGACTTAAATCTTTAGAAGGAATTTTTTAAAGTGTCAAATCCTTTTTTTATTGTTTTATTTTTCTTTTGTTTAGAACAAGCTTTTCCCACAAGCTATTTCTTATTTAGAGAAGGCATTTCAAGTTCGGAAACCTATGGGTACTGTCCTGTTAAGTAGGTATGTATATTTTTCAGCAATTTTAATAAGGAGAATCAGTGAGATCTATTTTTACAAGTACATTCCATATGTCAGCATATTATTATTCATCTCTGGAAGAGAGCAGCTCAATTTTAATTAGCAACTTAACATTTTGACAATACTTAATAGCTTTTACAATTAGGGTATTGTTTTGTGTGTGACTGTTATGTGCATTCATCTCACTCACAAATATGTGATTATGATTTAATTGAAGACTGTGTGTAACAAACCAGTATTTAAGGAAGAAGGATGATCCTCACAGATACTGTCGAGAAGCCTGTGCAGAACATACCAAGTGTGGGCCAGTTATAGTCCCTGAAGAACATCTGCAGGTAACTCAGACTTATTTTTTTTATGATTTGTAGATCAAATCACACAGGAATATTTTTGCCAACAAAATATGCAAATATAGTAGTCACCACATTTCCTTCTAACTGGCAAAACTTGCTAAAAAAAATGCTAAAGCACCTATATCAGTGTTTCTCAACCTTGACAATTTTAAGGCATGTGGACTTCAACTCCCAGAATTCCACACCCAGCAATGCTGGCTGTGGGGAGTTGAAGTCCACATGCCTTAAAATTGTCAAGGTTGAGAAACACTGACCTATATCAATTTGATTTGCCTGATGCACTTCGAATGTCTGTAATACGGCAATTTACTCTTACAGTTACCTTTTGCGCAAGGCAAAAGGAAGACAGCTGTGCTATGACATCTGAAAATTTTTAAGTTTTTTTTTTACAAAAAAAAAAAAACAGAAACCTAGAAAAAATACGATAAATCTGTATTTGAATATTATATTCCTCCTTTTCAGATTTCTTTATGAACTTTGGGTCATTTCAGAGCTCTTTTAGAATTTGGAAATGTTGCTCTCTAGAATATTTTGAAAGCTATCAAACCCCTTTTCTTTGCCACAAGCAGTAGTATAAAACCTTAAAAATAATTAGTATGGAATCTTAATTCAAATGTTTCTTCAGCCTAAGAAAGAAAAGTAGGAAATCTGTACATTTTAGAGTTAAAAGAGAGAAACCAATTTGGTTTAGTGGTGAAACCATCGGGTTAGAAGCCAGCAGGCCATGAGTTCTAGTCCCACCTTAGGCATGAAACCCTGCTGGGTGACTTTGGGCCAGACTCTCTTGCTCTCCGCCCAACCCACCTGACAGGGTGGGGAAAATAGGAACAGGAAGGTATGTTCCTTGCTTTGGGTTATTTATAAAAAATAATAAAGGCAGAATATAATTTAAATAAAGAAACATTTGAAGACTATTTGACCCTGATTTCTTGAAATGTAATGTCTTAGCAATGTAGGGTATGTAATACAAATGGACGGAATTGTCAAACTGTTGGCAAAGCAGACCCGGACGGCGTTCGAGATGCTGATTTTATACTGTATGTTAGTGCTCTGACTACTGAAAGATGTGGCCAAGAAAACATCATCGCATACGCAGCATATTGTCAGCTAGAAGCAGATATGGACAGGTAATCTCCAGGCTAACTTTAACTAATCTGATGAAATGTTCTGAAAAGACTTATTTGCCATCCAGGCCGGGGTTTGATCAGATGTCTCCAAGTGAGTGATCTGGCTCTTTTTTCTAAAGTCATTGTTTCCTAATCTCAGAAAGTTTGGCTCAGGAGGTGGACTGTGGGGAGCTACAGACCTCAAGTATTTCCAGTGAAGATTTATCTGCATGCATTCTGTTTTAAGCAGTGAGATAGGGAAGGGTGGGCAATGTAGCCAAAGAGTCAGAAAGCCATAAATACCCTACCACACTCACTTCTTCCCTGCTGATCTTCAGCTGATAATGCATCCTTCTGTGATTACACTGCAGGGAAGGTCACACAGAACTTCAGTGAAGAGAGCAGCAGGAAACAGGATTCCAAGTGAGTCCTGCTGGCTGAGTTTTCCCCATGCTAGAATAATAGGAGAATGATATCCCTGCAAGGATCTAAATGGCTTACATAGGAAGCCACATTTTATAGTTTAATGCCACAGAGATTCCCCTTGTGGTGCCCTGGGGGAGGGAGAAGGGGAGTTGGCCTGCAGAGTCTCCCATGGTAACTTTCATGCTTCCTATCTCAAGGTGTTTTTTTTTAACATTTAAAAAAACATTTTAACAAAAAGATAGACCAATTTTTATTCCTCAGAATCTGCTGGCCCTGTATACATAATAGTTGGCTGCAGCACAGCCTTTGTTTAAAAATATGCTTATCTGCCTAGAAAAGACAAAAGTGATAAGAAGTATCCTGCAAGGTGAGGCTATATTCAGGTAGCACTATATATCCCACAAACTCGATTTACTTACGGTAACTCTGTTGCAAAAGTAACTATATCATGTCAATATTTAAAGACTCCCCCAGACCAAAAAGTTTGAGGCCCAGTGATATGATTGAGGTCTTATGCTTGGATTTCTCCTCTATCTTCATTGAGTTGCTATGAGAAAAATAAATCAGAAACGAATGTGTGAAAACTATTTAAAGCTTCTTGAGGAAATACATGATATTAACACCTTAATTATTAAAGATCTGGAGTCTGGAGAGAAATGTTTTACCCAAGAGTTGTCATCTCAGGATCATAGACTATGTCCATAGCTGAGAAAATCCTAAATATTCTGTATGGCCTGTGTCGCTGGTTATATGACTAGTATTAAGTTTTTTCTTAGCACAGTAAAAAGTGAGTATCTCAAAAGTGAGCTTAAGGGGAAAAATGGATATTTGATAGGAAAGTCCATAGATAAATCTATACAGGTACTCTAGTTGTCCATGCATAAGAGAGAACATTTTTCCTTTTTCTGAGTTTACATCCGACAGATTTAATGTTTGCATGAGAAAAGGTTAATATAGGGACATTTTTGTATATAAGACATTCATTGTTATTAGTTGCAAAGTCGTGTCTGACTCATCGCAACCCCATGGACAACGTTCCTCCAGGCCTTCCTGTCCTCTACCATCTTCTGGAGTCCATTTAAGCTCATGCCCACTGCTTCAGTGACTCCATCCAGCCACCTCATTCTCTGTAATCCCCTTCTTCTATTGCCCTCAATCTTTCTCAGCATTAGCCTCTTCTCCAGTGAGTCCTTCCTTCTCATTAGACATTTGTAGGCTATGATAATACAAAGAATTTACACGTAACAATGAAGCTTAACATTTTTTAATTTCCTCATTTTGTATAACGTATCACCATTTTTCCAGACCAATTGCAGGATATGCTAATCTGTGTCCAAATATGATTTCAACTCAACCACAGGAGTTTATTGGCATGTTGTCTACAGTGAAACATGAAATCATTCATGCTTTGGTAAGAGCTGGTATTTGATGCTATGTTTTTTAAAATCCTATAAAGAAAAATTTCTAAAAAAAAGTATAAGCAATTATACTATGGCTCAAAAAACCTATAAAATATTCAAGATCACAATCTTTAGAATTCTATAGCAGGCACAATATTAAAAGATGAGGAAGAAGAAAAGATGGTAGTAGTTCCCAGAGGAAAAGGATGCAAATCAAGACTGTTTATAAACATTTAAGCTTCAATATTGTTAACATTTTTGGTCCTCTCCAATTTTCTAACTTGTCTTTATACCTTTTCTCATTCACCGTTTTTTTCAATGTCTTATCTTTGAGATTGGCTAAATAAGGCATTGCCCTAATACTTGCTTTGGAATTTAACGTATTAGTCATATTATCTTCATGCTATGCTATGCTAGAATTTATGCGATGGTTGTGTTTTTGTGAATATTTCATATATAAGTAATCCTTACTTAATGACTGCCCTGTTTAGTGACTATTCAGAGTTACAACAATGCTGAAAACGTAAATTTATGACTGATCCTCACACTTATGACTGCTGCAGTGTCATACGTCATGCGATTGCCATTTGCATGCTTCAAAGCCAGCTTCCAATCAACAGGCAATAAAGAAGCTGTCAGCAAAGTTCCAAATTCCGGTCATATGAAGTTCTCATTTAATGACTACCGATGATTCATTTAATGACAGTGCTAAAAATTGGATTTTAAATTTAGTGCAATCATGTGATGTCTTGTTTGTCATGTTGTTAGGGATGCAATTAGCGATCCCAGTTGAGGGCTAGCTTGATGTGGGTTTGTATCTTTCTTCCTCTTTTCCTAGCAATTTTCTATCAATGGTGGTGGGTTAAATAAACATAACGTAAACTACTTTTGGGTTTCTATTTAAGGGTTTCTCCGCTGGACTTTTTGCATTTTATCGTGATGATGATGGAAATCCTTTGACTCCTAGATATGCAAATGGATTGCCACTATTTAATGAAAGGTATATGCTGATCTTTGCAATTTTTACAAAACTGATTTCACTGAACAGTACTTGTGAGTATGATTAAAAATAGTTCTTATGCAAACAGCATAATTATTTCCTGGTTTTCAGTGGTAATTGCATTGGAAGTCAGTTGTCTTGAAGATGCAATAGCTACTTTACTCATATATTCAATAGTTGAGACTCAGCTTATTGATCATATTAAGAACTGATCCTGGTTCCCAGTTGTAACAACTGAATTGTCTTCCTTTCAGCCTTGGTGTGCATCAGTGGAGTGATAAAGTTATACGTAAAGCAGTAAGATTATGGGATGTGCGGGATAATAACATTTTGCCTCATAATGTATTCCTTTTGGTAACTCCTAAGGTAGTTGTAAGTATTATTTTTATTTTCTTTCACAAAAATCTGATCTGGTTGTTTAGACCCTTAGTGGCAAATAATGGTGGGAGCCATGTTCAACATGTTAAGATTCAGCCCTGCTACTCAATCTCTGTCAAAAATGTTTCCTCATATTGTCAGTTTACTCCCCAAATCAGTTTAGCTTGCAGACCAATTCCTGTGAAGTTAGTGGGTCATCTGACTGACAAGAGAAGATAAACCAGGAAATATACCTATAGTTGCATATTCTCCAAACTACAATGTCCTTCAAATACTGCCACAGGATGTGAAACAACATTAATGCCTCCATATTCTGCCCCCCTCAATTTTTTAAAGCAGAACAAGAAAATTTATCAATCTTTCAGGTATTGCTAATTTTGTTCAACTACTATCCCTTATTGTATTCTGCTGCCTGGGGCTCCTGGGAGTTAAATTCAGTAATATCTAAATTGCCACACACTGTTACGTCTGAAAACGGTTCTGGGAAAATTCTTCCACTTCCAATGCTGAGCACCACACTATTGCTTCTTTTTCCACTTTATGGGGAATTCTTGAAGGCTCCAATTGTGTTTAAATTATTAAAATATTTGTGTTTTTTCCCATTCTCTGTAATATGTAATGATTTTAAAAAATTGAATCATTGCTAGTGCTCCATAATAATGTACTGCAGGGGTTGAGGTTGCATGATCTGTCACAGAAGTACATACCCTTTTGCTGGTTTCCAAGTGCTATTAATTTTAAATGAAATTTCTTGACTTAACTGAAGCATGACAGCATCTTAGAGTTCTCTCATTAAAAATCTTTGCTGGATAAAGTAACATTTTATATATCATGTAAACTTTATGTGTAAAATGAACTAGGCGTTATTTTGAAATAAATAATATTGAGATTTGTCTAACACCTTTCTAAAGAGGGAAGCAAGAAAACACTTTGACTGTCCAAATTTAGAAGGAATGGAACTGGAAAATCAAGGTGGCATAGGTACAGAGCTTAATCACTGGGAGAAACGGTTATTAGAGGTTAGTAATCAATTAATATATAGATATACATAGGGTTGTTCCAATACGAAATTTAGCCTGTGGAATCTCAACTGGTTTTGTCTTTAGCAAGTAGTAATAGAGAAACTCAAGGATGTTTAGAATGATTTTTTTTTATTGATCAATACAGCCAGAGTAAATACAGGTATAAATCATTAGCTAATAACTAAAAGCCACCAGAGAATATATTCTACTCTTTTCCTACATACCTGGACTTATTTAATTCCTTTATTTTGAAGGTTGTAGAGAAGAGTTCTATATTAGATTGTAAATAATACAAAATTGATTGTTTAGTATGTGAAGGAAAGATGCAGATATCTTTGTCAAGATACCACACCAGGAATGAAAGTTCATTTATATTTATAATTTAGAAGCATTCATGGTGGCAATTACAGTCAATTACAATAAATTTAGGTTCTCCATTCTTTTATAGTCTATAGCCGTGGTGGCGAACCTATGGCATGGGTGCCAGAGATGGCACTCAGAGCCCTCTCTGTGGGCACGCATGCTGTCGCCCCAGTCTTACGTCTTCAGCTGGGTTTTATGAAACCTTTTCGCTTTAGGCCTCCGCCGCCGTGTGCAAAAAAAAAAGAATCAATCAATTTCAACTTCTCGCAGGGAAAAAAAAAAAGATCTCGCAAAGTTGGAATTGATTGATTGAACTTTTTAGTCCCACCCAGTCTGCCATTATCACCAAAGCCATGCCCACCCAATGGGCCACGCCCACACAATGGCCATGCCCACCTGGCACCCGACATTACATAAGTGGGTTTTGGGTTGCAGTTTGGGCATTCGGTCTCTAAAAGGTTCGCCATCACTGGTCTATAGTCTATTGTTCTATTTCTTATTATAAGAAAATAATCATGAATGTAATTTATAGATAGCTCCCTGACATCCCAAGAACAACTCCTAATTTCACTGTGATTGTTAAAGTAATAAAATATGTTTCACTATTGGCAAAAATAGTTTGCTTCCCGCAAAATACAGGCTATTTCTCTGTTTGCTTTACTGAAGTTAACTATTATTGATGTTGATTAATTCCAGAATGAAGCAATGACTGGATCACAAACACAGAACAGGGTCTTCTCCCGGATTACTCTGGCATTAATGGAAGACACTGGGTAAAAAAGATACATTGTAGCTATACAATATTACTTAAACAATAGCGTAGTGCTTTCTAAATTACTTCCGAAGTGTTGCAGAGCCCTTGTAAGTAGAAGATAGCAGAAGTAGACAGTAGAAGATACTTCCTAACAGGCCATGGATTTCCCTGCACTGTCGGAAATGCATAAAAAGACATGGAAGAGAATAGCAGCAGCTGGTGGATAGATGCCGAGTCAGATAGAGTTAAACGGTGTTTATGGTAGATTTTGTGCGGTCAGTTACAACACATTCCCAATGGTTTATAGCGGCAACCTTGTCAGCTCAGCAGACCATGCAACTTCATGCACACACACGCTCACCCATCAATCCCGCGGCCTGTTCTGAACGGGCTGCAGCCCGGCACCCAGCCACAGACCAGGGGTTGGCGACTCCTGGTTTATAGCTCAAAAAACCAGACAAATTAATGTTTGTCATTTGTTTATTAGAGTATATATTACTGAATAAGCTTAAGTATTGGGAAGGAGGACCAGGAGTCTTTACAACCTAATAATCCCTAAGATTATTAACTCTTTGATTCTTTGTTGTTAATAGTTCAGAAAGTTGGACTCTAAAGAACCATTTCCATTTCCACTTGCTATTTTTGCAGCTGGTATCAAGCCAATTATAGTATGGCGGAAAAACTAGAATGGGGCCGAGGAAAAGGCTGCGACTTTGTGATGAAAAGCTGCAAGTTTTGGATCAATCAGCAACGGAGAAAGTAAGAATAATATATGTGCGCTGCATGTTCAGTGATGGCTCTGAAATTGTCCTCACCCATTAACTACTGTGAATAATAAGTAGTGTTTATTAACACGCCGAAGCATATACATATATATATATAACATGTTAACCGCTGTTCTGTTTTTAATCTTAAGAAAAGAACCAGTAGCCCCATATTGTGACACTCTGAGAAGTAATCCATTACAATTAACATGCAGGCAGGACCAAAGAGCAGTAGCAGTGTGCAATTTACAGAAGTTCTCTCAGCAGTTGCCTCAGGAATATCAGGTATGTTATATGACACATGAAACAAAAGCATGTCTCATTCTTCTGAATTAATAACCTTATTCAGAAGCAGCGTTAAACCAAAAGCTGTATTCCCTCAATGCGCTATGCCAGGGTTTATGTATTAGGTAATAGGTACTTTGGTTTTATCATTGCCTCATGTCCTGCAAAGGCTTAAAGCATTCCTAGTGCCCTTTCGTATACCTATAGTTGCACCGATTCTGTCAAGTGGGGAAGGGTTAGGGGGCAAGATAGATGCTTGAAGGTTCTTAAAGACTTAAGATAACCATTTTGCCTCTTTAAACTACCTAAATCCCCCAAATGGGAAATAAAACATCCTAGAGAGATACCTTGTTGCTTGAAAAAGCAGGAAGAAAAAAAGACAATAGAAAGTCGTAAGATGATCATAACCATCTTCTGTTATAAACTATATTGATTAGGTTTAAACCAGTGGTTCTCAACCTTTTTAATGCCGCGACCCCCAACCGGTCGTAAGTCGAGGACTACTCAACCAGTTGTAAGTTGAAGACTACTCAACTGGTGCAGCACCGTTTGCAGAATGGGACTTTTGGCGGGCTCAGCAGGGCAGAGATAGCCTGGACAATTCCTATTGGCTTTTGAAAGCCAATAGAATTAGACTCTATTCAAGAGAGTCTATTCTACTGACTTTCAAAAGCCAATAGAATAAAAGGGAGTAGTAGCACAGCTAAGGAAAAGGGGGGAAAAAATGGCAGACTGCGTTGTTTGGCGACCCCCGTGAAATGGTCGTTCGACCCCAAATGGGGTCCCGACCCACAGGTTGAAAACCACTGGTTTAAACAGTGTGAAAAGCCATGCATCCTCATTCAACATGTTTGTGTGAATCCAGGTTTAATATTATAAGGACATCCTATGTCTTCTTATAATATTAAGATGGCATCTTTTATTTTCACCATCCCTGCCTCTTGGCTACTCTTTTCAGCATAGCAAAAAAAAAAAAGGGGGGGGGATTTAGATCAGTGTTTTTTTTAATGAATCCAACTTCTTTTGAACTTAAAAGGAACTGAAATCTGCATGATTACACTTGAAGGAAAACGGCTCAATCTTACCCATTGGCAATGAAGTTAAACGAAATGCATTCTTCTGTTTTTTAAATACTAAGTTCTTTTAAAAGATGACAGAGAGAAACAATCCAAAAAAATGAATCATAATGAATAAAGTAAAAGTCTACAAGCATCATAATATTGAGTTAAACATTCCCATATTTTTTTCTTTTTTTCCCCATTCAATCATATCCGATTCTAAGAGGCTGCCTAAATAAGTCCCTGAAATTTTCTTGGCCAGGATTTTCAGAAGGGTTTGCTACGGCCACCTTGTTAGGCCTGAAAGCGAGAGGGACTGGCTCAGGTTTGCCCAGCTGGCTTTGTGCCGAAGGCAAGATTAGAAGTCATTGTCTCCCAGTTTTCTAGCCTGATGTCTTAACCTCTCCACCAAATGTATCTCATTAATTAGCTTTTAATCTTACCAAAGCTAAACTGCATCTAAATAGAAGTTAATCATATCTAAACGTCAGCCAGCTGTGGAAGCATTCTTGTAGCTTCAACAGCAATAGAGGGAGGTAAGGTAGGAGCTACCAAGCATGATTAGAATTATATTTGTATACAGCATTGGCTGAATTCTCACAGTGTGCTAAACCATACTGTGCCTTGTTAGGTTTGACTTATCCTGTGAAAGGAATCCACTTCTTCATTCTTGTTCAACAAACCCTAACTAAACAATACATGCTTTAATGGAATATATGACCATGAGATCAGGGATAGGTAGCTCAGTTTCTCAAACTTTTGGAGGGCTCTGGCAGGTCATTGGGTGACACAATAATATTACTGGAAGAGGTAGAAATATTCCCCCCCCCATTTATTATGTTGTTATAAATCTTAGTACAGTGATGGCGAACATTTTAGAGACTGAGTGCCCAAAAACTGGGCTCACCCCTGCTCCACCCCTTGCCCCGCCCCGTCCCCCACCCTACCTGCCCGCAGGGCCACTCACCACCTCCAGGGCCCACTGCATATTGTCCAGGCAGCCCAGCAGTGCCATGGCGGTCATGCCCTCTGCCCGCACAGCATCAACTGTGCAAGATGGGGCATGAGGGCAGAGTCTTGTCTACGCTGCCTGGCTGCCATGTCCTTGGCATGTCCTTGCTGCTCCGTGTTGGCTACACTTGGGGGTGACTCTCCTCCAGGGGGGCTGCTGGTGAGGAGAGGGTCACGGGGAGGCAAGGCTGGGGCCACAGCACGTGTGCCCAAATAGAGGGCTCCGAGTGCCGCCTCTGGCACCCTTGCCACAGGTTTGCCACCATTCTCTTAGTACATTATGTTGTTTCAATACACTTTGTACAGTGTGTTTAAAGTTAATAATCTATTTAGATAGCTTTTAATATTGAGAAAGGATTTTTTTATCAATATTACAATTTAGATTTCAATATTACGTACTTAATATGGGCCAATTTTAAAGGATTAAAGTAAAAAAATGGAATAGAGAACCTTTATTTCAAACCTTATTCCACTTTAGCTTTAGGAAACACTTTAAAATTGGATATTTTGCATTTCGGCAGCCAAGTCTCCGTGCTCTGGGGCTATTTATAATCCATAAGTCTCAGGTTTCACATCCCTGCCCGAGGGGAAACACAGACGTAATAGCCTTGCTAAAACAATTATTGCTGAAATTAGCATAGTTGTAGATGTATTTCACAATGAGCAGGCATACAGTTACAGACTGGGCAAATTGAATAGGAGCACCGTACAGTATTGTAAAATCAGACCTCATTGTACTACTGTATATAAATTTAATGTTATACTCTTGATATTTTTCTTGAAAATGTTTTAGTGAGATGACAGTAAACAAATTATGTCACTTTCTAAGCATAGTGCATTGCAACAGCACAAGCTTACATGTCACAACATAAACAATTACTAAAAAGATCATTTTATCTACTAATCAAAATATGACACAATATGTTTTCCTTTGGCATAGATTGCACGCTATTTTATAAGAATAGAGAAAATTTTATATGTAATTTAATACAATGTTAAATACATATGTCAATTCAATATGTTACTTCTTGGGGAACTTGTTTGTTCCTTTGTTTCTTTTTTTTGTAGTATAACAATGTATTTGTTGGGTGTATATTACATTTTTAAATGTTTTTGTTCTTTTTTGTGTTTTTTTAATTGCATATTTAAAATCAGAATACAATATATTTGTCAACAGCCGTTACTATCAAAAAGCACATCCTGAGACAGATTTAATTCTAGTAACAATTGCAGCGACAATATATTAGCTAGTTTCCTTTAATTTGAAGCCACTGCATGTGAATATAATATCTCTATTAGTAATAAAGATGCAGTTATTGCCAAATGTTGTTACTGTAATTTAACTTTTCCTTGCCCTTATGATAACTTTTTTCTCTTTACAGTATTTTGATCGTCTGTATGGCGTGTTGCCAAAAGATTTGCCGTATTATGGTGGATCAGTTGAAATTGCTGACTACTGCCCTTTTAGTCAAGAATTTAGTTGGCACTTAAGCGGTGAATTTCAGCGCAGTTCAGATTGTCGGATACTGGAAAACCAACCAGGTGAGTTGGTTTTATACTTGATTCCACCTTTGGTCATATTCAGTAGCTTAAGCTTGACTCAAATTTAACACAATATGCTAGGTCAAACATGTCAAACACAAGGCCCGGGGCCCAGATACGGCCTGCGAAATGGTTTCATGTGGCCCGCGGAGCTATCCTGGAAACAGTGAGGGAATGGCCCCCTCTGCCTGGGCCCTGGCCCAGGCCGGCCAGGAGCCAATGTACAATTTTGTGGTGGCCATCTATGCTGAAATGCATTCAATCTTAGCTGCATAAGCCCCCCCCCCACATGGCCTGAGAGGAACAGTGAGGCTCCTCCAGTGGACCATGCCTTGGCACTTGCCCTGGTCCCACCCCCTTCTGCCAGAGACCCTTAGATCTATCCCACTCCTGCCCAGGCCCCCAAGGCACCCCTGATGCAAATGATGTGGAGCTGGCCACGCCCACCCAGTAGACCGCACCCACCCTGGCCACACCACCTGGCCCCCTGAGGGCAAACGCACTGCTGATGTGGCCCTCAATGAAATTGAATGACACCCCTGTGCTAGGTGATCCCAGGTCACTCTGAAAGAAGAAGCCTTAGAGCTATGAGACAGCAAGAACTTCAAATATATATGCTATTTGAATTGTAACAATCGTGTTTTATGGTCAATGCATGGTGGCTGCATAGATCTTTAGGGGACCTACTATTTTAATATTTTTCCCTACCCTGAAATATTACTTGAGATTTCTTTTACCAGTACTGTATGTGAAATGTTTAGGATTTGGCAGAGGTGTTATTCTATCTTGCACTGCTTTGCCCACACCTTCACCCTATCCTAGCCATTCCATAAGTAGGGAAGGGCAAAATTGTTCATGTGTGAGCTGTTGTGTGGTAGAATATCTGGATTTGGGTGACCTGAATTAGAAGAGGCAATCAGGTATTCTGCTCTGTGCACAGAATCGAACGAGGCTATTTTTTTTTTTTTATGGGAAACAGCTATGCTGTGGCTAAAAGGACAGCTGGTCCCAAAAAGCACAGAATGCATTATGCTGTGTTACGGGTTTTCCCTGTTTTGTATATACCCCAATTCATATATGCATACTGGTTATCCTTGGTCTGAAGTTATATCACATTCTGTCATCATAACTGAGCTTCTGTCAAAACCTTTTGGTACCACTGATGGCATAAATTGAAAATAGTATTTGTCTGATACTAATCTGTGTTATTTAAAATTCTTTTTATATAAAGGTGCAGCAGAAAACAATATGTCTTCTTGATGCCTTCTAAACAGTTGAAGTTCAGTAAATGCATTTATATCTTGAATGCTTATACGTTGCTTGCTCATTTACTAAAACTTGTTTTATCAATTAGTGCAAGCATCACAGAGAGCATGACAATGGCTGTTGATCATCATTACATAGAAATGCCTGCCCATGATGAACATATGGCTCACCGTGGGAATATATTTGTTTTAATAACTGTACAATGCTATTGATTTTAAATTTGCTACATGTCAGTCTTAAATCATGTGTGCCTTCTTCAAAATGTCACATTTGTGTCTGCCTAGTGGACAGCCATGTACACTGAATAAATGATAAAGTTGGTGAACAAGTTAGGAAAATAATTTACTAACAGCTCTGCTTATGATGTAAATGTCCTAGTAATATCTGATAATTTTGTTGTCTCTGTAATCTGATAGATCTTAGCAGAAAACTGCAATTTTTTTTTGTAGATCCTTTCAGAAACTATGGTGCAGAGAAATATGGGCCAAATTCCATTTGCCTCATTCAAAAGTCAGCTTTCATTATGGAACAGTGCAGAAAGAAACTGAGTTATCCTGATTGGGGTAGTGGGTGTTATCAGGTAACTGCAACACAATTTAATTTTGCATTTTGTACTGCTCTGTTATATTAAAATAATTAGATTACTAATTTAATTATTTGTTGCATGTTTTCTATACCTAGGCAAGTGTTACATGACTAGACTTTTCTAAGAATGCTAAGGAAAAAAAACTATACAATTATCAATTTACTGATTAAGTAATTTGCAAAAGGTTCCTCATTGTTCTTAGCAGTAATTGTTTGGAAAGCACTAATACAGTTGCATTTTTCTTTATGCAAAGAGATTGGAAACAAAATACATCATGAAAGGTTAAAAAAAAAGCTGCTGTAATGAAATGGCTTCTCTGTGCAATCTATTTTGTAAACATATCATATTTGGTTTTATTCCGAAGGTTTCTTGCTCTCCCCGTGGACTGACTGTTTGGGTCAAGGACATGGCATATTTGTGTAGTCACTCAGGTCAAATTCTCACAGTGAATATTCAGATGAATGGATGGCTACATATGGGGAATCTAATTTGCCCAGCGTGCTTGGATTTCTGCAATTTCTGTCCTCCTGAACAAGATCCCCCTCCAGTTGCTAATTTAACAAGAGTTGTACCTATTGGTAAGTAAAAATCAGAATAAAACTTTTAGAATTCCTCCATTTAATTATACTTATTTCTGATTTTTAACAGAAAGAATGACATAAGCTTCAATCACTTAGGCAGAGGATAAGAACGATTGTGGCTATTCTTCATTGCTCTAAATATTTCTGACACATTCACACAAACAATCAGTTATGATTTTTTCAGTCTTTTATTTGATAAATTAATTCCTCAATTCCTGAAGCATCTCAGTTTCTGACTCTTTTTGAGGGGTAGGAGATAGGAAATATTTTAAATGCTCTTCGGAGTACATGAAGAGCATCTGTACAATTACTATTTATCTTGTCTTTGTACTATTTTCTTCTATTTCAGATCTGTGTTCCTGTTCTCCCAGCCTGGTAATAACTCTGTGGCTACTGATGGTGAATTTGTTTCCATTACTAGCTGGATTTCTTCTGTGTGCATGGAGTTAAAATGTGCATATTTTGTCAAAGATTTGTCAAAGGTCCCCTACAGCTAATCCCATCTTGAAGGAGCTGTCCAGAAGGGCAGTCTACATTTTGCAAGGAGTCCAACTAGGAAAGTCTGACTAAAGTTTCTAGAAAGATAGAGACAATATTTAGAAGGTTATCTCAATGAAGAGCTAGTGTTGATCGAAATGTCTAATTTTCACATTGATAACAAATTTGGAGGAACAAATTTGCCAGTGTAGTTTAATGCCTTCGGTTGACACTCTTCTGGGTGAACTTTTTATTATGTGCAATTCTCTATGATATAATTTTGTAGTTGGGTTCTTGTTTTGGCATCTTTTGACAGAGATATACCTCAGTTTCCTTTAGTCAAAAGCCATAAAAATCAGTTGCCATTACTGTTAATAACAACTCAGCATTAAGTGGAGAATTCAAAACTAAGAGCGTCTTGGCTTTGGTGTTAAGATGCTTCCAGAGTTACTCGGTAGACTCTGGTGATTCCAAGTTATTTCTTCTATGAAGCTTTTGCTGCTCAAAATATGAAAGAGCTTTTCAACAGCTGCACAATATGCACTTTTAGAATATTTGAATGAAAATATATCTCCATTTTAACAGTAAGCAAAACTATTCTTCAATGGCTTTTTTCTTCAAAGGCTAGAAACAAAGTATGCTTGCTGGGATGTAAGCTTCCTTGAACTCAGTTGAGCCTACAGTACAGTGTTTCTGAGTAACTAAATTTGGTTGGGCTACATACTTTGTTTCTTACCAGGTAATTTGAGTAATTTAATTGTTTTCATAGATATTTCCCTTGTGTTATGAAACATGCAAAGATTAGTAATCTATACCTACCCCATCCCAGTTGTCTTAGAAAAGATTGAAGTGATGACACATTTCACCATTAGATTGTAGTGCTTAATACTTAGGGAAAAGGTGATAACAGTGGGAAAATGTTAGAGATAATATATAGATTACTTTGTAGCAAAAATATAATTTTATTACCAAGCGACCCCATTTGGCTGTTGGATGAAAGAACAGTTAACTTTAAATTTATGTTAGGGAATACAAGGGCTTACATATACTGTGGAGTTCTTGATGCTCTGTAAACTTGGTTGTTTGCTCACAGACATTTCATTACCTGATTAGATAACATCATCAGTGCTAGAGAGTATGGGGTTTTCTCCCTGTTTATAAGCACTATCTTGCCTTACAAGGGTTTTGTGTGGGTGTGGTTTTCTCCTTGGTAGTTCCTTGATTAGGGTATTTATTGTTTGTCTGGTATTAATTCCTGCTTATAATACGGGTGTATTATAAGCAGGAAAGGATGTGGTTGGTTATTGGAAAGGATGTGTTCGGGGGGGGGTGTTTCCTTTTTAGCTTTTTTATTGTCTCTTGAATGTGTATAAATGTAAATGGCTTTGAATGCCAAGCATCCAGGAAATGCCAAGCATCCAAGATTGGTCTGGGATGCTCACAGTTTCCCAGTTGAAACCACGGTTGAGTTTGCTCTTGTTTTGTGAGATTAAGGAGTGTTCATCATGTCTTCTTCTGATTGCTAGTTGGTGTTTGTGGGTGTGCTCTACTAGTTTTCTACCTGTCTGTCCTATGTAGTTGCTATTAACCATTCTCACATATACATTGTGTATAAACAAAGCAAACCCCACACTTACTAGCACAGATGATGGTACTTAATCAGGTAATGAAACAACTGCAAAGAAACAACCAAGCATGGAGAGCACCTAAGACTTCACAGTTCAACCCTGAACTACATATATTCTCTTCTATTGGAACTTAAATATACTTTTTAGAGGGCACAGATTAATTACCGTGTCACAGAAAACTGCACATTATATAAAAATTTAGTGTATAATTTTTATATTCCAGTTTCTTGGAGAATGAAAAATGTTCAAGGACCTAGTTGTGGTATTTTTTTTCCCAGATTGGGGAGCAAAGACTATGTAGTCATAATGTTGTTTCATATCCTGAAAGCTGTGACTAATAGAGATGGTGACTAGGAATGCTCCTAAAGCTTCTGGTGAAATATTCCAGTAGAAGCAGGCTAGACCGTGGGACTAGACAAGAATCTTAGATGGGACCCATCCTAAGAACTCTTCTATCAAAGCAGAGTATAGTTGCTCCTAAAGGAAAAATCTATAATAGTGCCTGTTGGATAACATTTTTTTCTACAGTAGTCCTTATTTTTAGAAAGAAAATGGTGAAAATTAAGTGGCTTCTCTCCAGCACAGAGGTTCCCAACCTCTGGACTGTGGCCCCTTAATGGGCCGGAGCCCATTCAGAACCGGGCTGCATGAGGGGTGGGTGGGTGCATGCACGCAGCTCCACTTGCACAAGTGGCAGGCGCTCACGTGTAAACCTCCATTTGCAGGAATGGCAGGTACATGTATCTGCTGCTTGCACAAATGGAGCTGCGTGTGCCCCTACCGCTCACACAAACCATTCCCTCTCCCTCCCACCCCAGCTGGGCTGCTAAGCCGGAAAGGGTGGGGACCTCTGCTCCACAACAAGCAAAGGCTGACTAAAGAATGTGTGACAGAATTTGCTTATATTACACACCCTGGATTAGTCTTAAATAAAGGGAAAGGAGGGTGGGATGGAAATCCTGAGCATAGCAATAAAATATTAGGATTGAGAAATGTGTATACTTTGAATGAGGAATAGGAGTTCATTTTCTAATCTAAATGGTTACACGGCTCAAATTTTAGTGTGAAACAGGTCTGTAAAAATAAGGAAGAGAAACTATTTTTATATGTGCAATGTAAAAAAAACGAGTGTCTTGAAAGGATGCTTTAAATACTTGAACCTTTTTTTCCCTGTCTGTCTTGAAGTAAAACAATTGCACTGCATTCATTTTTTGATTTTGTAAGTATTTATATCTATGTTGATGTAATGTTGCTATAAAAATAATGCCATGGCATTCTTGACTGAGAAATGATTAATTTGTTGCTGGATTCTAGTTGATTCTTTTGAGAAACGGCTAGGAAGAAAGTATAATGTGAGAGCACACAACATTTAAAGAGATTTTGACTGTTTTACTGTTATATGTAAACATGGTTATATCAATACAATTTATGATACAGACGTGTGATTGTTTTAATCTGAGATTCTTTGTATGAACAAGAACATGGTAGCAGTTAATGATCCAGTCCCAAACTTAAACCACTTTCCTGCATTAGAAATATTCCAGCAAACAGCAAACCTGTTACAGGTAGTCCTCAATTTATGACCACAATTGGGACTGAAGTTTCCATCTTAAGTTGGAGAAGTCATAAATTGAGTCATCATGTGACTGGATCTAATTTTGCGATCATTTTTACCATAGGCATTAAGCAAATCATCATTAAGTGAATGTGGCTTTTCCAGTGGATGCATTTTTGCTGGAAACCAGCAAAAAAAGGTTACACGCTGCAATCGTGACCACAGGATATTGCAAACAGTTATAAATGTGAGCTGGTTTTCCAGCGCCCAAATTGCAATGATGTGACTGCAGGGATGGTGTGAAGGTCGTAAGGGCAAATAAAAGTTATAAAGCACTTTTTCCCTGGCTGATGTAAACTTGAACTATCTTTAACGAACAGTTATAAGTCAAAAACTACCTGTATGTTTTTTTTAAAAAACAAATATCCCTAAACCCTGAGCAAAAAACAAAAAGTACTAAGTGGATTTTTTCCCCTTCTTGGTTTCTTACAGAACCCCTTCAGGTTAATTACAGAATGCTTAAGTACCATAAAACACAATTTTCAAAATCCTGCCCCAGAGTGTCACCAGTTATAAGACCATTTGGAAACCAGTGTTGTGTCTAATAAAGAGATGCCTTTTTTAAAGGGGGGGGGGAAGAAAGAAGGAATTGATTTATATAAGTTGGATATCTCGTCAGACAAATGGCTTCCTACAGTGAAGCCAACATTTTAATAATAGTTGCCAACTTTGCTTCAAGCACACCAAGTTTTTCAGGCAGCTTAGATTTTTAAAACGAATAATTGCACTGAATATTTGATTATTTGAAGTTCTTAGGAGTTAAAGACCAGTTCTTAGGAGTTAAAGACCCTGAGCTTGTCAGCTGGAAAGAGACCCGAGCGCCACGTGATAGGGTGAGTTCTGGTTACTTGCCGCAGCTCCTGCCACCTAGCAGTTTGAAAGCATGCAAATGGGAGTAGATAAATAGGTACCACTTTGGTGGGAAGATAACAGCGTTCCATGTGCCTTGGGGTATAGTCATGGTAGTCACATGACCACAGAGGCATCTTCAGACAATGCTGGCCCCTTCGGCTAAGAAACAGGAATAAGCAATCCCCCCCCCCCCTAGAGTCGGACATGACTGGACACGGGAAACTTTTACCTTTACCTTTTTAGAGCAAAGGTAACAAATCAAAAAAACTATAATCTAATTTTGAAAAGCAAACTCTAAATTAAGTGGTGATTTCAAAACAGAAATCATCCATTGGTGGATGTAAGTGAAAAAGAATTTGGCATATAGTGATTATAGAGCAATGGTGGCGAATCTATGGCACGGGTGCCAGAGGTGGCACTCAGAGCCCTCTCTGTGGGCACACGTGCCGTCGCCCCAGTCCTAGGCCTTCAGCCGGGTTTTATAAACCTTTTTCGCTTTAGGCTTCCGCTGCCATGTGCAAAAAAAAAGGTTCAAAAAGTTTCAACTCGCGGGAAAAAAAAAGATCTTGCAAAGTTGGAATTGATTGATTGAACTTTTTAGTCTCACCCAGTCTGCCGTTACCACGGCAGCCACGCCCAGCTAATGGGCCACACCCAGCTAATGGGCCACGCTCAGCCAATGGGCCACGCCCACCCGGCACTCGACGATGCATAAGGGGGTTTTGGGTTGCAATTTGGGCACTTAGTCTCTAAAAGGTTCGCCATCACTGTTATAGAGGAATCGACTAGGTCACTATAAAGCTTTGTGAATGAGTTTGGACCATACATATCACTTATCTTACACAACCCCACAGGGCTTTTTTGAGAATAAAATGAAAAATACTGTAATTAGAATTAGGTATGCCATATTGGACTTCAAGAATAAAAAATGGCATAGAAATGTAATGAGGTTATAAATTGTGTGTGAATTCCCATTTATAAATCACTTTAAATGATAGAATTATTACAGTTAAAAATTATGGTAATATACCTCTTCCCTGGTTATACATTATAATCTCTAGAATGGTACTTAATATACACCATTCTTAATTCCCAGAACTTTGGACTCAATTGAACAAACTTAAATTTAACCTTAATTCAGTATTTCATGCTATTGTAATTATGTGTTTGGAAAAACAAAGAAGTGATTCACCAATTCAGAAATATTGCTTTTTACATGATAAAACCCATGTCTATCCAAATAAAGTATAACATTATTGAGATTCTTTATTTTCCCTGAAATTTCTGGAGAATGCTATGTGTCAGATCACTGTGTACGTGTGTGTAGTTTGGTGCTCTGAAATACAAATGTTAATTTTTACATGTGTAATTCTCATTTCTCAAACTGAAACTTGTTTCAGATTATTGAAATTAATATTTGCTACAAGATGTAAATCAGAATTATTTTCTATTTATTTGTGAGTTGATTTAAGAGCTGGTTAATTATTTGATGTTCAAAATATTTCCATTGTGTATGTTAAATATATGGAAACTTCTTTTAGTGTACTGTATATCATGGGAACATTGTGTCAATTAAAGAAACTTATTTCTAAAAAGTGTTAATGTTTTCTCTTAAATGAAGCACACATTTACGTATGCACTTGTTTATAAACTGAGACAAATATGGAAGATGCTTATGGCTGCTTTCAAAAAATACTGTAGAATGATGAATGACATTATTTTAAAAAATACTGCTATCAAATTATATAATCCAGAATAATATTTTAAATAACCTCAATGGAATTTAGCCTAATTAAAAATGCTGTAAGCCGTGTTGTCTCTTAGTATGATGTATCCATTTTCCTTTGCAGATTTATATTTTTGAACAGAATTTGGCAGAGTCTTTTGGGCTTATATATTAATGTGGAAAAGTCAAAGCACTGTGTATGAAAGAAAAAAAATGAGGTAAGGTAGTAAGGTAAGGACAAAGAGAAAATTGAAGAAAAAAGGCATGATATAACTACTGAATATTTAAGATGGAGAGAGGAAAGGGGATGCATTTTAATAAGGCTGGAGCTAGAAAGAGCAGAACAAGCTAGTCAGTGGCTGGAAATTTTGGAATATAAAGTAAAAGGGACAGGAAATAATACACCTTGTCTTGTCACCTTTGCACCCCTCTTATCGCTAAGTCCAATTGAAATTACCCAGAGATCTCAGAATTACTGCTCCTTAAGACGCAGGTTACTCAAAAGGCATACAGAGTAATTTCCTTAAGACCACAATGAAGTTAATACCAGGGGCTTTTTTGCTTGTTTGTTTGCATGTTGCTTGCTTGCTTTAATTCTCCATTATCAAGTTGACAGAAACCTTGCTTGCTTGCTTGCTTTATTCTCCATGTCAGGCTGACAAATCTTGACAGACTATACTGGTAGGTTGCAGTATGGGATCTTACATGTGTTCCGGATGCTTTTGCAGGCAAGCGATGAACTCTTTGACTGACTTTCCTTGGTAGCAGATTAGGTAGATATTTACGAATAGTGGAAACCTAGGAGAAATGCAGTTGAAGTAAATCTTCAGTCAGTGTTTTGTTTCGTACCCTGTATAATCATTGATGTGTACACAAGGATCTGTTTCACTAAGGTAATTTTAACTAGCAATCTTCTTTTAACTAGCATGTTGTTACACTTATTTTTGTAGAACAGCCTTCTCCAAATTTGTGGTCTCTGGTTACTCTCTGAGCTATATAACTCTCATAATCCAACTTATCTGCAGGCCACTGGGCACCTGGGTCATTTATCTGTGTCCAATACACTCTTAAATAAGCCTAGCATAAGTACAATAAATTTCCTGCTTGCTTAACACATAAATCTGATGGGGACCTTTGAACATCAACAAAAAAAGAAGATAAAAGTGCTTCTTTGTAAAGCAGCAGGAACACAAAGAGAAGCATTATGAGGAAAACAGTACAATGTTTTTTGCTAGCCTAAATGTACAAGACCAAGATCAGCTGCTGAGATTAGCTTCGATGCTCTTAGCATTCAGATTTTTTTTTAATACCCTGGAAGTGGCTGTAATAAAGATTATTTTCGCACGTCACAGTCTTGATCTTAAAACTGATAGTGGAGCTGGTTTCACAATGAAAACATTAGAGAAGATTGAAATTATAATTGAGGCATTATTAAAGAGCATCCCCTTTACTATCCATCACTGAATAGCGAAGCCAGATAGTTTTTCTCTCAACCTGCTGTAATAGAATATGACAGATTTAACTATTGGATTTCTATTATTACTTAGCTCTTAAGACTACAGAATCGTTGCCGTAGATTGCACCTAGGCAGTCCTCGCATTAGATATTATGAAGCTACCACTTCAGTCGTAATGATTGAGAACCCCATCATTGTCTGGTGATTTGGAACAGCTGTTTAATTATCCCTAAAACAGTATTTCTCAATCTTGGCAATTTTAAAATTGTCTGGACTTTTGACTCCAAGAATTCTGCCAGAATTCTGGGAATTGAAGTCCAGGCGTCTTAAAGTTGCCAAGATTGAGAAACACTGCCCTAAAGTTGTATAGTGTCACCTGACTGTCTAAGAGGAAATCCTTATAATCAAAACACTGGGAGCTGCCATAGATGGCTGGATAGGTATTGGTTGCAAGCATGGGGGAAAAAATCTATAGAAGGAAGCAGTCATTCCCTATTTCCCAAGTTATCTATCTAACAATCTAGTTCCAACTAGATTGTTTAGATAGATAATTTGGGAAATTCATTTGATCTTGCAATTCGGACATCTGATATTTCATGAATAGATGATAACAATTTGGTTAGAATTGAAGGGCACAAGTTGTATAAGTTAGAAACTTGTTTCACAAGTTTAGCTTACAAATTGCTATAATCAACTGAAAATGTTCACTTAAATGTCCTTCACAATGAATGGCCATCTAAAAAGACTGAAGTCCTAAGTTTCTCTGTGGACAAACTTGAATTATCAATTTACCCACAGTAGATCATGATATAATCACGTGGAAACAAAAACCCAATTAAAACAGTTAGAGATGGTCCATCTTTTGAAAGTAATTGTTTTATACCACAAGTATGGAATTAAGTATCGGAATACAATTTCCCACTAATTAAAAAAAGAACGAAAAATTAGAATGGTAAGAAAAAGTCCTCTTAGTGAGTATCTTTGCATTTTTTTTTACATACATGTACAAATATGATCACTGGGTGTATAAATAATTGGACATTCTACAACCAAATAGCTTTACCAATAAGGGTAACAGCAAAAAATGAATTTTATTAGCTTGAGTTGTGTCATTTCACTTGAAATTTTAGATTAATAAATAATCATAATCATGCCAAAAATAAGGACTAGCATAACTGAATTACAAAAATTCTGACCGCTAGAGAGCAAGAGAGGGGGGGGGGCAGATATGATTCTCCACTATTATCTAGTGAAAATATTGCAGCCAACAAAAATAACAAAACGTCCAGGATTATAGTTGAAATGTTCTGAATGGCTCATGGCTGCTTACAGGTGTATTTAGTATTTAAAGCAAACGACTTACTTGTCAACCATATTCTTCTGCTTCAGGATCTTATAGACTTCAGCTGATGTTTGAGGTCCTTGAAGCTTCTGCCCATTCAGCATTTCTTTTTCCAACTGTTCAATTGTCTAAAATAAGCAAAGTATGAATTGCTCGTTTTAGAATGAAAAGAAATGGCATTAAATTCTCCATAAACTGATGAACAAATCTGAAACGTCTTAAAGCTCTAGCAATGAAATGGCACCCTTGAACTTTCCGATATAAACTAAATAAGCAGGATTTTGGAGCAATTTCTAAACTTACTTGAGCTTAATGGTCACTTTTTAAAAAAAATATGAAGTTATTATTATAATGATATAATTTAGAGCTAAGCTACATGTGACACTAAACTTGCATTCATACTTTAACTATTGAATGAACCAATTGGCTGGGTACACAAAATTAATTTACCCTCAGAGACCTATTGTATCTTCTAACATTACTCAGTCGTCATTGAAAACAACATAAAGCCCATCTTCATTTTTGAAATACGGATTCAATGATAATTGGATTACTCTAGGAGACGCTGTAAGTGAATAGTGGGGAATCTGCTTAGGAGGTATGCATTCTCCCTGTGTTTGCAACGTGGGAAAGCAGGCTAAATTCAAACTTATAAAGATGAGGGTTTCTTTTTTCAATTATAAGGGCTGACTTTTAAGAAAGCACAGGACTTTGGAGGCTGATGAAAATCCTGATTTTCTAGGGGGGTCAAGCATATTTCTCCTGCACTGCGCTTCAGGGAACGTATGTGTCTGTTTTTCAGGGATAGTTGGATAGGTGTTCCATTTATATTTCTGCAAATGTAATGTTCTGGCTAGGGGAAACTGAAACAGCAAAGAACAGAAGAGGAAATCAGATCCACCAACCAGCACTCAGGACATGTACCTCCACATAATGCAGAGTTGGGATTTGGGAGGTGTTTGCATTGGCCTATCTGTAGCTATCTGTTACCTATGCTTGCCCAATAATCCCTTCACAGTGTAGGTATGCAGCGACTGCTATGGGCAGTCAGCCTGTACTCTGCATGCCATCAGCCCCTTAGCGAACACTCCTCCTGGCAATCTGGCAGCCCCCCACCCTTTTAGTCTTCCAGAAGGACATTAAAATCAGACCTTGGGACAGAGTGGTGAGAACTTGAGAATAGTTGTTTGGACATCCTGGGAGGATGATTGGAGACCCTGGATTTTTTAAATACATCTATATAGCTTTTATGGTGTTTGTAGTTTTACTGTTTATGAGCTGTCCAGAGTTGTTTTAAGATGCAAATCTTCTAAATAAATTAATTACTTCCTGTTTTCCTTTAGCTAGTACATCTTGTTTTATTTCAGTATTTGACTGGGCTGCATCAATTATAATTTCATAGGGCCCCAAGTCTGTTTCTCAAGTCTGAAAAGGCTCCTGAGGTGACTTTTGATACCATTGACCATGGTATCCTAAGAACAGAATAGAATAGAATAGAACAGAGTAACTGTATTGTCACTTTAAATGTAAGCTAATCAACATACATTAAAATGAGATTTTGTTGCATACAGCTCTCAAAGGATAATCACCTCCAATATACATTGCATAAAAATGAAAAAAAAATTATGCATATACCCACATTCACACAGAGATGTGGCCAGAGAAACAACACAGTCTAGTGCAGATGTATACATATACATGGCGAGAAAAACAAATCATACGAGTTTACCGAATCTTGAATTTGGGGCTGTCTGTGGGATTTGGAACTGAGTAGGGCAGTATTGTGCTGGTTCAGCTTTTTTCTCCAAAGCCAGTCCCAATCAGTGTTAATAGGAGGTGAGAGGTGCAGCCCACAGCTACTCTTTTGTGGGGTGCCACGGGACTCATTACTGTCTCCACTCCTTTGTAACATCTACATGAAACAGTTGGGTGAGATCATCTGACACCATGGGATGAGATATCATTAGCATGCAGATGACATTCAGCTTTCCATCTCCATCCCTGGTGATCCAAGCAATGTTGTAGTTGCCCTTTCACAGTGCCTGGAGGCTGTAAGGAACTGGATGGGGGACAACAGATTTCAGCTGAATCCTGGTAAGATGGAATGGCTGTGGATTCAAGGGGCCGCAGGATCCAATTGTTTCTCACCTTTAATTGTGGATGGGGTTGCACGATCCCCAGAGAGACCTGGTGTGTGCAACCTGGGTTTTTTTCCTAGACCACGGGTATCAAACTCGATCGTGTCACATGATGTATCGTGACTTTTTTTGCCTTTGCGGAGCCTGGGTGGTCGTGGCCTGCGTGTGACGCATCCGGCCCGTGGGCTGCCAGTTTAACATCCCTGTCCTAGAATCATGACTCCTGCTCAAAGAGCAGGTGGCAATTGTAGTTAGGGAGGCCTTTCTGCAAATTCATGTTGTGTGCCAGTTGTACCTTTATTCAGATCATAAAGCCTTGCACATAGTCATTCATGCCCTGGTCGTCTCTTGATTGGATTACCACAATGTGTTCCACATGGGGCTACCCTTGAAGAGTATTCAGAAGCTAGAAATGGTACAGAATGCAGCGGCTCACCCGGTTCTGGGAGCACCTAGGGTGGCACATCTACTACTACTGTTGGGCAAGCTGCATTGGCTACCAGTTTTCTTCCAGATTCAATTCAAGGTGTTTATTATTATCTCTAAAGCCCTATATGACATGGATCCTAGTCACATGACATGGGTCCTTCTGAGGAGTCATCTCACTCCAGTGGGACTAGCCCATCCCATTATCTCCAGCGGAAGGGGTCTGCTAAGGAATTCTGGATGGTGGGGTCAAGGGAGCTGAGTTTTTTCATTGTGGCCCCAACCCTATGGAACACTCTATGAATGGAGGTGAGAACTGGTCACGCCCTTTTGGCCTTCTAATGTAGGAGATAAGACTGAGCCCAAGGGTGAGATCAAATGCATCATCAGTCTGGAATCCTTACGCTCCCCCCCCAAAAAAAGACCTAAGTCTAACCCTCCTTGAAGTCCATTGACTTTCATCTGCCACCAATTTACTTTGACCATTAGCAGATTAGATTCTTGTATAGACTGCAGGGAATAAATTCCAAGTGCTTTTGAACTCTGTCCTGACTCCTAGTTGCTTGTGCCTGACATCTAGAAAGGTATCAAAATTTGGCTTTGCTGGTTGGCTTGCGGCCCCGAGGGAGGCACTCCACCACTTGAGATGGTTGACAGGGTAAGAAGATCTCATCCTCGTGCCATCTGTCTCCTTGGTTTTAGTTTTTGTATACTTTTTAAACATTTTAATTATTTTTATACTTATCTTTCTTACCTTTGTCAGCCATTCAGAGTCGCTTTATAGGAGAGATGGGTGGCATATGATTAATTAATAAATCACAGCTGCTAGGATTTTGTATATGATGCTAAGTCATTAACCAGGCTTTAAAAACAACATTGGTGGGATTTACGCAATATGCTCAACTGCATTCAGTAATATAGTGTAATATGTAAGGATAGTCATTAAATATAATGGAGGGACTCATACAGCAGTTAGCAGTTTTTATGATTCTTAGGAAAAAAAGCTGTAATACACAAACCTTCCCATCGGATATGATTCCAATGTACAGGTAGTCCTCAACTTACAATTGTTCATTTAATGACCGTTCAAAGTTACACTGGCAGTGAAAAAACTGTTTTTCATAGTTATGACCAGCATTCCCCAAGATCATGTGGTCAAAATCCAGATGCTTGGCAACTGGTTCATATTTATGACTGTTGCTATCATGTGATCACCTTTTGTGACCTGACAAGCAAAGTCAATGGGGAAGCCAGAGTCACTTAACAACTGAGGCAGGAAAGGTCATAAAATGGGGCAAAACTCACTTAACAAATGTCTCATTTAACAACAGAAATTTTGGGCTCAATTGTGGTCCTACGTCGAGGACTACCTGTACTTGAAAACTTCTTAAAAATTCAGGGGAATAGAGATATATCTTCCTTGAAAGTAGCTCATGTTGAGCAGTCAAACATCAGGAGTTGACCACAGGAAATGGTCATAAATTTATGAGGTCATAAAATGCTTCACGGTCATTTTATGACATGTTTTATAAAATTTGCCAAATGTCAATTCTGTGGGAGTCATGGGTCCCAGATTTTGGATGCTTTCGGTAAGTTAGCCCACTTGAGATACCTTGATTGAAAATGTTTTGTCGTATGATGTACCATTTTGTCCAGACATGAGTGTTATAGTAATATATACAGGATATTACCAGACATGTCAAATCAACTTCAAAAGAACATTGACCCTCCCCGCATCAGCTAGCAGGATCTTTGGCTACTTCCCATAAATTGTTCTATACTAGAGAACTGTGTAATTTTATCTTTAAAAATGCAGCCAACTTCTCTTCCTCATACAGTATATCAAAACATGCCCTTACTTTTCCACCGTGTGCAAATGCTTCAGCCACCTTCCTGTTACGTCCCCCATAGCATGTGGTAATCAGATCTGCAACCCCACAGCTTTCCAGAAATGTATTTATTGAGACCGTGCCCTTGCAGAAGATTTTAGCGAAGGCAATCATTTCCATCAGGCCTAGGCGAATCACAGCTGCCTTGGTATTGTCCCCAAAGCCCAGCCCATCACAGAAACCAGCTCCAACAGCCACAATGTTCTAACATCCAATGGAAAAATGAGAAAGAAGAAGGAAAAAAACAAGTCAACAGTTAAAGACATGAAATAATATTGCGTTCTAATAACTGAAAGCAAAACCCCCTCGTTACTAGCACTGATGATGTTACCTAATTGTGTAATGGAACATCTGTAAGAAAACAACCAAGCTCAGAAAGTACCAAGGACCCCTCAAATGTTGGATTTTCCCACACACAAAACCCATAACTATCACTTTGATGACCACCAGGCTGCCAGGCTAATCCAAATGTTAATTATGGTTTATAGTTTAGTACAGACATGTCAAACACAAGGCCCAGGGGCCAGATGCAGCCCATGAAGTGATTTCATGTGGCCCGCGAAGCCATCCTGGAAACAGTCAGGGAATGGCCCCCACTGCCTTGGCCCTGGCCCAAGCCGGCCAGTAGCCAGTGTGCAATTTTGTGGAGGCCATCTATGCTGAAATGCATTCAGTCTTAGCTCCACAAGGCTGACTGGAAACAGCAAGGAACCAGCCCCTGCGGTGTTGGCCCTGCCCCCTGGGTGCATGCTGGGGAAGTGTCACCCTTTGTGAGGAATGAAGAAATGGACCATGCCTTGACGCTTGCCCCGGTCCCACCCCATTCTGCCAGAGACCCTCAGATCTGTCCCACTCCTGCCCAGGCCCCCACAGGCACTCTTGACGCAAATGATGTAGAGCTGGCCACGCCCACCCAGTAGGCCACACCCACTCCATCCATGCCCACCCAGTAGGCCACACCCACTCCATCTACGCCCACTCAGTAGGCCGCACCCACCCTGCCTCCCGAGGGCAACCGCAATGCTGATGCGGCCCTCAATGAAATTGAGTTTGACACTCCTGGTTTAATACATACAAATCCAGCTAGCAAAAACTAACTGAAACTATGGCTGAACAAACTACAGCTTAAACTGTTCTTAGTGCTAAAAATATATGGTTCAGATGTAATAATTCTGTTTCAGAAGGTTAGGACAAAGAGGAAAACATAAAAATAATGGATTTTTTTGAAAAATAATAAAAAATATTTTAAAATAAACAAACGCCTAAGATTGGCAATAAACTTGTAGTCAGCAAAATAAATCAGATTTGCAGTTTTGATACCTAATTAGTAACTATAGCTGAACAGTTTTCATTAATATTAGAGCTACAGACCTGAGACAGACCTCATAGGTGTATTTAATTAATCTCGTACTTAAAATGTAAGGATATATTGTTTCTATTTACTGCTGATACACTCAATTAAAAATCAGTATGTAAAGCTTTTATTACACATTTTAACAACTAAGCAGAAAACCCAGTCTGCAGACCTGTATTTGGACTAACTATGGTAGGATTCACACAAATACTAAAATGTGATAACTTTCTTAATAGGTCAGAGTTATATGAAGCCAATGAGATAGGTAAATCATGCCTGACGGTTTAATGTGTAGCATACGTTGAATATTATTTGGTAAATTACACTTAAGCATAGTTTAGCTTAGTAGATTGTAGGAACACAACTACTTCCTTGGAATAACAAACCTTTAAGGCCCCACAGAGCTCGACAGTATCACAGTCATCCACCACGGTAATTCTGAAATTTGAAGTTTGCATTAATTCTTTGAAGATCTTCCCATTTTTAGCATTTTTAGAACCTAAGAAAAGAAGCACAGGTGTTAGGATCTTAACTGACAACAGAAGAAAGTATTTGACTTGATAGAATTATTTCCAGTATTATTTGTCTTTTAAATGTATGTTCGTGTCTAAAATATGCAGAAAACATTTAAAACAGAGACAATTTTCCTGTAAAAATTAACTATCAAATGAAATATTCCAAGTTGGTAAAACGACAGTAAAATAAGAGTGAAATAGAAATAGACTTTCTTAGAAAAAAAAAAGCACAATTATATTATGTGATATTTTTAATGGTAAAAAGGCCCAAAGTCAATTGAACTGTAGTGAGATATTAATATAAAAATAATTATGCCATGGGATAATGAAGGATACTAATTATGATTCTTTTTTAAAAAGCATATGCCGGTTTTCCTTCTGATTGCATTGATTTCATCTCAAGCTTCCTGAAAAGACTCTATTTCAAGCAATGTATGAACTATTTTTTTTTCTTTTTATACCGGCCCCTGAATGAATACAGAAGAGCTATGTGGTGTCTTATGGCAGCACTCCTGGGAGAAGGTGGAGGAGGGGATGGATATATTTACTGAAACTATCATAGTGAGGACTAGGCTTCCTATAGGATTAGCTTCCTGCATTTGCTTAAAGGAAAAAAGAACTTCAACTTGACTCTAGAACAGTGTTTCTCAACTTTGATAATTTTAAGGCATGTGGACTTCAACTCCCAGAATTCCACAGCCAGCAATGCTGGCTGTGGAATTCTGGGAGTTGAAGTCCACATGCCTTAAAATTGTCAAGGTTGAGAAACACTTCTCTAGAAGAAAATAAAAAAAAGATTGGCTAGTTTTTACAGGAATTGCTGTATGGCAGGAGAGCAAGATTAAAACTAGTTCAGTGTGCCATTGCAAACACAGGGATGGTGAGAAAAATCCGGATCTGCAGTACGGATTAGCTGCATCCCTACAATACACTGGCTGGCTTCATAAACAAGCTATTTAGTTTGTGATTCGGTGACTCCTGTTGTCTGTGAAAAATGGGCTGAATAAACTAAAATTAAGCAAACCACAGTTAATTTAAGAGTGCCGGATATTACTCAGCACTATTCAGCCATGAATTTTACCAGGTGACATTGACTAATTACTGCCTCCCAGCAGGCTGGGGGGGGGGGATAAAGTGTAGGAAGGCACCGCATCCACCACCTTCAGCTTTCTGAACAAAAATCAGGATGCAAATTTAAAAGACGAGTGAGCGGGTGTAAGTAATGCTGCAAAGCATAAGAAGACGTGAAGCCTTGGATGATAAAAACCTACAACTATTATCCCGGATAGGATTGGATATAAAAAGAAGCTGGCTGACTCCTTCTGTTCGCTGCAGATTTATTTCCCTAGCAAGACAAGCCAATAATTTATGAGTCAATTACCAATGGTAGTTTCACAGAACATTTCATTTGCCACTTCATTGGCAATGTTGGCACCCATGAGCACGCTCATATCTATCTTCAGTTTCTCTCGGATGATGTCCGTGATGAGTTTCAGTCCTTCAGGGCCTTCGTCTACACCCTACTTAACAGAAAAAAGAGGGATCAAAGCAAAGCAAATCCAAGTTGAACTGCATTGCAATAGATTAGTTTATGGATCCGACTGTTTTCTGTGAAAATTGGGCCAATGAAGACATGCAGATGCCCTTTTTGCTGAAGAACCTGTGCTGCAACTTTTTTTCTTCCTTCCTCCATGGAGTTTTCAGTTAGCGTGACAATTCAGTTTCATTTAAAATAAGAAGCTAAGCTTCTCTTAGGGTAAATCGTGAGAGATGGCCAATCCATTTAAGCCAGTGGTTCTCAACCTTTTTAATGCTGCGACCCCCCAAACCAGTTATAAGGCGAGGACTACTCAACCGATCGTAATTTGAGGACTACTCAACTGGTGCAGCACTGTTTGCAGAATGGGACTTTTGGCGGGCTCAGCAGGGCAGAGACAGCCTGGACAATTCCTATTGGCTTTTGAAAGCCAGTAGAATTAGACTCTATTCAAGAGAGTCTATTCTATTGGCTTTCAAAAGCCAATAGAATAAAAGGGAATAGCACAGCTAAGGAAAAGGGGGGGAAAATGGCGGACTGCGTTGTTTGGCGACCCCCGTGAAATGGTCATTCGACCCCAAATGGGTTGCGACCCACAGGTTGAGAACCGCTGCTTTGAAGGCATTTTGCTTCTCATCCAAGAAGCTTGGATGAGAGCTGAAGAAGCTTCTTGGATGAGAAGCCAAATGTCTTCAAAGAAAAACAAGAAAGTTCAGTTGCTTCTTGAAAAAGCATCTTTGGGACGATACAGATTGTTGGGGGAAATCTGCAAATAATGCTGCTGACACTGTAAACTGCCCAGAGAGTGCTGTAAAAACCACCTAATTCTCTGCAGGGTGAAATATTCCATTTAGCTGTAACTAATTAATCAGACCTCGTATGTCAACCAATACCAGCCTGGCAACATATAATCCTGTATATGCTGCTAATTTAATCGTATTAGCATCATTATAGTTTCTAGAAGTAGGTGAAAGGTCTTCACAAGAACAGAAATGGTATATATACATTGAGTAAGAGAGGACAGCCTGAGGAAGGAGAAGTGACCTTTGACCTTTGTGTGATCAGCTGCCTGACTCACCACTCGGTTTAAAAAAAAAAAAAAATCTTAATGTTTAAACCAGCCTGGATAAGTCACTTGAAGCCAATTGTTACTTTAATTCTGATATGTATATGAACAACTGATCTTCTATAGGTCAGCACTCAGGAAACAAAGTAGTTGTCTATACATTTATGGTTCTGTAAAGTCACGATTGAGTTTTAAAATGAGTAAAAGTATGGTATTTTCCTTTCTTAAAAGTGTTCCTCTACAGTGAGTCATAATAATGCTTTTTTAAAAAAAAGTTGTACAGAATGTCAAATCCTTTACTAAACATGGATTAATTTCACACATGAAGGCAGAATGTAGTTTTTATGTTTTCTGGATTAGAATAGTATATTAACTCGGCCACTGTGACTTTTAAAGTGTGATTTATATTTTGCATAAACCATAAGCTCAGCTAACTCTGATTTGTTCCATAAACAATGGTTACACAAACCATGGCTTAATGCAGTGTGTAAATTGAGCAATACTTCATGGCACTTGCATCAGTTGTTTTTAAAATGGGTATATGTATTTAACTGTTTATTTTTTAATCACTGTATACTCCAGCTTTCTTCCAGGAGTAGTATTTAAGGGGGTTAACAATAAAATAACAAAATTATACTGATATTTTAAAATGCACTTCAAATAAAGACCATTATTAAAATATCTTTCCCACTTAAAGAAGAAAACGCCATTCCTTACCTTGATGAGTGAAATCCCAATTGCTCCTGCTTTTATGTGACCAGTAAGTTGCTCGCAAATTTTGGGAATAAACTGATGAGGTACAACAAATATTAAAATATCAGCTTCCTCGGCTGCTTCTACTACTTCTGGTACCGCAACCTGAGAGGAAAATAGATTACAGTATTGCATTCTCCTACTGAATACTGAAGGAGAAAAGCACTGCGGGAAATGTTTACCACAACCAAACAATCAAGTGCAGAAAACATACAACAAGCCATAAATATATGTTTGCCAACAGTTTGCACAAAAATTAAAAATGCAGACAGCTGGAACATATGCTTGGCACAATCTAAACGTAACACATACTTATCTTTATTGGATGTTTGCATACGGGTGTTTAAAAGCATGCAGTTTGTACACACATAATACCAGTGTTTCCTACTGTTCCAATTGCAGCAGGTGAGTCAGGTTCCTTAACAAAACAAGAGGCTTGGACCACATAAGTAGTTTATTTAAGAACATTCCATACGGAATTCTATTTCTGCTACAAAGAAGGAAGGGCTTCTCTCATGGTTAATTCAGAGAGAAAAACTGCACAGCTTTATATTGACAATACAGGGAGTCCTCGACTTACGACAGTTCATTTAGTGACTGTTTGAAGTTACAACGGCACTGGGAAAAGTGACTTAGGACCATTTTTCAGTTACGAACAGTGCAGCATCCCCAGGGTCATGTGATCAAAATTTGGATGCTTGACAACTGGTTCATATTTATGATGGTTGCAGTGTCCCAGGGTCATGTGATCCCCTTTTGTGACCTTCTGACAAGCAACGTCAATGGGGAAGCCAGATTCACTTAACAATGGTGTTACTAATTGAACAACTGCAGGGATTCACTTAGCAACATAAATTTTGGGCTCAGTTGTGGTCATAAGTCAAGATCTACATGTACAAAATTCTTTAGTGTGAACAGTCAGAGTTAAATCTCACCAAAGAAAATGGCCTGAGACACCCTGGTGTATTGTTCTGTTAATGTCAGTGGGATTTGTAACAAAGTGAGAGGAAGGTAGGCAGGCCCTTTACAGTATGTGTGTCAAAGCAAGAATATTCAATATTAGCAGCGTTGACATCAACGCTGCTAATATTGAATATTCTTGCTTTGACAATGTGTCTGTGTTCTGGTGGGCCATCATGTGTGCGTGTATATTTCAAAAGTGGAATGAAACACATCAATAACCGGACTCACCATTTTGGTCCCCAAAATGGAGGAATTGGCAATTACTGGCCGAAAAACAGGCTTGTTTTTTGTTATGGCACTTTATCTTGGTTCTTTCTTGCCAGCAGAAAACTAGCCTGTTTTTTGGCCAGTAATTGCCAATTCCATCATTTTGGGGACCTAAATGGTGAGTCCAATTATTGATGTGTTTCATTCCACTTTTGGAATTAGAAGGGAAGGGTTTTTTGTTTTTTGTTTTTTATCTTGCACTTCCATCATTTCTTTTTTGAATGTTAATTTTTACCTGTACAGGTAGTCCTTGACTCCGGACTACAATTGGACCAGTATTTCCATTGTTAAGCAAGGGAATTGCTAAGTGAGTTACACCTAATTTTATGACTTTTGCCTTGGTTGTTAAGTGAATCCTTACAGATGTTAAGCGTGTCACACAGTAGTTAAGCAAATCCAGCTTCCCCCGCTTGTTGGAAGCCAGCTGGGAAAGTCACAAATGGCAATTGTGTGATCCTGGGACACGGCAACCATCGCAAACATATGCCAATTGCCAAGCTCACAATTTTTCATCATGTGAATGTGGGAATACTCAGGGAGTGTAAGTACAAGGACCAAATCATAATTCACTTTTTTCAATGCTGCTGTAACTTCAAATGGCCATTAAACAAATGGCTGTGAGTAGAAAATTACCTGCATCATGGTGGTGTTTTTAGTTTTAATATACACTGCGTAGAGTCACTGTTGTGCAATGGAGAGCTATATACCGTAGTTTAAATTGTTTAAAATAATGAAATAAGATAAAATAACATGCTGAGAGGAGATCAGATGCATGGTGCTGCTGTTGAATGTATATTAAGAGAACAATGAATAATTAAAGTGCTATTTTATTTTATTTTTTATGGCACACTCTGCTTGGAATTTTTAAAAGATTTCTGGCCATCAAGTTAAGTCAATTGGCCCCACTGACAACATCTCATCTATATCCTTTACATTTCAGTGTTACATTATGAATTTGGGGGCTGTAATTTGTTTTCGTCTAAGTTACTTATTTGTTCTACTTTCTTTGAACTCAATTGGAATATAATTTAAAAATGAAAGCATTCTGGTATGTTTTGTTGTCACTTACCACATTTGGAGGTATTTTATGCCCTGGGAGATATTTTACATTTTCATGTTCTTGGTTAATGATTTCAGTGAGTTTTCGACCATTAATTAGTTCTTCAAATACCCACATCTTAACAACAGGGTCAAACTGATTGGAGCTTTTGGTATTTTGGCCTACGATTTTTGCAATGGCAGATCCCCTTAAAAAGAAAATCAAAGAGAAAAATGTGAAATTGCAACTATTTATACAATCATTCAATTAATTTACAAATTAATTGACTGTATCAAATAAAAAAGTGTATATATTCAACTCCACCAACAATATGATGTGCTTTCAAAATAAAGAAAGAAAGAAAGAAAGAAAGAAAGAAAGAAAGAAAGAAAGAAAGAAAGAAAGAAAGAAAGAAAGAAAGACTTAGAAATTATTTTGGAATGTTTGAATTTCAATTTTTCTATTGATCAGCAGTTGCATTCTATGACCTTAGTTGCTCCCTCTAACTTTAGGATTCTAGGACACTTTATTATTACTCAGTTCTTATGAATATAGAATCACTTTGCATAATTAAATGGGCAGCATAGCAATTTAATAAATAAATAAAGAAAGAATTACGAAGGAGACCCAAGCTTATATTCATTAACCTTTTCTATAAAGCATCCATACTATAGACTATAACAACTCTGTTTGCCCAGTTGGATGACTAGCATTAAGGTGGACTCGGTTACAGTGGTGATGAGTCCACTGTAAAAGACCAGGTTAGGGACAGATCACCATAGGGCAGTGGTGGCGAACCTATGGCACACGTGCCAGAGGCAGTACTCAGAGCCCTCTCTGTGGGTACTTGCGCCATCGCTGCCAGCAGCTTGCGCAGGTCCATTAGGCTGCTGCTGCCGCCCGGGGCAACAGTCACACCCAGCACAAAGGAGAAGAAGTGGCCAGCTAGCGAGCTTGAGTAGAGATGGCAGAGCATGCCCACACCCAGCAAGCCAAAGGCCACCCTGAGCAAGGAAAGCCGGATCCCCATCAGTGCCATGGGCCCCCAGTCCCAGCTAGGATTGTATGCCTCCTCCATCGATGCTGGGCCTCCTGCCCACCGGCCCACCCGCCAGAGACCCCCTGGACCTCCCCCAACTCTGCCTGGCCCCCAGAGGTGCCCTCGCATGAGCAGCATCAAGGTGGCCATGCCCACCCAGTCTGCCGTGACAATCACAGCCATGCCCACCCAGTGGGCCACATCCCCATGCTCCCGCTGAGGGCACCACAATGCCCTGGCACTTTGTGATAAATAAGTGGGTTTTGGGTTGTGGTTTGGGCACTCAGCCTCTAAAAGGTTCGCCATCACTGTCATAGGGAAATAAAATGATACCCCAAAATTAATCAGTCAAATGGCCAGTTGAGTTGCACCTCATTTTCCATTGCTCATGTCTGTTGTACTATTAATAGATCATACCTAGAATCACTCAGAGCCAAGCAAAACTAGAAGGAGATTTTACATGATTCATTCAATAACTTTCAGGTGAATTATATTCACATGCTTTACAGGTGCATATGTTAAAGAAGGAAAAAAACCAATAGCAATTGATGGAATTACTATAAATTAGGTAGTAACTTTCATATATATATATATATATATAAAAGCATTTAGCAAAAAAATCTATTGCAAAAAGCTCAGAATGGTGAAAATAATTGCTGTTGCAGAAAGCTAATACTGTACACATTTTAAAACTGTTTTGTGACTCATAAAAGTGTTTTAGATAGATAGATAGATAGATAGATAGATAGATAGATAGATAGATAGATAGATAGATAGATAGATAGATAGATAGATAGATATTGGTGTATTTTATGTGGTTAATACATTAAGGGGGCAAAGCATATAGGAAGAATTCAGGACAAATAATGGAAATCTCAACTAAGGAAAGGAAAGCTTATCAGAATTAGATCTTTTTCTTTATAACTCTTTCTTCTGTCTCTGAGCCAGATTGAGCAATGTAACCAAAGTTTGCTTCATAAATGAGGAAGAGTATGAATATTCGTTAATTAGTTATAACCTCCCACTTGAACTTTGTAATATATATGATAACTTGCTCTAGCTCTTAAAACATCTCTCTTCTGGGAGTTGAAGTCCACAAGTCATAAAAGAGCCAAGGTTGCCTACCCCTGACCAAGAGGAATAGTTGGTGCCTGGCCTCATCTGTGCCTATGAGGGGAAGAAAGTGATGTGAGTGGAACAGAGGCACTTCAGCTGCAACAGTCTTGATTAGGATTCTTCAAACTAGGCAACTTTAAGACTTATGGACTTCAACTCCCAGCATTGCTGGCTGAGGAATTCTGGGAATTGAAGTCCACAAGTCTTAAAGTTGCCAGGTTTGGTGACCCTTGGTCTTGAAAAAGGACAACAGTTTTGAGGAATGGAGACAACCTTTCTTGTAGCCCCTGAGGCCAGGTAGTGCAACAATAAGATAGATTACACTGAAAGATTAGGGGCCCCACTCTCAATATCAAATCTTTATCAAGGAATTCAGATTCTACAATGTTTATATTATAGAACTGATTTATTTATAAGCTTAGCTTATATATGGTTCTTCAGTAGGATTCAGGAGACTAGAGGTTAGCTTGTCCTTATGCTTGAGGACAACATACAGGTAATAGCTATAAATTCAAGACACCCGTTAAAGTTACACAGAGACAGTTAAAACATAATATGTATCTCACGAATAGCCAGAGTAATAAATTAGGCAGCCATGTGCAAAACAAAAAATTACAAAAAAGTGTAGCAGACTGATTATATTGAAAAAAAGAAATCTAAGTGCTGTTTGGATGTGGCGCCTTTGTGGTTGTATGTGGAGGGCTACCTGTGTACCCTACAACAATAAAATTGTATTCCTGGAATCCTTGCTATGCCTATTTCTTGACCTGATGTGTCTCAAAGGGTTGACCCATTGATTTTTTTAACATTGAAAACAACAACAAAAGTCCCAGCCAAAATGCCAAATGAAACCATCAATCCAAAAAGGGTTGAGGACTACTGTTTAAGTCTTTCCCTGGCCTTGGAAACCAGCCTGAGTTTTAGGTTGCCTGATGAATTTGAACTTGTTTGGCTGACTTTGCAACAGATGTAAAAGAAACATAAAAGTTGTTCTCCTCAATCAATCAATAGCTATTAGTGATAGAACTCTCCACATTCAAAAGGTAGCAGAGCATCTTTTGGAAGAAAACACATGATTTCTGCTTATTAGTATTATAATCTGGTGATAAAATGTTCAGGCTATTTATACGTTAGGGGCTAAGAACCAGGTTATTCTTATATTCACTTCTTGGAATGCCTTAAGTGAGCCATGGAAGAACACTGGATAGCACTCACACAAACATTTGATAGATGCATTATGTTATCACCTGCATGTACCAAAGGGGTGAACTTTGTATTGCAATAATGCAACTCCAAAATTTGTCATTTTGATTAAAGTTCCTGTCTGCAAATGTTGTTGCCAAGCAAATTACAGCGGAACAAAAGCCATGTAAGTTTTTTTTTTTTTTTGCTCCTGGAGAAAATATGAGGCATAACTCTAATAAATAACAACCTGAGACAGAGATGGAGAAGGATTTTCAACTTTGGGAGCTTAAACATATCCTTTGAGGGTTTTTTTTTTTAAGATATCCCAAATGGATCTTTTTTTTTTAATGCACTTTTAGAATAGAAGTTCCATCTGGACTAAGATTTAATAGATGTGATTTCTTTCAATACTATATATATTTTCTTTATATCACCTTTGATGCAAACACTTCAATATTTATTGGTTAATTAGTTAAGTAGTAGACCCAGGCAGAACTGCTTGAAAAAGTGTGAGGGACAAATCAAAAAGTAAAGGAAGCCACAACAAAAACCCTTCTTTTGATTTCACTAAGTGTATTTAAATTAATTGTACTTAATATTCTTGTATTTTCAATATATTTAATAAGCATCTCTGATGTCATTGCACATCCTAGATTTAGGGACAACTCCTGGAGCGGTCCTGTGGCACCTCAGCCAGGACTATCAGGGATGACAATCCTAAAAGTTTCCATCATTAAAGTTATGTGAATCTAAGAGTCACTGCCCCCTTTTCCCCCAGGCTTCTTTGAAAATGTGGATGGGTTGCTTTAGTTAATATAAGGGTTGCTAAGCTTGCAGAACATCTGAATAATTTCTTTGGAATTATTTTCAAAGCATTCAAAAGCCAAGAATCTAACTCTTCTCTCATTTAGAAGTCCCTTGTACATTCTGTTTCTCATCAGCACTTCTTATCACTAGGCCAGTGGTGGCAAACCTATAGCACGGGTGCCAATAGCGGCACTCATAGCCCTCTCTGTGGGCACGTGCACCATCGCCCAGTCCTAGGCCTTCAGCTGGGTTTTATAAAACCTTTTCGCTTTTGTGTGCAAAAAAAAAAAAAAGGTTCAATCATCAGTCAATTTCAACTTCTCGCGGGGAAAAAAAAGATCTTGCAAAGTTGGAATTGATTGGTTGAACATTTTAGATCCACTCAGTCTGCCGTTACCACTGCAACCATACCCACCCAATGGGCCACACCTACCCAACTGGCCACACCTACTCAATGGGCCACACCCACCCAGCACCCGACGATGCATAAGTGGGTTTTGCATTGCAGTTTGGGCACTCGGACTCTAAAACATTCGCCATCACTGCACTAGGCACTGATGCCAACAGAAATTTGGAAGGGAAACAACTCTTTCCAACCTTCATTTTTTCCCTCTTGAAATTGACACCCTCACTGCTTTACATATATGTGGCTTTAGATGAGCAATGCTGATTTAAATGGATAAGTCTAATTCCATTAGATTTCTTTACGTCCTCCTCTGAGGAGAAACTTCTACACGCATGACAATAATGAAAAGGAAATTCAGGAATCCGGAACTGTGGAGGATAGTAATTGGGGATGATGATGCAAAACCAATGAAGGGGGGGGGGGAAAGCATCTTATAGATGGATGCTTTTTGGTGTTATGCTGAATTTCTGCAACTTGCACAATTATAATAGAGAAGGAATTAATGAAGTAAGAAATGGATCTCTCTAAAATTGCCAATTTTCTTCTTCATATTTTAACGTTGTATTGCATGGAAAAATCATCCTGAATTTCAGGGAACCAGCTCCAATGATTATTAGAGAGAAAGAAAAAAAATCTATCTGGATTATTGCTTTCT